TGTTTTCAACTACTCAGGATGTGATTGAGACAGGGAATTAGGGAAACTATTTGCAGGATTTTACTAAATGCATTTATTAAAAATTATGTTTGGATTTTTATTTTATTTGCATTATTATTATTATTATTATTATTATTATTATTATTATTAATTGAACCTGACCTAATGTTACCCATGAGATCTATTCTGAAAATAGTTTCTAAATGCAATCCATCACTGCAAAAGACAATAATCTCATTTTAAACATCTGTGATAGAGACTCAAGTCAAGCAGATGAAGAAATCGGAGAAAAAGGAACATTCACACTGTCCTCATTCTGACATGCATATGGTCAGTGCATTCAAAACTGCTTTCAATTGGAGAAGAAATCCCTGTTCTGATGTGGCCAGACAGAAACAGATAATATTTTAACCAATGTTTAAATGTTCTTATCTCCAAAGGATTTTGCCAGCAGATTTCTTGCAGCAAAAACCTTTAAGAGCTGTTTTTGAAGGCAGCTCCCAAAAGCTAAGTTTTTAAATCTTTTCATCCAGAAAAGTAATTTTCCAAACTAACCGAGTTATAATTTTTGTTAACGGTTTTTACAAATAGAGATGCTCCAAAGAAAAGGAATAAAGTTGTGTCTTTGTCTCCTTATTTCTCTTATGCCCTTTGCTGAGAAATATGAGGTAATCTTGTCCTTCATATAGTATTGAGGGCCGTAGTAAAATGCCCCACTTCCCATTGGCTCTCAAGAAACCTTTATGAAGCTTGATGTGTTTCCAGTTTACAAACCTTTTAAATTGGGATTATTGTCTAATATACTTCCTGCTCTACCTCTGGAATCAGGAAGTGTATATGGACATCTTTTTCAAAAGGTATCTCATGAGTAAGGTTAATTCAGTGTTGTTTATTGCAATCATAGTACAGTAAACATACAGGTTGAATGTCCCTTATCTGAAAATCTGAAATCCTCCAAAATTGTCCACATGGGTGGTTGAGAAAGTCACACTTTTGCTTTCTGATGGTTCTGTGTGTTGTATCTCAGAGCAGGAACACCTCTGTCTTTAAACACCACACCAGTGTAGTAAAATCAGAAAGCAGTTTATTGAAGGATAGATGTAAGCAAAGCAATAAAAATGTTAGAAACAGTATAGTGCAAAACGGTATTTTCCAAAGAGTATAGATAGTTCATGAACTTCAGGGTACAAAGGTAAAAGCACAAAATCCAAAGATGCAAAATCCAAAGAAACAAAACAGTATGGAGATTCCAAAGCTCAGAACAGGAACCTGGCAAAACTTGAAACATGAGACTAGAAATCCACTTGGAAACAAGACCATCATGAAATTCCAACATTGACAAGACTGAGCTAAAATCCTCACCTCATATCATATAAAGCTTTTCCTGTCCCGTGAACTGAAAGGAAAGCATTCTGTTTGCCCTTCAGCCAGATAAGGAGTTATTACTTCCAGAAATTTGGCCCTGGGAATCTACAGGAGAAGCACTCTGTTCATGAGAGACTCACGCCTCTCAGCAGTGCCTGGGCTCAGTCCCAGAAAAATCCTCATCCCCACTGGCATTAGACACAGGCCCACGAAAACCATCATCCCCATTGACATAGACACAATCACAGGCTGAAATACAACCCTATGTACATGAACTTTGCTTTATCCACATTATGAAAATATTGCAATAAAATTACCTTCAGGTCTATGTGTACCAAGTGTACAGTATGTGAAACATAAATGATTTCTGTATTTAGACTTAGGTTCCATCTCCAAGATATGTCATTATATAATTATATGCAAATACAAACATTCCAAAATTTGAAAAAATCCAAAATATTTCTAGTCTCTATCATCTCAGATAAGCGATAGTCAAGCTGTACATATTTGTTAATGATGTTTCCGGTGTATATACGAGGGATATTTTTTAAGTAAGGTCCGTTTGAACATAAGTACACAACAAAAGTTTATTTCAAAAAAGTAAATTTACTTTCAGAAAGTACATACTTCACTCTATTTTTTGACATAGTTGCCAAGTTTGTTCAAACACTTATCATACCTCTGAACCAATTTTAAAATACCCTCTTCACAAATCCTCGCTTCAACTGAAGCCACCAAATCGTCTGTAATCAAAGAGGGGCGACCGGAGCGGTACTAATCATGGACGTTGTCACGGCCATCTTTGAATTGTCGTACCCACTTACACACTTTGCTTTCACTCATAACAGTATCACCATACACTTCACAAATCTGTCGATGAATTTCTGCAGCAGGCAGGTTCCTTGCTGACGAAAACCATATCACTGAGCGAACCTCACATGCGGCGGGTGAGTTGATAGTCCTAAACATTTTTAAAGCACAGAACAGAACCGTACAGGTTAGCTACAGAGCGGAAACTGAGCACAGTTGTTCCCGAGGCATGCCGGTACACGACGCATGCGCTCGTTGTAGTATGCGTGCGAACTACTAGTGTCTACAACAAAACAGATGTTACTTAAAAAATACCCCTCGTATTTAACAGAATGAATGATCAATATTTATTGTGCCAATGAGAAGCAGTGTGGTGTGGTGGTTTGAGTGTGTGACTAAGTGTGCACCTACACTGTAGAATTAATGCAGATTAACAACAGTTTAATTGCAATGGCTCAATCTTGGGAGTTATAGCATTACAAGGTTTTTAGCCTTCTCTGCAAAAGAGTGCTACAGTCTTACATCTACACATCTCAGAATTTCAAAAAAACTTAGCCATGGCAATTAAAGTGGTGTTAAACTGCATTATTTATTTGTTTGTTTAGTTTATTTATATACCGCCTTTCTCACCCTTGAGTACACTTTAGATGTACCATAAGATTCTGGGAGACCAGAGTTCAAATCACTGCACAGGAATGGAAACCCATTTTGGGCAAATCACCCCTTCTAAACCTAGAGGAAGATAATGGCAAACTTTCTGTAAGTAAAATAGCATTGAGCCTTGGCAATTAAAGTGGTGTCAAACTGCATTAATACTACAGTATAGATGGATCCTTAATCTCACACAGAAACTACCACACCACTCTGTTTCTCATGCACACAATCACCTAATTGGTTTGCCTCATGGTTGCTCATAGATCATATCAAGAATTTGTGTTAGTTTTTTTTTGTATCATAGTACATTAAGTTAAAATAAACTTGTCAGCAATTTCACAATGACACAATAGATCACGTTCAAAATAAGAAAAACTAAAGCCACCCCCTTCTTTCATATGCTCAGTTTGAGTGCTACTTGCATTTTTGTCCCTCAAATCGGGCTAAAGTGTAAAGAGAAAGAACCTGTGAAAGCAAGAAAGAAAGGCAAATACTTGTAGAGGAATTCAGATGAGTTTGATTTGGGTCAATACTTTCAGGAACCAGTTCTGAAAGGCTTGATGCAATAAAGAGGGCACTTCTAGGCATGTCAGTGTAGAATATTTCCAGTTAAAATCAATATACAAAGAAAACATTCAGCACTCTTTGAAGAAGGAAAAATGACTTTCTGCCTTGTGGAGTATGCATTATGTTTGAATCACCTCTTTGAGAAATCAGTTTCTGGATAAGAGTTTTCTCCTTGTTCCCCCTTTTTTTCAACATGGATGTAATCAGGAAAATAATTTAGAATTATTTCCACTGCTCCCCCAAAAACCCAGACTGCCTTAAATGCAGTTCTGCTGTGTGATTTTTTCTCTCTCTCTTAAAGTCTACAAAAGTTTGTGCCAAAGCTTCTGAAGCTGCTCCAAAAACTACCTTGTTTTTTCTCTGGAAGTTTACTTGTTGAACTTATGATATGATAACCTCACCTCCACATAGTGGATAAATGTAGGAATAGCTTTCTTAACTATTTTCAGTCAGCAACTCTTGGGAATACTAGGCATTAATGAACTTAAGAAAAATTCCATAGAAGCAGAACACCCTTATTGTGTTTCCCCTTGTTATTTAGCAATACCTCCGGGTTTTGTTAAAAATGTAAAACAAATGTCTGGTTGCTCCTGACACGATAAATAAATAACCTCCGAGTTACATTTTGTTCCCTAAACATTATGATCTGGATGGCAATCTGTTTCTTTTAACTCAGTGTTATGAATTTCACTTTATTATTACAAATCTGTCACATATTGCTTTTTGAAACTGTTGCAAACGGCCTGGAATCTTTTGTGTTAAAAGTCACTGTAGCATTTTTTTAAAGCAAACAAAGCCAACGGCCTTGCTTTAAGTGATCATGGATCAAAGTGCATGGAGTATAACAATCTGTATACACATCTTCGTGTGCTCCACCCTCTCTTGGAGCAGCGTCACTCACAGTCATTTACTGGAAGGCAGAAAAGGAGGGGAAGAAAGTCCAGGAATAGCTGCAGAGAAATGAGATCATTCAGAGAGTTCATGATTTCTGGACCAAAAAAGGCAAACTTTCTTTTATCTTCTGAAGTAAACTTATGCACTTCGCTGTGGACATGAGACCCAAACATTGCATGGCAATAACATTTTTATGGTTTTACCACTGTTTACCCCTTTGAGTCTCTTTAAAAGAAAAGAAAAAAAACCATTATATATAAAATATAATAATATTGTTACTGTTGAGTGATCTCTCGTAGCCTGAGGATGATGGTCCTCCAAGTGTAATGTCTTGGCGGTGAGTCTGTAGGTGGCTGTGGAGCCCCATTCTTGATCTGCATGTTCTCCCGCAGTGATGACATCGGTTTCTAAGTGGAAGGTGGTCCTAGTCAGGGTTGGCTTGATGTGCCTTCCTCTTGGCACATTTCTCCCTTTCGCCCTCCTTTCATGCCTCGTTGAATTCTGCAGCACTGGTGGTCACAGCTGACCTAGCAGTAAAAACAACAATATGGTAACATGACAAGCAATTGTCACACCAAGTTCTTACTGAAAAGTCAATCAAATGACAAGATTCTATCTCTGATTTCAGTTTGTCTAAGTGTTAGGGAATGGTGGTGCACTTTCTCCATTTCTTAGAACGGCCTTGGGTTTTTTTATGGGTTTTTCCCCAGCAAGGCATCCAGTGAGAATGACACTTGGAAGAGTGGTGTTCCTTCCTCCTAATGGTGACAACAAAATCCAGGAAAGCCAGGGGATGCCTGCTACTCTTATCCAGCCACAAGGAACAGTGCAATATGTACACTATAAAGGCCAGCAGCCTTGGAGCCCCAATACCTCACTGCAAAAACTCCTCAAAATGGAGACAAAGACTCTTGGGGTAAGTGTCTGGATGTTCCTGTTAAGTCTGATATTATGTTAGAGAGTCTGGTCATGCTTCCCACAATGAATCTGCAGAAAAACACACCCACTGGTCCACATAGGGCTCACCTATAGGCCCAAGTACCCAAACCAGGAAGGGATCTTGAGGAGGAAAGGCACAAGGTGAATGACATGAGCCCAAATGCTGGAACCATAAAGTAGTTTGGAGAGGTGATCTATTCCACCCAGGCTGATCCTAAAACTACAATATACAATGTCTAGCTGATGCAATTCGCTTTCAAGCCTTAAAAAAGATAACAAAATAATAACAGCCAATTCATAGCTGACATAAAGAGGTCTACCCCCCCCTCCCCAAGAATATATTCCACTTCTGAACCTCTGAAGTTTATCTATCTGATGCAAAATTGTCCTTCTTAATGATTTATGAATCAGGCAGCAAAAGACACAGTGGTTGAGATTCTCTGTGGCAGAATAAAGTGTGAACGTTCTGCAAGTGCAACTTTTTATCTCCACTCATCTGCTCCCCAACTCACTGTTTAGTCTGATCTGTGTGAACAGCTGTTTGCAGCCTCTTGCTAGGACCTCAAAACTACTTCATTACATGGAGGTTCAGAAGCCATGGGACAGTGTGGGGCAGCCCAGCTTTGTCACCTTACTGTTGTGGGTCATAGGCTGCCATCCAGCAATGTTTCCATGCTGTCCCTGGCTTCTTCTATGAGGAGGCGAGTAAGCACTCAACTCCTTGGGGCACACTGCCAGCACAGAGCCCAACAGAGCCCTGCCAGAAGTAGCCCTGCATAAGTTGATGGGCTCTGGCGGACTCCATCCTGAAAGCATTCCGGCAGCATGCTTAAATGGGGAAAACCACCCATCTGATGAGGTTGTTAGAGAAATGCCATATTAACTCTATGTCACTGAATGATTTCATCCTTCCTTATTGTTAAACACACAGACACATACATGCCTCCTCTTCTTGTGGTATTTTTCAACCTCAGTTCCTTGGATGACAGGTGTGGTAAAAATGAGCTTTGTGGGAATTTACACACAGAGAATGTTTGGTTTCAGTGATTGTGGCTTACCGACTCCGTTTTTATCAGAGAATAAGGATTTGTACCCATGTTTTCATGGTCAAGGGCTGATGTGATGGCATAAATCCAGGCACTAATCCCAACTAGAGCTGATCCATGAATCAATAAAATGAGCTTCATTCTGCTCTGCCATCAATACGGTGTTTGTAGCTTTTTGCAGCCATAGCAAATTGTTTTTCTTTACATCCCCAGTCTAAACAAAACTAAACAAAACTACTCAAATACACAATCCATGGTTTGTTGCCTTTGCTCAGTTCTTGGATCTTACCCATGTCAACATAGAAGAGGACTGGTTTACCTTGTTTGTATGACTTTTCCAACAGGCCATCCAGGTCATAATTGGAATAATGCACATTGGTTTTGGGGCTGTTCCAATTCATCTTTTCAGTTCAACCTATCAGCCTCTTTCTGCAGCTGGAGGTTACCATATCTGGGGTGGACTACTTGTAAGTAGCATTTGTTTCTCTTTGACAGTCAGTGAATTTCAGTAGGTATGATATTGATTTTAGCTCCTCATTGGTCATGGTTTCCAAAACCTTTACCATTTTAGACAACCTCCTCTGGACTTATTCCAGCTTGTCAATAGCCTTCTTGAATTGGGGTGCCAAGAACTGATAATAACATTCCTAGTGAGGTCTGACCAAAGCAGAATATAGTTTGATACTATTGCTTCCCTCAAGGATGAACATTTACTTATGATTGCAGTCCTACAAAGAGTGTTATCAGTGGGATCAGAATTTGACCATGGATTTTTAAGTGAACTGCACTGAAATACATTTTACCCCTTCTTTTGCACAGTTCATTGTTTCTGGATCCCTGTCTGTTGCAGTTGAGAAACGTCTGAACCCATGCTTGGTGAGATATGCAATGTTGTGGTTGTTACTGTGTGCCTTAAAATCATTTCTAACTTATGGCAACCCTAAGGTGAATCTATCACGAAGGTTTAATGACAATATTTGTTCAGAAAGAGTTTGCCTTGTGACTGTGAGAGTGTGGCTTGCCCAAGGTTATCCAGTGGGTTTCCATGGCTGAGCAGGGATTTGAACCCTTTTCTCCAGTCATAATATAGTGCTCAAACAACTGCAACAAGCTGTATAATATTTTCCCCCTTTACTAATAACAGTGATGCCATCAATCCATATTTGTTAGAGGTCCAGGTTTATATCAGCTGTCTGTGTAATTCACGCATGCATTTGTCATAAATGTAAGTGGTTTTCTGGAGTCATGCTCATCGAACTTCACCATCATAAAATACCAAGAGTCAGATAAGGGAATCTGGCAACTCAGCCCAGTGGCACCTGTCAGTCCAGGTGGCACTGAAGACCAGAACAGAACTGAGGCTGAGGAATCTTTGACTTGAGTCTCGTAAGGAATGTAATGCATGACGTACCATCCTTAGAAGCAGTCCAGTTTGCTAAACTCAGTTTATCATCCAGCCTAGAAAAACGTTGTGCATTATAGTATCCCACCCCATGCACATTAAGGACCAGACCACAGTTGTGGAGGTGGGTGGTCAAGACATTGTTTGAAGGACCTGTTGGGCATTGGTTTGGGAATAAGCAGGGAGAGCAGAATCTATTCCATTATTCCTAGCCATAAAAGAGGAAAAATGCATTCTTTTCCCATTGCCACGCAAACACACTATCTGTGTACTTTTTAAATCTGCATAAGAGGCAGTTTGCCATCAAAATCTTTGCAACATTTCCAACACAATTCCCAAAAGAAATAAATCCTCCAAGACAGCTGTTTATATATTCGCAAAACTGTGTTTCTCCAATTGCTTTTAAAATAAGTACATTTGCAAAAGTGCACACGAAAGTGTGGATTTTACGACAATAGTATGATAGCTGGGACCCTACGCTACGCTGGTTGCACAGCGCGGTCTGAATTAGGGGAACACGTGGACGCGTGAGCACACTGAGTGAGAGAAGCAGCTGTGGCAGAGTCATTGCAATGGAAGGAAGGATAAAAAAGAGGGGGGAAATATGACTAATGGAAGGAAGTATAAAAGGGAGGGGGGAAATACGACCAATCTTTTGGCACAGATAGCTCATTTCTATGCCATTGAAGGTCTTTGTAAGCTGCTGTTTATCATTTAATATTAAATAACTGTTACATTACTTCACTCTTCTCTGTTGCACGTGAGTTAAATTACTTCACTGCTGTCCTCTCCCAGCTCCATCTCTCACTCGCTCTGCTCACTCGCGCACATGTTCCCTTTATTAATTCAGACCTGCGTTGCGCTACTAGTGTAGGGTTCCAGCTATCATACTATTGCCGATTTTACAAAATGTGTGTATATGTGTGTGCGTGCATGTTCTATAAAATGTTGTGTGGACAAAAGATGTGTAAAAGTAAAACCAAAGCCAATGTGAAAATTAGATGAAATGAATTTTCAAGTAAAGTACAACAAAGAGAAAACTCCCCAAACAGAAATTCAACAGATATTGTGGGATTTTCTGCCTTGATATTCTGGGTTATATGGCTCAGTGAGAGGGCCCTTAAATGCTGCTTTCACAACTAATCCCAATTGCTGGCTATCCTCTCAGCTATTCTAGCTGAATGCCTCAGCTGGGATTTTTATCTTCTATGTCATGCAAAGACAGACACAATTAACTCTTCCTCAGCCTGTTCCTCAGAAGCCTCTTGAGTTTGGCCAGAAGGCTGAAAAGTTGTTACCTCTGGGTGTGGCTACTAGTGAGTTGCTGTTCCAGACTGGGTTCAGCCAAACGCTCACCCACATGATCCATGACAACCATTCTCCCTATTAAAGTATGGCTATCTGTATCTACTACAAAATGCATGCTTCCAGAGTGAATTGAAACAATTTGTTAAGTGGTATACCCAATTCTAGCCTATTTCTTTAAACAAATGGTTCAGAAATTTAATTGTGGTTTAATTGGGTTTTAATTTTAGTTTAATTTTTACATTGTATCCTGGGGATAAACCCCTAATGTGCAGAAAAGCACAACTGTATTTATTGTGCACATGAAAAACCGTTTTAAGTCATTATGTAGTAATTCCATGAGGAAAATGAAAAAACAAATACAAAAAAGTATGAAGCCCAATAGAACAATTACAGCCAGATTATCTGAAGTACCGGTACTTTGTTTCCATATTACTGAACCTCAGTACACACTCTTTCTTGCTGTGACATACTCTTTGTTGGACTGTTCAATCTCAAGGAGACTTGGACTTCCTTTGTATTTTCTGGTGGGATTTTCTGTGTCTTTCAGGTGAAATGCAATGTGGGAATGAACATTGTAAGCGCTATTGTGGCATTAGTTGGCATCGTCCTCTGTATACACGAGTTGCATTCTAATCAACATACTTATGAAACAAATAAAAGATATTATTTTTATGATGATGACCCAATTAACCAGTGGGTAAGTGGAAAAAAACTTTTGTAAAAACTGGCATATGATGACCAAGATCCAAAGCATAGGGGGAATTGGGAGGGACCTTGATCTGTTCTTATTGTTTTCAAGAAGCAGCCATCGTTTAGTCTCAAAGCAGCTCATTGGGAAACAGGAAATACTATAGAAAATATAGCAGATGAAAATTACATCCATTAACAGCCTACACAAAATATGTATTTATTTAATCCATTTCTATCTTGCCAGTGGTCAACTATGATTCACACCCACATTGTCTTCACCCGTCATATCAGCTGTGTATCTGGAACTTTGTTTCACAAGACATTCTTGCCCTACTTCATAATGCTGTCACATGCAATTTAAAGCCTTTTGGATACATTTATTTTATCACCTCCATTAGAACAGACCTGCAGAATCTATTGAATTTATATAACTGTTGACTTACCATGCTGTCATTGATAGAATGGGTCTAGTCTAATTGGGACTACTGAATGTATTTAGCCCGGATGTTAGAAGAGGCATTTCTACGCCTGGAAGAAATGGCAGACATAGATCAAATGAGTCAAAATGGTCACCACTTTGCAAGATACATTCTCTCCCACCATGTTTATATTTATAAACCAATTGCACCAAGACGGAGCTTATGGGGGCATTTTGTAGTGCTGTAAATATTAGTAATTTCTCAATAATATGAGGCATGTAAGTTGCATCATTTCATTTGCTTCTCTATTCTGCAGTCAGTAGGTGCTGGTCTCTGTGGCCTGTTCCTCTTGTTCACCTTACTAGAGTTATTCATCGCAGTTTTTACAGTATATTTCGGGTGCCAGGCAGTCTGCTACAACTCTAATGACACGGTAAGGGTGCCACACCTGGCTGAGAATTTGTAAGACAATTGTGCTGAGGAGAAATTGTAAGTGGGGTGGACAGGATGTTTACTCAAGGGTAAATAAAGGCCTTCAGGATACTGTGGGTATGAGGACTGCCATGTTAAGCTCCTGTACCTTTAGTGGTTGGGTAGAAGAGGAAATTTCAATTGGCATTGCTTGTCATGCAACCAAGTAACAAGCAACACCTGCTGAAATCCCCTCTTCTACACAACCACTAAAAGCACATTAGCTATCTCCAGTTTTCATCTGGCAACCCTAGATATTTCACAGTTGCCCTGAAATCACAAGATCTACTGCTTGGCCTGGATCACTAGTCTGACATAGTCCTAGGAAGTCTTCCTTTCCTTACATAAATATCAAATATCTCCAGTCTTCAGGAGGGCATCTGATTTCCTGATCCTCATGGAATACTTTGGCATCGAGGATTCTGCCTTGTGTATATGGCTGGAGTATTGTGCTCATCTAAGGACTAAACTGTATGAGTAACTGCTGGCAGTATGGAGGAAGGCAGTAATTTTCCATTTTCCTTATAATGTAATGGCAGGAATATCACAAGTGACATATGCAAGCATAAACTCCCATTATATCTGCATCTGTTGTTTTATGTGATGGCCGAAGGAGATACCAGTACCTTCCTGTGTAATTACCCACTCCCAAGCATGTAGCCAACATATTGCCTGCCAGAGTGTTACCCATGGTAATAGCAACCAGGGATGAGTTGGGTGGGGGAGGGGGGTGCCCAATCAACATCCAACTGTATTTCTGCTGGCAGGTGTATAAAACATGTTTTATACTCCTGACAGATCCAAAGATCTCCAGGAGATCCAGAGGATGGCATGTCCCTTGTGCTGCCAGCTGCAGAAATGCTGCCAGGTCAAGGTCTCTTGCTTACTAAAGGACCATGGAATAGTGCTTGAACAGCAGAGGGGTGGCTGCTGTTGGAGAGAACATGATGAAATTTTTGATATTTATTTGTTTGTTTACTGCATTTCTATGCCGTCTTTCTCAGCCCAAAGACGACTCAAGGTGGCTTACACTGTCACGATTAGATGCCACGATGAACATAAACAAAATTAAAACAAAATTAAAAACATTTAACACACATAATAAAAACCCTGTAAAAACATTAAAAGCATAAAACACCAGTAACTTCCTACTAGCTCATTTTCCAAAGACATAGAGCTTTATGTTCTGCCAGGCTGATGTAGCCCTAAAGTGTTCTTCAAGTAATCAGTATACTGTGCAACAGATATTCATTTATCCCTCACTTCTAAGGGGTAGGACACAAATCTTCTCTTGAAGTTACCCTTTTCGCAAAAAGTGCACATCATTTCCTATCTCCTGGTGTGAAATAGCTTTGTCTCTATGTGGGAAAATGTGGACTTTTCTCCAAAAAAATGCAGAACAGTATATTTTACTTTGTGTGTCAGTTATACTTCTAAGATCAAAGGAGGGTAAAGTGTAGCCAGGCCCGTAGCCAGGATTTTGATTCGGGGGGGGGGGGGGCTGAGTCTAAGTGAAAGAGGGTCTACCCTAGCAAACCTTTTGTATTGTTACCCCAATACCCCCATGCATATGAGACATATTGAGCATGGTGATCAGATCATGATATGAATAAACATAACAGTTTAAATAATGTACCAGTAAGGCCTTTTCGCAGACCACCATGAGAATTTCAGGGGGGGTGAAGCCCCCAAAGCCCCCTCCCCCCGGCTACATGCCTGAGTGTAGCCTATAGGTTATTTGAACCTATTAAGGCACTTAAAGGTCAGGCAAAGTGACCCGCTTCACCTGGCCTTCGGGGAGGAAAGAGGGAGCCACAGGGCGAATCTGTCACCCTGCATGCACATCTCTCTCTCTTGTGATGCTTTCCCATCAAATGGGGAAAGTGTTGTCCTCTCAGGGAGGCCCCATGCTGGCTCCTTTGGAGCCAGTGTAACATGGGATGCCTCCCATGTTGCCGGGGAAAGCGTCTAGCGATACTTTTACCCGTTTGGGGGATGTTGGGTGGCCTCCCATGTTGCTGGGGAAAGCATCTGGCGACACTTTTACCCTGGTTGGAGGATGTTGAGGGTGGAGGCACATACAACGCCATCTGATGGCTGCAGTGGGGCTGCATCCCCCAAGCTGGCTCTAAGGGTCCTAGGACGCTTAATTTGAGCCGTATGTGTGGCCTTTTGTTTTTGCTTTTATAACTTCCACATCTCTCCAACTCCACTCCACCCTATCCCAAAAAAGAAATCCAATTGGGGAAAATATTGAAATGATAGTATCCAGCTTTCATACACTTAGACAATTTACATTTTGTGGGAGGAACATAGTTCCAGTGTATGGGTGAAGTGGGGGATAGAGTGGTGTGACCCACCAAGGGGAGGCATAAATGACCACCCACTCCATCTCCTTCCATCATGTAAAATTGATGTGTTTTATGCAAAGTAAACAAACTCCAAGACACACACATACCCTAGCAATTTTGCACTGAAAAGCATGCTTCTGGAAACAGGTTATTTTTATGCAAATGTGTTTTCTATACAAAAACTCACACCGTTTTGTGGATAAAGAAATTGGTTTTCAAATGCAAAATTTCTGGGGGATTTGTTTTTCACAAAGCACACTAAATTGGGGCTAAATTTGTATGTGGAGTCCTGGAAACAGTCTTTTTGGAGTAGCATAAAAGCATGTTTATTTCTGCACAGAGAAATTTCAGAATATATTTCATGATGTGAAAATATTGAGTGAAAATTGCACAGAAATATACGTTTTCTCCTGCATGAGGAATTATTCATCCTTATGTGCAAGGATGAAATAATAAAATATTTACATCCCTATTCTTTGCAGAAATTTGCAGAAACACAAATTGACTTGGATGTCTCACTAACAGGACACCATGCTTTTAAAATGACAGACAGACACTAGTTTTTTTTTCCACCTGGGGCAGGGAGAGATTTTTAACAATTAAAGGAGACTTGCTGGCCTTTTTTGTTCACCAGTATAGTTTTGTTAAACAACTAGCTTACCCGTTCAGCCACTAGCTTTAACAGTGAAGTTAGTGGTAAGATTGCAAAATTCTGGTGTGGTTGTAACAATTTTCAAGGTGTCTTTAATACAGATATTGCTTGTCATACATGGTGTTTCTGTATATGAATTTATTTATGTGTTTCAGGACACAGTTGCATTGCCATGCACTATCATTGGAAATGAAATGAATCCCAATGAAGGTAACCCGAATCCTCCAACCTATCAGCAAGGTGCCTATTTTCCCGCGTAGGCAATTCAAGAGAGAAATTAAGGCAGCCAGATACTGCCTCAGCATCCCAGCAAACCCCATTCAACCTTAATCCCTCTTCCTCTCTATGACATTGGCATGGAGGAAGCCCTTTTCTCAGCAAAATTGTACATTATTATATCTAAATTCAGCCCAGTGTACTTTAGTATTCTTTAACTGCTTCACCTTTATATAATCAAACTGTTCCATCTGTGTAAGAGAAGTGGCTGAGCTGAATCCTATGCATAATATCCCAAGATATAACATTCTGACTATTATTATTGCAATATCTCTTCAATAAACTTTGCATTTTAAGTACATGGTTATCCTTTGACCCCATCTGGTTCTAATAAACATAGTAGCCTACAGAAATGTTGGATATTGTGTAAATATCAATTTAGAGAGAGAAAGAACAGTTGCAGTACAGCTGTTCAGCTGCACTAGTGGTTGCACTTCTCCCAAGGTAAACAGCAGAGAGAAAGGAAGGCGGACAAAATCTACCAGATCTGAGCAGCCTACTTTTCCAGTGGCCTGAAACCTTTCATGACTATTGCAAGTGTAGCCTTCTTCCTCCTGTCACAATGTCATCAAATATCAGGGAGCCCATTCACACTGCACAGGTATAGTACTCGTATTCACATTTAATTGCCATTAGCAACTCTATGAAATCCTAGGATTGGCAGCTGACAGACTGGCATTTAGATTTCTCAGGTAGAGAGCTCTTCTGGTATCTTTGAGCAAACTATAAGATCCAGGATTTCACAGGACAAAGCTATGGTAGTTAAACTGGAATAATAATGTGATAACTATGTGGCGAGAATGAACTCCATTATTCATTGGAACTAGGATAAGGCAAAATCTCCAGTCTTATTTGTCTACCCTGCAATATTCTCTGAAACTAGGGATAATGTAATCCCGCCATGAACTGCAGCACATTACCTTACAATATTTGTTGTTAACTGCCTTCAAGTTGTACAAGAAACATTGGAACAAGGTTTTACATACCTTTACATGTTGGGGATATGGTCTTTCAATAAACATCTCTCTACATTCTATCCACACTGACAGATGTAATATGGTTGTTTGAGTGGAGGTTCAGTTCACCCAAGCTACAAATGTATAACATCCAAAAAATGTTGAATGACAAATGGCCAAGCTAAAGAAAAAACTGGGGATCTGTCCAACATTAGAGTAATGGTTCAGAAATACAACTTGTTCTAAATAGAATTCATTCCTGTATTGATTCTGGATGGTCAGGTTTCTTTTGTGGCTAAGAATGACCTTACTCAGCTTCAAATCTGAGGTTCATCAAGGTTGTTAGATAGATTGGTATTCCAGTAAGGATTTCTGGGAAAGAAGGTAATGGAAAGCCATGATTGGGTAAGGCATACTGATATGACCATACTGCATCTATGTTGCCTCAACCGCTACACTGGCTGCCCATCTTGTTTCTGGGAGGTAGTAGTAGTAGTAGTAGTAGTAATAATAATAATAATAATAATAATAATAATAATAACCGTTATCAGGATCTCAAAATCGAACTGCAAAGGCTCTGGCATAAACAAGTACAGGTGGTCCCAGTGGTAATCAGCACACTGGGTACCATGCCAAAAGATCTCAGATGGCATTTGGAAACAATAAACATTGACAAAATCATGATCTGTCAACTGCAAAAGGCCACCTCACTTGGATCTGCGTGCATCATTCGAAAATACATCACACAGTCCTAGATGCTTGGGAAGTGTTCAACTTATGATTTTGTGATATGAAATCCAGCATATATATCTCGTTTGCTGTGACATACTGTGTTTGTGTCAGAATAATAATAATAATAACTTTATTTTTGTACCCCGCCTCCATCTCCCAGAAGGGACTCGGAGCGGCTCACATGGGGACCAAGCCCGAGATTCAACATAGTTAAAATGTAACAACAAAATTCATAAAAACATTTCAATAGTATAAAACAACCACAGAATACAATATATAGCGAACATCTAACAACCTTCAATGGTCTGAGTAGTGCACAGTTCTGAGTTTGGGCAGGTGCAAAACACTTAAGCTCTTCGTGTTTCATAGTCAGGACACCACGTAGAGCACTTTCTCCTATATCAGACTGCCTCATCTGCTTCAATCCACAAAATAGGCAGACCCCTTTCAGTCTCCTTACTACAGTGGAAACCCAACTGAGACAAAAGAGAAGGTCTACAACCAGACTACAGAAAACCTAAGTTTTACAAGACCTCAATCTAACCCACTTCCACTTTCCAGCATATGTTTTCCTTGCTAGGCGGATAATCTTTTCTGCTGTGAACTTTCTCTTTGTTATAATCTCATCAGCCTGCCTCAATTTTATATCACATTTTTTCATTGTAAATGCTGATTTTTATAGCAAAATTCGTTCATTTTAGCTAGTCTAAAATTGCTCTTCCTAGTGCATATATTATAGAAACCTGAATATTATAGAAAGATGAGAAAGAAATCCTTGAATAAAATTGAATAGAACAAAACAAAACAAAACAAAACAAAAGGCTCACTCAAAATCATGCAGTGAACCTGAATGTACCACAGCCTAAACCAACCTAAGCCTCCCCTTTTCCCATTTTCCTCTCACCTCAAACTCTCATTTCAAATGTTCATTTCTTTATCACACCCTGGTGAAGTGGCAGACCCACTCTCAGAACAAGGACATCACAGAACGTAACACAACATGTAAGTACTTTGACGGTGGGAGTGAATGCACTTAGGAACCTAGCATGATTTGATCCGTGGTTCAGCTCTGAATAGTTTGGCCCACCCACTGGTTCTCAAAGTAAGCCAAGGGTTTTTCCATCTTTGCTATTGAATAACCAGAAGCCATATAAAGAACAAAAGGTAGTGCATGAAGGCTTTTAAAAATATGCTATGGTATACTATAAATTGTTCTATTTTTATTGGTTGGTTGTGTTCCAAATTTGGAAGGATAGGTTTAAAATGGGGGAAAGGTGCATTTATTTTCTCATTCATTGGTGAGGTCAAAATCTAATGTATTTTTTGTTAATATATATTTTAAATGTTTTACACATATTAATTTTTGTTTCAGCCATTTTCCTGAATTGATAGGCAATCTATTAACAAGAGTTTCTGTTCCATACAAAACCGTGTCAGTGTCCATAGCAGAACTTCTCTTTCATGCAAAATCTAGCAAGTCTGAAATTCAGCATCTTTGTTCCATATTGTACAACAGAGTTAATTTCACTATTGTTATCTTCCCTGGTTCTAAACAGTTCTCATCTCCAGTTTTTGTTCAGTAATGGGAGATAAGAGACTGATAAGTCAAAATCCACTGTTTATTATTTTAATAATTGCCAAGATTGGATCTTGTGTGAAGAATTGAAGCCTTTTTCCTCACTATTCAAATAATACTAACCAGTTAACCTGTTATTTATGTTATTTCCACGCTCTTGATTCTATTTCCTAGGACAAGAATGAGCTATGTTTTATTTTGATTGGATATATTTCTTTTATAGGCAACATGTCATCAGGGCCAATGAAGAGTGGTAATGGAAACATTGTAATCATAGCCCCAAATGGTGCCAAAACAATCCAGGCAGGTGAGCAGATCCCTAGCACCTTAATGCACTATATTCGATCTGGAGGCCAACAGAATGGAAGTCTGAGTAGCCAACCTCAGCAGAAACACTGTGTTGGGGCATTGGAGAAGATAATTAACCTAGAAGCCAAGACTCTGGGGGTAAGTATATTTATTTAATATTCGCTCAAGCTCCAGCCCAACAAAAGTTCAGTTCCAACATACTTTCAGTTCTTTAAGGAAATGGTTAAACTGTAAGAAATAGTTATATGATCAATTAAAAAAATCAAAATGTCTGGAACCAAAGAGGAAGCAATCCAGATCATTTTCTGATCTGAAGTAAATGCTTGGTCACTGCTGCCTAACTGAATGAACTACTATACCTACTATTTTACTTGGCTTGTTAGATGAGAGAGTTTAGCTCACCAAGTGTAAATCCAACCATTATGAATGACCATGCACTAGACCCAAAGATTTCACACAGTTTATCTCCTCTCCTCCTGCATGGCCACTGTGAGAAGATTAACATATTTACCTCCTCTGTTAAAGTTACTTCAGAATTAATGATCACATTCAAACTGGGCAGAAAACTTATTAGTATTACATACTGTTGCAGAAACAATCTAGAATCATGTTTTATTTTTGCACTGTATAATTTTTGTATAATCCATAGTTTGGATTAGAGGTTAATTCCAATTAGTTTAAAACAAGAAGATGGTTTTGGTCTTCTCCCCGCAGCCAACTGGAAGAAGGATGTGGGAAGCTAAATCCACAATGCTAAGGCTTATTTTTTGTCTGTTAACAAACCTAGAACCTTGTCACACAATGGAAATTCAGCATCCTGGGACAATTCTGCCCAGTTAACTCATGGAACCCCACACCACCCATCACACGATGTAGCCTCATTTCTGGCGGGGCTCTGTGGGTCAACTGGGTGGCGAATCAGAACACTGGACCTCATCAATGTGATGAGGACCTTGTTGTTGTGGTTTATTTGTTCAATCAATTCCGACTCTTCATGACCTCATGGACCAGCTCATGCCAGAGCTCCCTGTCAACCATCACCCCCCTCCCCAGCTCCTTCAGAGACAAGCCAGTCACTTCAAGGATACCATTCATCCATCTGCCCTTGGTCGGCCCCTCTTCCTTTTTTCTTCCATTTTCCCAAGCATCACTGTCTTCTCTAAGCTTTCCTGTCTTCTCATGATGTGACCAAAGTACTTCATCTTTGCCTCTAATATCATTTCCTCCAATGAGCAGTTGGGATTTATTTGCTGGAGTTTGAACTGGTTGGATCTTCTTGTAATACAAGGCACTCTCAGAATTTTCCTCCAACACCACAGTTCAAAAGCATCTATCTTAATCCAGCTCTCACATCCATAGGTTACTATGGGGAATACCATTGCTTTAACTGTGCTGATCTTTGTTGCCAGTATGATGTCTCTACTCTTCACTATTTTATCGAGATTGGTTATTGTTCTTCTCCCAAGAAGTAAACGTCTTCTGATTTCCTGGTTTTGTCTGCAATAATCTTTGCACCTAGAAATACAAAGTCTGTCATTACCTTAGATCCCTGCAATTTCCCCTCCTTCCAAACTATAGGCCCTTCCACACTGCAGAAAATGAACAGGGAATCAGAGTTTAAACCTCCAGTTCCCTGCTCATTTGCTTGCCCACACGGGGTCAAAACATTTGGAAAACCACTGATCATGTGATCTTTAGGAAAATGGAAATCTCTAGAAACTTTTGGAGATTTTATGAGCTTTGGAAAGGAATGACCTTGTTGGAAGTCATATCCTTTTTTAAAAAAATGATGCCAACACCTCTTGGTAAAAAGCATGACCTCTTAGAGTCATAACCTTTTCGGAAAATGGCATTCACCAGTATTCATGCAAGGCAACTAAGTTTCTCAGCTGTTAAACTTAGATGTACCTAGGCATGTATTTGAACTGTTAGGGACAAGGATATGCCAATGCGCATACATACATACATACATACATACATATTCAGCAGAGTTTCAGAACATCTAAAGGTAAAGGTTTCCCATGACATTTACTTTCCTTAAAATACATTTGTCTTTAAATCATGCTTTCAAGAGATAAAAATAAGCAGGCTTCTTTAAAAGTAACATATTTGGTTTACTTACACATTTCATGTATTCGGCATACAGGTACTTTGCTTATCAACCCAGTTACAAGTAGACTTGAAGTTGTTTCTCTGTGTGGGTAACACAGGGCACCTTCCATGGAATCAACAGTCCATAGTCCAAAGCATCTCTCTGTTTTGAGAGTCTAATAGAGTCTTTGTCCAGTCTCTTAAGCATACTGTTCCTGCTGGCGTCTGAAAGCAAACTTCTCTACAGGCTTCTCAAAGCAAACTTCTAAAATAGAGTCTGAGTCCTGAACATGCCCAGTTCTGATCACATGATCTGCAGCACCTTCCACAACTAAGAGATTAAAGAAAACTGCAAAGCAATATAGGTAAAGGGTAAAGGTAGTCCCCTGACATTAAGTCCAGTCATGTCTGACTCTGGGGTGTGGTGCTCATCTCCATTTCTAAGCCGAAGAGCCAGCGTTGTCCGTAGACACCTCCAAGGTCATGTGGCCGGCATGACTGCATGGAGCGCTGTTACCTTCCCGCTGGAGCGGTACCTATTGATCTACTCACATTTTGCATGTTTTCGAACTGCTAGGTTGGCAGAAGCTAGGGCTGACAGTGGAAGCTCACGCCGCTCCCCGGAATCGAACCTGCGACCTTTCGATACACATATACAATACAGTAAGCAATTATATACGTAACAAACAACTAGTAGAGGCTTGAGAAGGTTGCTCTTTCCAACAGAAACATCTTTTTGGTGAGGGGTGGCTACAGTCTCACACTTGCAAATTTGTAATTGGAATGGGAGGGTATGGCCACCAATCCCGACTTCCCTCATCCCCTTTTCAGGCTTTAAAAAGGTAAAAATACGCTCCTTGCTGAGCCAGGGGGCTTCTCCTTCCACCGTGGTGCCTCTAAAGGATGAATGGAGCTTTTGAGGGGGAATCATGTTCTGACCTCAGGTGTATCCAGGCCGCAGGGATTTGCTTTATTTTCTATGTGCTTTTTATTTCCACAGGTGTTGCAGATAATGATTGGACTGATACTCTTTGGTTTTGGAATCATTGCAATAATTAATGCATTCAAGGCTTATTCCCCTATATTGTCTACGTTTTATCCAGTGTCCAGTAGCCTATTCGTAAGTCCTGTATTACTTGTGTTAAAAAGCTAATGTGCTTCAGTGACTCATGCATCCCAGTTTTCATCTGTGACCTGTTGGAGAGTATGAGTCCCCCCTAGGGAGTTGAGAAGGGCGGGGTAAAAGTACCTGTAATGAATAAATAAATAAATAAATAAATAAATAAATAAATAAATAAATGGCATGAATTCCACTGGTCCCATGTGTTCTCTTTTCTGGAGGAGTGTGCATGAAATGTTAACCTGATATCTGTGGTTGGGTTGTTAGGATCCCCAAACTTATGGAAATGGTTTATATCAGGGGCCGTATTAGCCATGTTTAAACATTTGAAAGGATGCAATATTGAGGAGGGACAAAGTTATTTTCTGCCTCTTTAGAGACTAGCACATGGAGCAATAAATACAAATAGCAAGATACTAGTTATAAAAGGGAATAGTCTGAAGTAGAAATGTGCTATTATTAACTGGAATCATTCCATAGCACTAACACAAGTGTTTTAGGAGTTTACTACATGAGGCAGGCAAGTCACAATTACAGTAAGACAACAGTGTCTTTGCCTTGGACATGTCCTTTGACGTTCCTATGTTGCTGCTTTGTCAGTGCAGCCTAGAAAACAATTACAGTATTTTACAAACACCAATCACCTATTAATGATCTCCTTCTGGAAAAGAAATACCTTCTAATCATCTCCCACTAAGAGAGCGGCAGGAAAGGAACAATGCCATGTGATAGGTGCAAAGCAAACCCGTTGTCTTGCTGTAATTACACATTGCCTAACTGGTGTGAGAAAGTTATAGTGGGCAGTTTTCTTTAACTTGTAAGTTAATTATCATTATCAAGTTATCTGATTCCCTTTCTTATTGACAGTTTATTGCTTCCGGATCTGTGTCTGTGTCAGCTGAAAAACATTGGAATACCAACTTGGTAAGATGCCATTACTCGCCACCCCACCTGCCAATGCTGCAATGTTTGGTAATACTGCTTTTTTAGGTATTCTCTAATATATTCTTCCAGCCAATAAAATAACATTTCTCTCTCTTAGTAGTGCTGGAAATCAAGCTGAAAATGAAAATGAAGAGTTTTCCTCTTCACTACATATTCAGCGTGATTTCTATAACTAACACTATGCATATAGACATTCCCCATGCATCATAGTTATTTGTTGTAGTATTGCTCTTCTAAACCAAAATGTTTGCAGATAATTTTCTATCATTGCCAATTCCCACCAGAGCTCTGTCCTGGCATGTTTCTTCTACAGCTTGGACAGATAACTGGGCACTCCTTCCACTTCTCTTCCTTTATTTTAGTCACCGTTTTTACTAATTTGGATAAAAATAATGTAATTCACATCTAAAAAGAGGAAAAGGCAAATAACAAAGGAAGGAAACACCTACACTGTAGAATTAATGTAGTTTGACATTACTTTAACTACCATGGTTCAATGCTGTGGAATTCTGGGAAATCTAATTTCTCTCCCAAAGAGTGCTGGTGCTTCACCAAACTGCAACTCCCAGGATTCCATAGCATTGAGCCATGACAGGTAAAGTGGTGTTAAACCACATTAATTATACAGTGTAGCTATACACAAAGAAGACATGTATAGGTAAATATAATTATACATATACAACTAAAACTGAAATTTAACTATGGCTAAATCAAGCTACCAAATACCTAACCTCAAATCCCAAATAATAACTAAATAGAACACTAAGGGTCTTATCACATGAACTCCATCTGGGTAACAACACCTTTGCTGGCAGCTTACTACATGATATTGTTGCTCCCAGTTGGTTTTGAAAGAGATTCTTTGTTGCTGAAAAAGTCCATGACTAAAATTCTCTCCTGCTTAAGTCACATAGTGATTTTCTGTGCAAAGGTTCAGTTGCACTTTTATTCCTATTTTGGATAGTCAGGAGCAGTGTAATGGGTAATTTTTAGGTGATATCAATGGCAGTGGCACTGACTTCCAAAGGCTGGGCTTTTCCTCTGAGGCTTGTAGAAAACTCTGGAAACTGGGCCTTTGGTGCAGCTGGCTATGTTCCTTGGACCGCCATCACATATTTGCTAGGATCAGGTTAAAGTTCAAGGACATTATTGCTTTTTTTAGATTCTTCGTTGTTCTATGGCAGGCATGGACAAACTTTGGCCCTCCATGTGTTTTGGACATCCTATAACATTTTCCTAGTTTCTGTGGGGTCATATACCACCTGTATGACATTTTTATCCAATTCTCCTCTACTGCATATGAGTATTTGATGTTTCGATTCCAGATTTCTTCCCATTCTTCTTTCTTGATGTTGCTTCCAATGTTTTCTTTCCATCTTTTTATATATTATTTGTCTTCATTTGTCCCAGTAGTCCATTCCAATAATTTTCTGTAGATCTTTTAAAATATTTTTAAAGAGCGCAGAATGCCTTCATGTAATCTGGAGGCTACGGGTGGATCTAGACAGCCCCTTTACTGCGGGAGTTACTGCAATAAAAAGGGGCTGTACAGATTACATCCTGGACAAACCTGCATTAATGGATAAGTCAATCCAGGTATTTGAAGTTGATTTTTTGCCTAAAATGTCCAGACTTATACAAGTATATCTTTTCATAGAGCAAATTACAGCAGTCCAAGGGCGGATCTAGACAGCCCCTTTATTGTGGAAACTTCCGCAATAGAAAGGGGCTGTCCAGACAATGTGTGACAGTGCGTGTGGCGCCACATATATGTAGTACTGTTAGTTGCAGGATTTAAACTGTCATTTTATTCCTGTCTACCTTGTATATGTATAGTTAAATTTCATTGGTTATTATAGCTGTCAATTTATTGTTGTTGTGCACCAATTGGCTTGTTTCCCCAGTTCATTTGTTTAGGCTCCGCCCCTTCCAAGGGAGAAAGGAAAGGTTTCTCTCTCACCTTTTTTACCTCAGAAAAAGACTCATTGGATGGATGTGTGCAAAGCTTGGCCCAAAGCCCCTGGTCAAGGCATTTTTTACTACCAACTCTTAGGTTTTTACCCCTGAGTCTTATACTTTATGTTCAAACCCCCTGAACGACATTGTGAAGATCTCAGGCGCCTTCATTCTGGTTTTTTGGCACCATAGGAAGGTCTTGTCCTTCATCATAGGCCACTGAACTGAGGTTGTGGTTTGCTCCGGCATTCACAGCCATTGAGAGAGAGGGAACAAGAAAAGCTTCTCAGCTTATAACTCCTAGGACCCTGGACTTTAGAGTTTGTAAAGTATTTTTCCCTGTTGAAACATCAAGTTCGTGCCTAAGAAAGTGAACTCATTGTCAACAATAAACCTCATTTCGAGTTACCTGTTGTGTTCTGGTCCTTTGGAGTTCCAGTTTCCCTAAAGGAGGGCAAGAAGCAATCCCCTGGGGAAAGATTTCACGTCCATGCCTCTTTCTCTATAGCCCCAGGCGCGACTGCATACAATGTTTTGGCCAAACTGGAATTAATCTGCCACAAACCAGGAAAACCCTGGTTTGTGGCAAATTAATTTGATAGTGGGTTTATTGCGCACCTTCTTGGAAGGCACGGGATAAACCCACTTCTTCCGGTGGCTGGACTGCAGAATACTGCCGTCCAGACAGTATTCCCACTGATTTCTGGGGTAAATTAGCCAGGAGAAAGGCGGCGGGGGGGGGGGGGAGGAAAATCCCCCCCCCCCTTTTTCCTGGTGCATCATTTTCTGCGGCAGCTCTCCAATGGAGGCTGGGTAAGTACTTTTCTTTCTAAAGGGGCTTTTTAAAGGCTTTTGGGGAGGGGTAGAGTGTCCCAGTGTTCTCCCGGGCCAGCCCCAGAAGGACATGTGGACACCCACCCCAGAAAGCAAGTGCTTTCTGGCGTGTGTGTGGACAGGGCCCCAGAATATTCGCTTTTTTAATGCAAATGCTCCTTGGATAAAGCCCTGTCTAGAAAGGCCCTAAGAAGAGTTTTGCCATGTACCTTGACACCCCCATATATAGATACGTTTTGTCTTTAAAAAAATAAACTCCTGCACTCAAAAGCATTTGTAGAAATAAGGCTGCCTACTCCTCTATTTTGTTGACTTTTCTATTTCTGTTTCAGAAAAATGCCAGTTTGGCAATGAACATCTTAAGTGCTATAGTGGCATCAACCGGCATTATTTTGTATATATTTATCATAGCTTACACTGTAATATTATCCAAAGTGTTGATTCCTTCCTCATCCGAGGTAAGTGAAAAAGAGATGGATTAATGGAAAAGAAATATGTAAATATACTTTGAGCTTTGAGGACGAGGGGGGTCTTTTCAAAATATCTCTTATGAGACAAGCCATGTAAAAAATAGCAAGCAAATCTCTAACTGCAGAAATGGTTCTCCAGCACATCCCACTATTTTAACCATAGTGTTTCAAAATTGAAATTCCAATATGCTGTCAGTCCAGTCAAACATGCACATCTTTACAAATGAATCTGGATTTGGCAACAAATCTGCAAGTTTTTTTCCTTCTTTGTTATGAAACATTTTCAGTTTGAAACAGCACAATGTTTCAAACTGTTAGAATGGACTGGATGTGCTCCTGATACTTTGGGGCATGTGAAAGTGTACACTTTCAGGAAAAAGCTAAAGATGTGGGTGTGGGACCAAGCTTTTGGTCAGTTAACAATGCAATAAGAGAACGCAGAATGCTGCAATGATAATTAAAATGGACTCAAACTATGTTATCAGATTGCATGATTTTAAATAAGTGGTTTTAATGTTTGATATGTTTTAGTGACTGTTTTAATGTATATGTTTTATGTTACTTGATATATATTATTGGGGCATCGAATTGCTGCCTATGTAAGCCACTCTGAGTCCCCTAAGAGGTGAGAAGGGCAGGGTATAAATATGGTCAATCAATCAATCAATCAATCAATCAATCAAACAATGATGTTAGTGAGTTGTTGTGAGTTTTCTGGGCTGTATGGCCATGTTCTAGAAGCATTCTCTCCTGACATTTCACCTGCATCTATGGTGGTGTTAGTGCATCTATGGGGATGTTAGTTCAGCATCTATTGATGCTAGTGCTGTAAACAGTTTAAATATCTGTTGCAACAAAACTGATTTCCTCCAACACTTACACTGTGATGTCTTGGCACTTTTTTCACAGTTCAGGTATGTGCCGAGATCATGAGTTCTTCACAGAACTAGAGTTAGTTCAGGAATTAGCATATCACACCTATATTAAAGTCTCTCCACTGGACAAAATACAAAGTGTTGGTCCTTACCTTTCAAATCCTACATAATTTGGGTCCAGGTTATGAAAGGACCTGCCAAAAGAGATTTGACAGTTAAACAACAGAATAAAAGTGCAATCTCTTTCAGAAAGTTTATGACTATGTGTTTTAAATGGTTTTATATATTGCATTTTAACTATGTTGTTCCCTGCCTTGAACCTTGGGGAGAGGCATAATAATAATAATAATAATAATAATAATAATAATAATAATAATATCAAAAGTGAACTACAAAGACTCAGGCAGTACAGGTGGTCCCAGTGGTAATTGGCACACTGGGTGACATGCCAAAAGATCTCAGCCTGCATTTGGAAACAATAAACATTGACAAAATCATGATCTGTCAACTGCAAAAGGCCACCTTACTTGGATCTGCACACATCGTTCAAAAAGACATCACACAGTCTTGAACGCTTAGGAAATGTTCGACTTGTGATTTTGTGATACGACATCCAGCATATATATCTCATTTGCTGTGACATACTGTGTTTTTGTATCAGTAAAATAATAACTTATTATGTTGACAGTGTCTGAGTCCTCAAGTAATATGTCCTTTTTTGCTTCTTCCTAATACTTGGGAAATGGGATATCATTGAAAATTAAGGAATACAGAGAAGGCAGCTGATTCTTATGTGTCATGAATAAGGCTGAAATGACTTCTCACTTTCATGTGTGTATTTAAAGCAAAGGTGAACAACTGCATAGATGTCAGGGGACACCTTCCTCCTCACTACACCCACACCATGTGCCACTCCACTGGTTTTTTAAATGTCTGTGTTTGCTTTTGATAGGATTTATGCTTATGTTTTATAATGTTTAATTTTTGTATGGTTATTGTTTCAGCAATTGAATGTTTTGCCTATGTTGGAAACTGCCCTGAGTACTCTTGGGGAGATAGAATGGTATATAAATAATAATAATAATAATAATAATAATAATTATTATTATTATTATTATTATTATTATTATTATTATTATTATTATTATTATAAGCCCAAACACTTGTTTTCCTTTGCAGTCCCTTGAAACATCTCTTCACACCATTTTGAGTGAGAATGCAATGAACAATAGAGCATCTGGACAGGTTGTACAGAGTTTTCCTATACTTGTGAAAAGTGGGGATATCTTTATGTGCTTTAGTGTTTAAATACAAGGGTTGGGAAACTGGGGGCTTTCGGGTGTCACAAAATGGGAAAACGCAGCACATGGACTATCCTATGCTCACCTCTGCTTTTGAACATAGTTGCAGATCAAACCATTTAAAATGTAAAAATGCTTTACATCACTGAACCACAGCGAACAAATATTTTAAGAAGGATTTTTCAGGGATTGAGGTACCATCCTAGATTTTGCAATTTTATATCTTCACAGAAAGATGCATTTGTTGGGCAGATTGTTTATTCTGAGAATTCAAACACCCTCAGATCCTCTGTAGGTGAATCGCTCCATGATGTTTTTAAGATTATGAAGGGCAGAAAGTCGAGCACTTTTTCAATGAAATAGTTTTCCACAATTAGATTAATGCACACAGTAATATGTATCTTCCATCTGTTTCTCTCCCAGATGTCAATACATCTTGCCTTCAGTATACTATTCCTTATATTGACTTCACTGGAGTTCTGCATTACTGTTATAGTGGCACATTTTGGGTGCCGGGCAAACTGCTGCACTGATGATACAGTAAGTATTTGAACTTTGTTTCAGAGTTTAAGCAGATAATGACCCCACTAAATACCGCTGCAAGTTCAGTGACTCTGTGATCAAGCATGTGAAAAGGCAGGCAGACATTTACAGATACAAAATTTTTACTGTAGCAGTTTTTAGTTCATGAAGCTGTCTGTACTGGGAATGTGTGCTGCTGCTGAGGACCAAACATGGGGGAACCCATGGGGAGATTCCCTGCAACTTTTCCTAAATATTTTCCAAAGAATTAACTTATTCTGCAATAATAATAATAATAATAATAATAATAATAATAATAATAATTTCTTACCTGCCTCTCCTTGTGGCTTGAGGTAGTTACAACACATCTAAAAAATATAATCATTATATAAAATACACATATTACAATATATTCCTACCAAATACATATATTAAAACATACAGAGGGATCCCTTGGTGGTGCAATGGGTTAAACCACTGAGCTGCTGAACTTGCTGACCGAAAGGTTGGTGGTTTGAATCCAGGGAGCGGAGTGAGTTTGCCCTAGCTTCTGCCAACCTAGCAGTTCAAAACATGCAAATGTGACTATATCAATGGGTACCACTTCTGTGGGAAGGTAACAGAGATGAGCACCACCTCCCAGAGTCAGACACAACTAGACTTAATTCATGGGAAACCTTTACCTTTACCTTTACGATTAAAATACAGTGGGCAAAAGATGCGAGTTTAAAATTCATGATTAAAATTGGCTAGGTAGGCCTGTCAGAAGAAATAGGGTCTTCAGATGCATTTAAAATTCCAACAGCTCATTTAGCTGTTGGAGCTCTTTCAACAGGTCATTCCACTGTCGTGTTTTGAGTTTTTATTTATTTTTTACTAGTACATAATATAGTTGTTTTCTCAAAGCATAATTCTGTTACCTGTATGTTCAATTTCACCACTCCCAATCTCTAACTGGAAATTGTCTGTGATGTGATTAGTATTAATAAAATTATCTTTCTCCATCACTTGTTACTGTGTAGACAGACACACATGAGCCATGATCTTCCACTGAAGATCATGTGTAAAAGGTAAATGTATGTATGCTTTGTGATTACTGAAATAAGAATAAATTCATGCTTTCTTGAATAAATATTATTATGTGCTTCAGTTCTTGCTATTTGCCAAACTTTTGTAGCAAAATGTTCACAGAACAGTATTTGTTTGTGTCTTTCAGCTCACAAACATCTATAATTTATCATATGTGGCTCTTGCATTTGGCATGTTTGGTCATCCATTCTATGGTTATGCATTTATAGCTATGCCTATGAATTCTGGCCAATATTTTTTTCAATACAGCAATAAAAGTATAGATTGACTTGATTCTTCACTGCTGTGGTAGTAACAGCAATGCTTCAGAGTCTTTGGAATGATTTCTTTTATGACGACTTGAAGAGATGGGGCAGCACTGGATAATGTCATCATAAGGTTCCCAGTGAAGATAAATGATAAGTAATGAAAATGTTTTCTTCTGTTTTAGGCTATTGTTTATGTGCCCTGCACTATCAATGGAGAGAACGTCATTCCTACTGAAAAAAAATTGGCTTCCCTGCAAGCAGTTTAAGACAGAAGAAATTATGAGAGATATCACACAGGCAAACTTAGCACATCAATAATCTCACAATTTCCTGTAATTGTTCACAAATATATTTGCAGCTTCAATATTTAGCAGATTAAAGGCCCTCCCTCCAGATGCTCCTAGAAACAAGGGAGAAACTTGGCCTTGAGGAGTGTCTCATCTATTGACAAATGTCCCCTACAGAAGGCTCTGTCGGCACCCGAATTGTGATATATTTAGCACAAAGTTTGAATATCTGTTATGAATGGTTGCCTCTAAGCTCATTGGTTCTCTTCTATTGTGGCCAACTAAGGGCATTTGTTAAAGCATTTTCAGCAGAGATATCCAGTATCCAGCTAACTTCCTTTACACTGTTCTGTCATTGCAACTAAGATCATAAGTGATGTGCCTGTGTTGTGATGTATCAACCTGTTTCCTTTCTAATAATGTTTTTGGGCAAAATAAAGTCTATGCTCTTCAAACTTCCCTTGCATCTGTGCTATTTAGCTGCTTTCTGTATTATATCAAAGACAGTGAATGATCTATTTTGTGTGCAACACACCTCTCATCACAACTCTAATACTGTCCTTTTTCCTGAGTACACAGGAATATATGTATGTTTGCACAGACAAGGAAGGATTCTCCTACCATTCCTGTGGGTGTTCCCCTACTCAGACCATGCATGTGTACATAGACATGTACAGTCATGTATCCATCTGATCTGGGTTCATGGCAGCAGACAAGTTTTTTCCCTAGTTCTTACATTCTTTGTGACCTCACCAGACAGGCAGGGGGATAGTGAACTGTCTGCCTTCATTCCCTAAAGTCTTTTGATCTTCAGGGAAGGCTTCTTATCCCACATCCTTTCCCTGCTTCCTCCCTGTGTTCTCTAATTAGGAGTCGGGTAGCACCTGATTCCTGGAAATGGAGTCTTCTTTCGGTTTTCTAGTGCTGGCAAGACAGATTCCCACGGGCAGTCACCAGAAGTGGCTGTGCATCAAGGGATGGTCTTTGCTGCATCTGTTTCACCAGTGCCTGAAAAGGGAGTAAGGAAACTGTCTGATATGGTCCTAGATGTTGTTTCATGTACAGTAAGATCTAGATGATATAGAAACACCAGAAACTATGTTTCCTTGCTTTGGGTTTTTAAATTTTTTCTATGCAAATTTATACAGAGTTATGCTCACCTAGATTTATACAGATATATGCTCACTTGGATTGAATCCTTTAAGAAGATTACAATCTCATTTATGTGGATTTACAAAATCCTTTCCCAGTCACTTTCCAATAAAACATTTAAATGGGGTTCCTGCTCTGTTGAGTGCATTTGCTAGTCCAAGAATTTGGTACATAGATGTACCAGATGTGTGGCAATGAATATTGCTGATGTTCTTGTCAGTTGCATGGATCATGCTCACAACTTGTCAATAAATATTTTTGCATTTCAGGAGCAGTACCTTAAATTACATGTATGGATGTGTGTGTAATGTTCCACTCCAATGCTTTTGGTAGTTCCCAACAGTTTTCTCATGTTGAGGCACTATTATCCCATGCATTTGCAGGTAAAACTATGGCCTAAAATCAATATAATGCTAGCAGAGTGAAAATCTCCAAACAAAGTTATGTTGGATTGCAACATTACCCCAGTGTTAGGGTCCATCTACACTACAATGAATGCAACTTGACATCGCTTTAACTGCCATGGCTCAATGCTATGGGATTATGGGATTTAGAGTCTGGTAAGGGACCAGCACTCTTTGGCAAAGAAGATTCAACCACTACTATAATTCCATAGCATTTGAGTGGTGGTAGTTAAACTGCATTCATTCTATAGTATACATGTACCCCAAGGTGTGTGTTTACCTTAATAAAGTATTATTATTTATATTTCAAAAGAAGATCCCATACTTTGCCATTTTGGGTTTTCTTTTCTAACTTCCCTCTGATCTCAAAAATAAAAATCAACAGCATGTCATACTCCACAAAATACTCACTAAGAAACCACAGGACTTTTAAAAATGACCTCAAGAACACAACATCCCCCCCATTCAAATGCTATGTAGACATTGCACAGCCTATACAAGGAAAAACAAGAAGGTTTCATGAGATCTTATATACGTAGCTAAAAACATTTGAGGAGCAAAACATCAAAGTACCCCATCTAGAGCTGTTGAGATCAACATCCTGTTAAGAGAGAACAAGCACAGACAACATTCACATAAACAATGTATTGTATTAGCTTTCCTCACATCCTCACATCCTGAGGACGTTTGCCATAGATGCAGGTGAAACGTCAGGAGAGAATGCTTCTAGAACATTCACATAAACAATTTTAGCCCCGTTCCCTTGTTATTCAAGCTGATTTCATCATCATATGAACAGAGGAATCTTGTACGCCATCTCCTTCCATCATCTCTGCCCTCATGTGGAAAGTGATATTTCTGCAGCAAGTAGACTGCTGTTTGCATAGAGTCTCTTCGTACAAGCTAGAACCCTGGAAAATCAAGAGATCTTAGTCACGTGGACAGCCTTCAAAGAAACTGGAAACTCTTCTCTGCAAATATGTCATTTTCAATCTGAGGAAACTGACAACAGAGGATGGCAGGACTTAATCTTCCTCAACTTGTACAAAGAGAAGAAAACAAAATTAATGAGTAATAGAACTTTTACATCTGAAAGGATCACTATAAAGAGAAACACAGAGTCCCAGCTTTGTGTTATCTGTTCCATTGCTTCCTTGAATCTAAACAGATAATTTCAAGTTTGACTTCATTTCCTGTCACTATTACTCTTCATGAAGTGATGTAGCTTTAGCCAGCTTCCCTGAGTCCCGTTGGCTTTATATCAGCATGTGACTTGCATGAATATACTCATGAATTAGCTGCTGATGGCTATTACCTGTTATTATTAAACACAGCAGTTTAATCTTGGTGTTTTCATGATATAAACACCAACTTGTAGGAGAAGTATTTTAACATTTTTTTCTCATTTATCCACAAACACTTTACCTGCTGTAGGAAAGGTCTGCTCTCTGGTGGACATTTTGAATGGAGCATGTTGTTTAATTTGTTCTTAAAGTATTTAGTTTACAAGCAAGGATCATTTTTGGTTCTTTTCTCGAGACAAAGGATTAGTACTTTCCTGGAATTTAAATTAGGGCTTTCCCATTATAACTTAGAAGTTGGAGGGGGGCAAAGTCCATTCTGCCATCCCCTTCAGTGTTCCCTACGGTTTATAGGAAAAGGTGAAAGAGGAGAAAAGACACGGTTTGAGAGATGCTGAAAAAATGGTAGGTTGGGACCAAAGTTTCAAATATTATTTTTTACTTTTTTACTATTTGCAGGATGTTTGCAAGTAGATCATAACTTCTATCAACTTTCTGATTAATATGTACAGTCCAAGACCTGTCCTAAAGACTTATCAGGCAATTGATCTGTAAGAATTGCATTTTATTATATTCATGATTTCCTGGCTCTCAAATTCAAAATGCCAATTCCTGGGCCAGTGACATTTTTCCAGGAAAGAAAGAAGCAACTGGTCTCAAGAGGCACAAATTTAGTGTTGGTTCCTGGCATATTCGAAAACAGTTGCTGGCATTCCACATCAGATGGCCTGAAAAACATACATGTCCTGGAGCATATATGGTTCATAACCTGCCCACCACCCTCAAAAGCTTGCACACCATTTAGACTAGGAGTTCTTAACCAGGGGTTCCTTGGTGGTCCATGGAAAGATTTCAGTGGATCAGTGAGCTCTGAATGGAAACCCCCCCCCCCCCCAACCTTTTATCTTTATTTTATCTGGCCTCTAACTGAAATCTAGCATTTCCTTCACTGATGACTGTATGCAATAAATTATAGTAGTATTTATTTCATATCATATTACACTTGTTGCATGTCTCAAAAATGTGATGAATTTGTGACTGTGTATTGAAATTGTGGGAAGGTTCTAAAATGTAATTTTGAATATTACTAAAATTTAATTTAAAGGCATGCCAATGTTCTGTGTCATAAAACCATCTCCTGCTATATTCTGAAGAGGGATCCATTGCTTTTATTTAACTGACAAAGAGATCAGTGGAGCAAAAAAGGTTTGTTTTGTTGGGGTTTTTTTTTTTACTTGACTAAGGGCCTTTCCACACAGCTCTCTATCCCAGAATATCAAGGCAGAATAACCCACAATATCCGCTTTGAACTGGGTTATCTGAGTCCACACTCAGATAATGTGGGATTTTCTGCCTTGATATTCAGGGATATAGGGCTGTATGGAAGGGCCCTAAGATTTCAGGAGTTGGTTTTTTAATTTCATTTATTTATTTATTTATTTACTTATTTTAAAACATTTAACATTTTACAGCTGGCTTGTTACATCATCTATTGTCAGATATACACTTGCCCCTACTATCCAACATCATTCATATAACATTATAAAAATACAGCTCTGTCAGTTCTATCACTTTTACATATTCTAATTTCATGCAGTGCATAAAATTATTATAATATATTTTCTAATTGTTCATTCACAGTCTTTCTTGGTCATTTGGTGGCTTGAATTCACCTTTACTTTTCATCTTCATCATCAGTGATCCCTCCTGGCCGAGTATGATTGCCTACCAAGTAGGTTCATAGATTTGATTGCAGATACCTATTCTTAATCTGCATGTTCTCCTGCAGTGAGGACATTGAGGACACACCTATGTGTCATCCAACAAAGATCCGCATAGTTAAAGCAATAGTATTCCCTGTAGTAACCTATGGAAGTGAAAGCTGGACCATATGGAAGGTTTAGTGAAGGAAGATAGATGCTTTTGAGCTGTGACATTGAAGGAAAATTCTGAGAGTGCCTTGGACCCAGGCCCATAGCCAGGATTTTGATTTGGGGGGGGGGGGTGAGTTTAATTTGAGGAAACTCGAACCATTTTTTTTTCATGTCAGATGCAACTTGAGAAACTGCTAGTCGCTTCTGGTGTGAGAGAATTGGCTGTCTGCAAGGATGTTGCCCAGTTCATCCAAGAATGTTAGGAGCCCCCGGTGGCGCAGTGGGTTAAACACCTGTGCTGGCAGGACTGAAGACCGACAGGTCGCAGGTTCGAATCCGGGGAGAGGCGGATGAGCTCCCTCTATCAGCTCCAGCTCCTCATGCGGGGACATAAGAGAAGCCTCCCACAAGGATGATAAAACATCAAAATCATCCGGCGTCCCCTGGGCAACGTCCTTGCAGACGGCCAATTCTCTCACACCAGAAGCGACTTGCAGTTTCTCAGGTCGCTCCTGACACGACAAAAAAAAAACATCCTTGTGGGAGGCTTCTCTCATGTCCCCGCATGGGGAGCTGGAGCTGACAGAGGGAGCTCATCCACGCTCTCTCCAGATTCCAACCTGCAACCTGTCGGTCTTCAGTCCTGCCGGCACAAGGGTTTAACCCACTGCGCCACCGGGGGCTCCATAAACAGCTTGTATTCCCTGATGAATCTCCTTTGGGGTGACACCTTCTGTTGTCAAGAATATTATTTATTATTTATTTACTTTGCTTATATACCGCTGTATCTCAAGCCCGAAGGCGACTCACGGCGGTTCACAAACAGTAAAAACAGTAGAAACAGCAGTGGTTCCATACAACATATAACAATTGACTTAACACATTATCCATAAATTACCAATAAGCAATTACAATGCACAATTATTACAAAAAACAACCGTACCCAATCTTCTCATCATCCAAGCGTAGTCCAGGTTCGTCGTCCATTGTTCCATTCCTATGTTCCATTACCAGATTGCACTAAATTACTCAAACGCCTGCACAAACATCCAGGTCTTCACCTTTTTGCGGAATACCATTAGAGATGGTGCTAGTCTAATGTCCGTAGGAAGGGCTTTCCACAGCCGAGGAGCCACCACCGAGAAGGCCCTATCTCTCGTCCCCGCCAGCCGAGCTTGAGAAGCAGGCGGGATCGAGAGCAGGGTCTCCCCGGAAGATCTCAAACTCCTGGTGGGTTCATAGGCAGAGATGCGGTCAGATAGGTAGCTTGGGCCGGAACCGTTTAGGGCTTTAAAGGCCAACGCCAGCACTTTGAATTCAGCCCGGTAGCAGATCGGTAGCCAGTGGAGTTGGCGCAACAGGGGGGTTGTATGCTCGCTGCGCTCCGCTCCTGTTAAAATCATGGCTGCCGAGCGTTGGACTAGTTGATGCTGGCGGGACCGAGAGCAGGGCCTCCCCGGAAGATCTCAAAGTCCTGGTGGGTTCATAGGCAGAGATGCGGTCAGATAGGTAGCTTGGGCCGGAAACGTTTAGGGCTTTAAAGGCCAACGCCAGCACTTTGAATTCAGCCCGGTAGCAGATCGGTAGCCAGTGGAGTTGGCGCAACAGGGGGGTTGTATGCTCCCTGCGCTCCGCTCCTGTTAAAATCATGGCTGCCGAGCGTTGGACTAGTTGGAGCTTCCGAGCTGTCTTCAAAGGCAACCCCACGTAGAGAGCGTTGCAGTAGTCTAAACGGGATGTAACCAGAGCGTGGACTACCGTGGCCAAGTCAGACTTCCCAAGGTACGGGCGCAGCTGGCGCACAAGCTTTAGCTGTGCAAATGCTCCCCTGGTCAACGCCGAAACCTGGGGTTCCAGGCTCAGCGATGAGTCCAGGGTCACACCCAAGCTGCGAACCTGCGTCTTCAGGGGGAGTGCGGCCCCATCCAACACAGGCTGTAACCCTATGCCCTGTTCGGCCTTGCGACTGACCAGGAGTACCTCTGTCTTGTCTGGATTCAATTTCAATTTGTTCGCCCTCATCCAGACCGTCACAGCGGCCAGGCACCGGTTCAGGACCTGGACAGCCTCAATGACTGCATGTTGCTTACATTGCACTGACTGATCATCTGGGCAGGGTTCCATACTTTGCACTTTAACAACACAACCATTCAATGCTAAAGCTTTCCGCCAAAATGGAACTGTAGAGAAGAGTCTACTGAACAAGCCAGTACCTGCCGCATACCAGTACTACCATCTGTTGATGAGTTACGAAGGTGGAGGCATTACTTTTCACTCAATCCTCATATTTGCTGTGTATGTGGTTTATTTCTGCTCCAAGTTGAGCCAGGACCGGCTTAAGACCTTCAGAAGTCCAACAAAAACAAGTGGCGAGTAGCTGGATATGTTGGAGATGCTCCTGAACTCCTGAAGCCGGGAGCGGGAGGCTCAGGCTCTTCCCTGCACGGGAAGGCTTCCAGGCTGAAGCTCTTAGGGACTGGGCCTGTTTCCCCACTTCCTCCCCCCCCCCGCCCCCCCCCCGCCCTTCCTCGGCTGGAGCTTTGGGGAGAGAGGGAGGAGCTACTTTGTTTTCGCCTCCGGACGCTGGAGCTTCCCCGCCAAACCCACCCGTTCAGACTGGAAAGGACTTGGCCGGCGGTGAGTCCCTTGCGTTCTTTGTCTTTTTGAGTTGTTGCTCTCCTCCTCCGTGACCCTGGGAGATGTCGTTTGGTGAGGTACCTGCACTCCTAGGCAGAGAAGGCGAAAGGCCTTGTAAAAAGTACAACTCCCATGACCTGTGGGTCCCCAGATGTTTTGGCCGTCAATTCCCAGAAATCCTGACAGCTGGTAAACTGGCTAGGATTTCTAGGAGGTGTAGGTCATAACACATGGGAGCCACAGGTTGGGAACCACTAGATTAGACCATTGCATGGCGCTTCATCACACTAGGCAGGCATGGGCAAACTTCAGCCCTCCAGGTGTTTTGGACTACAACTCCCACAATTCCGAACAGCCAGTAGGCTGTTAGGAATTGTGGGAGTTGTAGTCCAAAACACCTGGAGGGCTGAAGTTTGCCCATGCTTGCACTAGAAAATAAATCCACTTAAAATCAGGTTTAAGCCTCCTGCAGAATTCTGGGGATTGTAGTTTAGGGAGGAGCCTTTAATACCCTCACTAAACTACAAACCCCGGAATTCTGCAGGAGGTCAAAAGCAGATTTTAAGTGGATTTATTCTCTAGTGTGATGACGCATGGTAATGAAAGTGGTGCCAAACTGTGTTATTGGACAGTGCAGATGCAGCCTTGGGGTTGTTACCCAGAAACTTCCTTTATATAGCAGTGTTTCTCAACCTTCCTAATGTTGCCACCCCTTAATACAGTTCCTGATGTTGTGGTGACCCCAACCATAAAATTATTTTTGTTGCAACCTCATAACTGGAATTTTGCTACTGTTATGAATCATAATGCAAATATCTGATATGCAGGATGTATTTTCATTCACTGGACCAAATTTGACACAAATACCCAATACATCCAAGTCTGAATCCTGGTGGGGTTGCAGGAGGGATTGATTTTGTCGTTTGGGAGTTTGTAGTTACTGGGATTTACAGTTCATCTACAATCAAAGAGCTTTCTGTACTCCACTTACAATGGAATTGAACTAAACTTGGCACACAGAGCTCCCATGACCAAAAGAAAATACTGGAAGAGTTTGGGGGGCATTGACCTTGCGTTTTGGAGTTGTAGTTCACCTACATCCAGAGAGTGCTGTAGACTCAAACAATGATGGAACATGGCACGAATACTCAATATGCCCAAATGTGAACACTAGTGGAGTTTGGGGAAAATAGATCTTGACATTTGGGAGTTGTAGTTGCTGTGATTTATAGTTCACCTACAGTCAAAGAGCATTCTGAATCCCACCAACAATAGAATTGGGTCAAACTTCCCACACAGAACCCCCATGACCAACAGAAAATACTGTGTTTTCTGTTGGTCTTTGCCGGGACATGAGGACTGCCTGCATAGTATATCCCAGACATGGGCGAACTTGGACCCTCCAGGTGTTTTGGTCTTCAGCTCCCACGATTCCTAACAGCCTTAGGCCCCTTCCTTTCTTTCTTTCCGCTTAAGCGGAAAGGACTGGAAAGAAAGGAAGGGGCCTAAGGCTGTCAGGAATGGTAGGAGTTGAAGTCCAAAACACCTGGAAGGCCCAAGTTTGCCCATGTCTAGGATATACTATGCAGGCAGTCCCCAATTTACACACAAGATAGGTTCTGTAAGTTACTTCTTCGCTTGAATTTGTATGTAAGTTGGAACATGTACATTTTTACAATTATGATTCTAGCCAAATACATATTTTTAAGCTTTTGATAGCATAGGGAATCTTCTGCAACACCCCAGTGTTGCTTATTTTGTAGTCTGTGCCCCTGTTCAGAAGATTCCACCTCACTTTCCGCCCATGTAATAACTGGATTTTGGGGGGGGGGGAAATGGCTTATTGTGAAACAAGGATTGGGGAGAAAGCTTCAGTGAAGACACTTTTCCCCCGTGATAAGTCTTTTAGTAGTGATTTTTTCTTTCTAGAGGTGGGTTTCTCTCATTCCCTGTTGCCTCAACCCCATTCTTATCTATAAGTCATTTGTAAGTCGGATATTTGTAACTCAGGGACTGTCTGTGTAAAATATACTAATCTTTATTTTATAGCAGAGCTTTCCAAATTGTGTGTCATAACTCATCAGTATGTTGGCTGCAGTGTGTAGATGTGTTATCAAATGCAACGAGAAATTACGAAGATCTTGGAAATGTGTGTTGAATCACATATTTTAAAAAAATAAATGAAAGGTTTTCATGAAACGTTGTGTCCCCATTATACAATTTATATATCTTTCTGTATCTCTTGTAAGGGATTGATTTAACCTCCGGTTTGCAAGTAAAAGTGAATTACTGTGTTGCAAAATGATTATCTAAAAAGTGTGACACCAACATGAAATGTTTGGAAAGCTCTGAATGTTGTGGGTAACAAATCATAATATTTATTATTTGGAATATATTCCTATGACAATGTAGGATACCCTGTGTGGGTTATATTTCCATAGACTATTTAGGATGAACTATATATGCTTCCCTTATCCAAGGAGCCGCAGTGGCGCAATGGGTTAAACCCTTATGCCGGCCGAACTGCTGTTTTGAAGGTCAGCAGTTCAAATGTGCGAGATGGGGTGAGCTCCTGCCTGTCATCTCCAGCTTACTATGTGGGGGACCTGAGAACTCTTCCAACTCTATGATTCTGTGATTCTATGTCAGGGGTCCTCAAACTAAGGCCCGAGGGCCGAATACCCGACCCTCGCTCAGGGTCAACCTAAGTCTGAAATTACTTGAAAGCACACAATAACAACAACAATCCTCTCTCACCAGCCAAAAGCAGGTCCACACTTCCCATTGAAATACTAATAAGTTTATATTTGTTAAAATTATTCTTCATTTTAATTATTGTATTGTGTATAAGTGTTTTTGCACTACAAATAAGATATATGCAGTGTGCATAGGAAATAATTCATTTTTTTTTTCAAATTATAATCCGGCCCTCCAACAGTTTGAGGGACTGTGACCTGGCCCTCTGTTGAAAAAGTTTGTGGACCCCTGTTCTATGTCATGAGAGAAGCCTCCCACAGGATGGTAACACATCCGGGCATCCGCTGGGCAACATCCTTATAGATGGCCAATTCTTTCACACCAGAAATTACTCCAATTCACTTCTAACATGATAAAAAAATCCCTTAACCACAATTCTGAAATCCAAAATTGGCCACATGGGTGACTAATGTCATATTTTTTATTTCTGATGATTCAATGTACATAGACTTGATTGTATGATAAAACTATTTAATACTATTGTGTAAAAAAAAAACCAACCTATGTTTACAAAGGGTGTATCATACATAAATTAATTTCATATTTAGTGGGTCTCTCAAGATATCTAATGAGATGTTGGACAGGATGGCCCACGAGGGCTATGATTCTGTGTCTAATAAGCAAATACAGGTATGCCAAAATCCAAAACACATCTGGACTCAAGAATTTTGAATCATGGATACTCAGGATGTAGAGAATTAGAGTAATACTGGTTTGAGCATTTGATTATGATTCTGGAGACCAGGGTTCAAATTCCCGCTTGGTCATGGAATTCCACTGGGTGACCTTGGGCAAATCACACACAATTTTCAGAGGAACGCAAAAGCAACCCCCCCCCCCTTAGACATTAGTCAGCAGCCTTTTTGGATTGACCAGTCAACAGTCGCATTGTTAGGCCACATTTTACCATCTTCCTTGTGGGAATGTCATGGGGGACCTTGTCAGAGGCCTTATTGCAATCAAGACATGCTATATGTACAGCATTCCCTTCATCTACCAAATTTGTATCTCTGTTTTAAAAAGAGAGATACGGTTCATCTGGCATGACTCTTTTTTGAGAAACTCATGTTAACTTTTTATGAGTTTGGCATTCCTTTCTAAGTGCTTGCAGATTGTCTCTTTAATGGTCAGCTCCAGAATCTTTCCTGGTATTGATGTCAGCAATTGCTTCCCACCCTCAGCTGCATTTTCCCTGGAAGATTTTGGAGAAGTTATTAAAATGAATTTTCATCTGTGCACTGTCAGATTGTGGAAACATTTGTTTTCCTTTGGCATTCACTGCTTTCTTGTCTGTCAAATTACTGTCCTCTTTCTTGCCAGAACTCTGTATCTTATCTTGTATCAGAAGTGTGGAACAGATAGTCTTCTAAATGTTGCTGGAATGACTCCCATTAGTCCTCGTGGACATAGCCCATAGAGAGAAATGATGGCAATTGCAGCTTAACAACAACATCTGGGGGCCATAAGTTTCTTCATTCTTGTTTTGAACCATAGGAACATTAGAGCAGTCCACTGATTTATTTTTTGTCTATTATATTTCATTTGGTTATTTCTTTCAGTATTATTATTTTCTGAGTTAACCAGCACTCATGGGGGTATTAAATGCCAGATCAATGTAGTTTCCAATTACTTGAGAATTGCTTGAGAGTTACTGTTAAAATAGGCTTAACTAATAGTATACTCCATACTATACTATACCACATCAAAGTACAGTAATTAAAAGCAAATAAAGACAAACGTAATGAAACTGCATTACACATGTATTTTAATTTTTATTTAAAGTGTTATTTCTTTGATAACTGTATTATTATTATTATTATTATTATTATTTGAAACATAACAAGATTAGTACACAGCAAACAAGATTGCTATGCTCGCTGTTGTATTGGATCACATGTCAGACACTTCCCAAGTGTCTAGGACTGTGTGATGTATTGGTGAATAATGCATGCAGATCCCAGTAGGGTGGCCTTTTGCAGCTGTCAGATGGTAATTTTGTCAGTGCTGATTGTGTTTAAGGGCAGGCCAATGTACTGATCATCACTGGGACCACCTTTATTGGCTTGTGCCAGAGCCTTTGCAGTTCAATCTTTAAATCCTTGTATCGTGTTAGCTTTTCCAGTTGTTTCTCTTCAATCCTGCTGTCACCTGGGATCACAACATCGACGATCCATACTTGGTTTTTTAACACAATTGTGAGGTCAGGAGAATTGTTCTCCAAAACTCTGTCAGTCTGAATTTGGAAGTCCCAGAGTAGTTCGATGTGTTCAGTTTCTGTTATTTTTTTCGGGCTTGTGATCCCACCAGTTTTTTTGTCACAGGCAGATGGTATTTGTGGCACAAGTTCCAATTAATCATCTGAGCAACAGTGTTATGCCTCTGCTTGTAGTCTGTCTGCGTGATCTTCTTGCAGCAGCTGAGGATGTGATTATTTTTTTCCTGCCTTCCCCTGAGTCAAGTACCCATTTGACAACTAATTATTATTTTCCCCATTTCTCTCCCTATTGCTACCCCATTTAACTTATTTTAAGATTCATACATTTCTTTTTTTATTTGGTTTGATAATTCTTCTCCCTGTCCTTGGGTACCAGAACATCAGACAAAGGTGACCTGCAGCTACATGTTACAGTATATCTTCCTTCCCAAAAGCAGTGCTGATGTTCAAATTGCATGGCTCTTTGACACCCAATCTTCGAAGGTTGTGATGTTGTGGAGAGCATGAGGATGTGTTTCTAGTGAAACTTTCTTTGTGGTGCACTCCCTCTCAGATCTGGATTGGTACCACAGTGTGGAGTGCGAGGGGGGATTCTTTGCACTTAGAATTACACAGTGTAATTAGGCCCTTAGATATCTGGCCTTCATCTTGTTTCGCCTCTGAAGACAATACAAGGGAAGGAATCAATAGATGTATGTGACCAGCTTTTTAAAGAGTAAGTAGTAGATGTCAAGGGCCTGATCTACATCAGAAACACGAATGGCACAGAAAGTAAAAAACAGCTCAGTCCAGATTGTGGAATTAATAGAGTTTGATACCATTTTAACTGCCATACCTCAGTACTATGGAATCTTGTGAGTTATAGCTTTACAAGGTCTTTAGCCTTCTCTCCCTCACCAAACTACACCATGGCATTATTTCTACAATGTAGGTGCACCCTGGGCTATCAACACGAGCGTCTTTTTTAAAGCCAGTCAGACCATTGTGAACAGTAACTATTCTGGTTTGACTCACAGATTTTGCTGCTTTCCTGTTTTGCAGATCTTTTGCAATAATGCAGATCTTTTGCAATAATTTTCAATCTGGAAGGGGATTGCATGAATTTTCAATCTTAACGGAAGCAATGGAGTGTCAGTGCTGCAACATTAGAGAATCCCTATACCACATTTTTATTTATTTATTTATTATTTAAACTTATATGTCACCACTCCCCTGGGGCTCGGAGCGGCTTACAAGAATAGCTAAAATCTAAGAAAATTTAAAAGCAATTTAAAACAATTTAAAATGAAACAATTGGCTGTAATTATTTCTCTTGGATGTCTTGTGTTTTCATACAACGATGTGTATGTTTATGTGCCTTTAAGTCACTTGCTGATTTATGGCAACCCTGTAGAATCATAGAATCAAAGAGTTGGAAGAGACCCCAAGGGCCATGCAGTCCAACCACATTCTACCATGCAGGAACATACAATCAAAGCCCTCCTGGCAGATGGTCTTCCAGTCTCTCCTTAAAAACCTGCGGAGTGGAAGACTCAATCACACTCCCAGGCAGCATATTCCTCTGCTGAACAGCTCTTAGCAACCGGAGATTCATATGAAATCTCTTTCCCTGCAGTTTGAATCCCTGCTCCATGTCCTAGTCTCTAGAGCAGCTGGAAACAAGCCTGCCCCATCTTCTGTATGACATTCTTTCAAATACAGAGAGTGCAAAAAATGCACATTTTAAGAAAGGAAAAACGGCATTGAAGTTGTAATCCTCAAAATATACTGATAACAAAAGATGAATACAAGTCACATATGCCTTCTGCAGTTACAAAAGGTGCTCAAAGTAGTTCCCATCAGCATCCAGGCACTTCTGATTCTGGTGAACTACTGCTTGAGCAATGTTGACCAAGGTGTCCACTTGTATTACTGTGTATGCCGTTTCAATTACTTCCCAAAGTGCCACCAATGTAGCCAGTTTTCTATGATACACTACATCCTGTAAGGTCCCCCATAGGTAGAAGTCAAGGAGTATTAAGTCAGGAGAGCATGGGGGAAACTCAACTGCACCTCTTCATCCTATGAATTGTCCTGGCAAATTCTCATTGAGGTAAGCTCTCACATCTTGGTGGTAGTGCAGTGGGGCACCATCTTTTTGGAAGTAAAAATCAATCATGTAATAATCTTAGGATGAAAACTTTTCAATGTTGCTGTTTTAAGAATACATCCTATGCTCATTCTTCGAACTCCTGTCTCATGTGCACATTGTTTGCTAGACTTCTGTGGTGAGCTTTTAAACTGTTCAATACCATAGCAGAAGAAATAGGACTTGTTGCTGTGCAAGGGCTCCTGGGTCTTCCCTTGTGCAAATCGCATTCAGTACCATGCCTCTCAAACTTATTACAAACACATGCAGTTGTTAGGAATGTTGAAGGTTCTGTTGCATACTTACATTTCCATTATAATTGTACTTCCACAACATTCTCAAATTTCAAATACCACTTCAAAATGGTCTTGAACTCCTTGAACGACAGCTGTGCTTCCACCATTTTCTTTGACTGTCCTGTCTCTCACACAGTGACACTAGCATTCCTTTGATTAATGTGGTCTTTTGAGTGAATGCCATACTGCACATTGCTACCATACTTCAATTCAACTTTGAAAAGTACCCTAATACTGGTAGTTAAACATGGCACCTTTTCACTTCATCTTGCTCTGTTTAATGTGTATTACCTCTCTTTGCTGCAGAAATGTCTTCTACTGTGACAGATTGTGGAAATGTAAGGATCATCACACAGGTCATCCCACAGACGGGTCCGCAGTCAGCAGAGGCTCCTCCTGTCACAATGCTTGGGTCAACTTCGTCACAAATGATATCACCCGAGCCGAAAAAGCTCAAGAATATACAACCAAAAGCACTTGGAGTAAGGAGCTACAGACTTATCAATCTAGGCCCAGATCCAGGTTTATAGAATTTCTTTGTACAAGACCAAGTTTCTTTCAAGAATCTTAATGAAAATGAATGACCAAAAAGAAACCATGCATGAAGTCCCCTTATTATCATATTTCATTGCTTTTTAACATTCCCTAATCTGAGAACATCTTCATTTCTGACCCCCTGGTTGAAGAGGAGGAATCTGAGGACAAGAAAGCTACCAAGAAAACACACACACACACACACATGGAAAATGTCATTCATAATTTTTTGGAAAAACACCTTTTGGAGATCATAACTTTTTAGAAAAGCATGACCTTTCAGAGAAGAGCCAAAAACCCTTTAGGATAGAATCCTGAGGGAGGTGATGGAAAGTTTTGCCACATGAGATGACTTTTCCCTTCTTTCCAGTGAGAAAAGTGCTCTCCACAGTAGCGAGAGGTCAAAGGAAGGTCTCTGTCCATTCCTTCCTATGCCAAATTACAGTGAGGTTCACCAAGAAGGTGTTCAGCTGGTATCAAGTGGAAAGTGGGAGAGGGAGAGGCAGAAGGGGGGGAAATATTAACCAGATATAATTATGCAAGACAATGGTTTCAGTTGTTAGACTGAATAACCTGTTATCTCTGATCTGTTAGGAAAACAGATTTGCAGTGCATAAAAACAGCAGAGCTTTAGAAGTGTATTTTAGTGCCCAAAAATATATATTCTCCAATAAAATAACTTGTTTTATATCATGCACTCAAGAGACCAAAATGAAGTAGACTTTGATAAAAAATATCATATTTGGTTTACATACAAACTTCATGTGTTCAGCACATGAACTTAGCAGTCCAGGTTCAAATATCTTTGATATAATTCTCTGTGTTATCCGGCCAAGGCATGCCTCATAACAAAACAGCCATCAACAGGTCACATAGTCAAAAGGAGAGAGAGAAAGAGCATGTCGTCTGCAGCCCCTTTTATAACTTCTCAGGAACAATAGAGTAAAGGAAGCTGCATACCAGAACTTACATACAAGAAACAGTAAGCAACAGGATCATAGATAAATATTACTAGAGAAGGCTTGAAGAAGGTTGTCACTACCAGTCTGTTCTCATTTCCTGGTGTTTTTGTTTGTCTGTTTGAATGGCACATACTCTTCATACTTATTGCCATCACAAAGGGCTACTCTTTATATAAGACCCCTCTCCCAGTAACATTGCAAGATGTCATCCCTTGGTTGCATATTTTGCCCCTGCAATTTCAGACCCCAGAGTAATCCTGAGCTGACAGACTGCTTGGAGTAGTATCCCAAAGGAGGTTAGACTATGGACCATTTGATAATACACAACTGCAGGGTGATTGTTCCAGTTTAACTGCTATGCCTCTCTGGTGTTTGCAGTTTGGTCATTGACACCAGAGTACCCTTCAGACTGATGTTTATTTTTTTCAAAAAGTAATTATCATCCAGAGCCAGTGAGAGGTTTGGGTGATGGTCTTATATGCTCTGGTAAATATACCTGTTACGACTTCTGTGACTATGAACAAGCTTGGCTCTTGGAAATAGATAACGGTGAGGAAAATGTTTGCACAAGCCAAGCAAGGTTAAGAGAAATAGCTGTCATGGTTAGGATAAGAAGAGAAATATATTTGGTGACATTGAGATGAATTGCAGAATAATTACGGTTGATGAGATGCATGACATCCACAAATATTGATCCCCTACCTCCTTGTTCTTCTCCAGGCGGTACTGATTGTTCTGGGGGCTACACAGATAAGCTTTGGCATTCTCCTGACTGTAGTGCAGCATAATTTTGAGAGCCTCACCGTGAAAAGTGGTGTCTACTTCTGGATTGGGATCTTGGTAAGCACGCTGTCTGAGAGAACGGGAAATCACTCACTGCTCTATAGAACACCTTCTTGGCCTGATGCCCTCTAGATATAGATGATGGCAGTTTCCATCAGCTCCAATTAATATCGTAGGAGCTCTTGAAGGTGAGAAGGGAGGCATTTATTGCTATTGGCAGAGAGGCCTGAAAAAAGGGGACCAAGTTGCAACAAGTAGTAAATCATCCACCCTATCCCACTGCTGCCTATGTCTCACCCAAATGTTTAGTCAGTTGCACATTCTGCTTCTGTCTAATAGATATGTGCATATTTTTGCCATGCAAAAATGAATTTGTTTGTTACACACACTTAATATAAAGTGAGGACCTTTAAGTGGTTCTATAAGTTCATTTTTTTTGAGAAAAAAAATGAATAAACTGATCAGAAAGTAAAATGAATAATTTTGAATTATTTCTGAACTTTATCATCCTGTCCTGATTCTGGGTACTTTGGCTTTTGCAGAGAGAGATTGAGAGAGAGAGAGAGAGAGAGAGAGCACAAAGAGGTTCATTCCTGATGCTTGTTCTTTATTTTTTCCCCCCTGTCTTGTGCAGTTACTGTTTGCTGGGTCATTGCTTGTGGAAATGGAGAAAAGAGAACATATTTGGCTGGTAAATATTTCCATGTGTATATATACAATGTTGTGTTGAGATCTGAGGGCAGCTGTACTTTCATAGGATAAATCAATTTAATAATCCACTAATGAATCCAGTCATGTACTCATTCATGGCTGGATATTTCACTGCAATCATCCACAAATTTGTCCATGCTGTTACAAAGTGTGCCATTTGAACACATGAATGAATTCATATATAGTCTGGGTACACATGTGACTTTGACAATAGATCAGATCTCTCTTCAAAGAGATTTTTATTGAATATTAAACAGGAGTAAATATTAAACAGGACTTGCGGAATAAACACAGTTGCTTTAGGGTGGATTGATATTAACTCAAAGTAGGAAAATTTGCAAGACTCCATGGGCGGGGTTGGAATTAAGCAATTTGAAGCTCTTTGGGTTGATAAGAGGAGGAAAAGATGAGGGAAAAGAAGAGATTTGACAATAAGGGCAATATAATACTTTGCCTGGGGCCCCCTGATGGCAAGCGGGTTCAACCACTGAGCTGCTGAACTTGCTGACTGAAAGGCTGGCAGTTTGAATCCGGGGAGCAGAGTGAGCTCCAGCTGTTAGGCCCACCTCCTGCCAACCTAGCAGTTTGAAAACATGCAAAATGTGAGTAGATCAATAGGTACTGCTTCTGCAGGGAGGTAACAGTGCTCCATGCAGTCATTCCAGCCACATGACCTTGGAGGTGTCTATGGACAATACCGGCTCTTCGGCTTAGAAATTGAGATGAGCACCACCTTCCAGAGTCGGACACAACTAGACTTAATGTCAGGGGAAACCTTTACCTTTACCTTAATACTTTGCCTAATCCACAGATACACCTTAAGAAAGAGGGTGCAGTTTTTGGGAACTGTAGTATGTCAAGAAATTACTCCCTAAAAGATAAAGATATGTCAGAGATCACTTCTCCTTGGTTTTATTGGACTTGTAAGAAGCTGGGGAGCTCTCCTGGCTGGAAGAGTGCAAGGAAAAGAGGACAAGTTAAGGTCCTCAAGCCTGAGCCAGGACTTTGACAAAGAGAATGTGCTAAAGAGATTATCTGGCCAAAATCCCAGATTCAAGGGTTCTGCTAGAAGTGAGACTTGATTTAGGTAGTGATTTCATCAAAATATGGGTCAATGATTTTCAGCATGGGATCTCCAGGAGGAGGAAGCAGGCAGCTCAAGCCTTTGGCTTAAGTAGACCCCATCCTGCAGAATAATAATGACCATTCCATTTAGATTTTTAAAGCATTCCAGAAAAGGAATAGCATCAGCTAGCTTTCTAAAATGGTTTCCTCAAGCAAAGGATGTCTCTATCTGGGCTTTCCGAAAGACTTTACCCAATATTTAGTTTAACAGACAGTAATATTCAGGGCATTTCAAATCAATCTCTCTATCTGGGCTTTCTGAAAGACCTTACCCAATATTTAGTTTAACAGACAGTAATATTCAGAGAAGCAGACACTTTAAAAGACATCTCAGGGTGTTGTATCCTTGCCCCAGAAAGGGCATTTCAAATCAATGTCATTATTACATTTCTTGCCAACTGCAGGACCACATTGTAAGAGAGCTAGACATTTGTCTGGAGGTTATTCCGTTTTTCAATAGCTTCTCAGAAAACCTAACAGTGATTGGATATAATGGAGTTCAGTTTTTAACCAGGAGAGCCATTTCCATTTAATCCTGCTCTTTTGGGCCATAGAGTCAGACTGTTTCCATTTTAGCACATTTATATTTACATCAAGGCAGAGGTGATGCACAGATCTTACTATCTGCTAATAATTCCTGTGCCCTCTACAACTAGCACTGGGAAGTGTGTGGACCTCCAGAAGTTGTTGCATTTCAAGTTCAATTACCTCAAGTGAGAAACTGAATTATTATTATTATTATTATTATTATTATTATTATTATTATTATTATTATTAGTGTGAGCACCCTCTATTTCTCTCCAGCAGAGATCAGCTGTATCTTCAACTAAATTTCTTTCTCCTTTCCATCTACAGTATATAGGTTAAGGAGCAATAGCTTTAGCAGGAGACTCTTCTGGGGCTTAAAAGCTGCTGGGAAGAGGAGAGGACATAGAACTTCCACTGCTATCTAGCAAGGCGATTTGCTTTGCAACAATGTACAAATCTTGCTAATCAAAACAGCCAAAGGAGCAAGGGAGTACCCCTTATCAAGAAGTAACTAAGTGTATGCCATGTAATGATAATGAGGTCAGGGAAGTATACTCTAAGTTTGTCAAGTGTTTTTCAAAGACACAGAACTGATCTAATAAATGCATCACTTCTTTGTTCATTCCATTTTACTGATGAAGGTGAAAGCAGTTCTCATCGCCAACTTCCTCGTCATTCTTTCTGCCCTGATTGCAACAGTCCTCCATGCTGTAGAAATTGCACAAGAGAAAAGGATTTCAACTGTATGCAATGTTTATGGGTATTGCCGTTCTAACACGGTAAGCTTCCCAACTCTTCTGTGTGGGTATGTATGTCATGAAGGTGGCAGGGGATTCAAAATATTCCCCAAACTGTTTTAAATCATGGGTTTTGGGAGCATCAGGAAACTGATGGCAATCTTAGATAGAAGAGAAGCTTCGCCGTTTGGGAATTATTCTAAGAGGGAAACACTCAGAAATGTGCATAAAATAACATTTCTGGACAAGAATACTACATGCATTTTTTGCTCATAATAATCTCAAACTGCAGATAGCCATAGAAAACTGCTATTGTCTATTAATCTCTTGCAGTAAGGAGAATTTTGGTAAAAGTATTCTTCCCTGAAATTTGAATGACATTTTTCAAAAAACCATATAGTTGTTGCATGCCCTCAAGTCATTCTCGACTTACAGTGATTCTCAGGCAACCTTGATCACATGATTTTTTGGCCACATTTGTTCAGAGGGGATTTGCATTGGATTTCCTTTGAAGGTGGGAGTGTGATTTGTCCAAGGTCATCTAGTGGGCTTCAATAATAATAATAATAATAATAATAATAATAATAATAATAATAATAATAATAATAATATTTCTAGACCGCTCTCTCGCCTCGAGGGGACTCAGGGCAGTTTATATACATACAAAAAGGCAAACATGCAATTACATAATTAAAATTATACAACATCAAGAATGTAAAATAGATAATAATAAACTTAATGCTAAAAGAAAATTAAAATTAAAGTAATAAATACAGCATAATTGATCAATTCAAACCATTATATCATGCCAGCTCTCATGCATATAGTAGCAGTCTTTTTTCTGATTACAATTTTTCTGACTATTATCTGTATTATTAAAATCTAACTTTTAAGATAGGGCTTTAAGGTAAAACATTGTCAACTTTTTTGAAAATGGTTGAATTTGTGGATATTAATAGGTAAAGGTTTTCCCCTGACATTAAGTCCAGTCAGGTTGGTGCTCGTCTCCATTTCTAAGTTGAGAAGCCGTCGTTGTCTGTAGACACCCAGGTCATGTGGCTGGCATGACTGCATGGAATGGCATTACCTTCCTGCCAAAGCGTTACCAATTGATCTACTCACATTTGCATGTTTACAAACTGCTAGGTTGGCAGGAGCTGGGGCTAACACCAGGAGCTCACACCGCTCCCTGGATTTGAACCTGTGACCTTTTGTTCATCAAGTTCAGCAGCTCAGTGGTTAAACCCACTGCACCACCGGGAACACCAGGATATTAATACAGTTGGTTTTATTTGCTTTGTTTAGTTTTATGATCCTTTAACTTTTTAAGCCATTACAAAATCCTTGTGGATGATACGTGTGAAGCAAAATACTGTGTGTGTTTTTTAAATGTAAAGGTTAGGATTGGTATAATTCTATATGTTCCAGAAAAGTTAGTACTCTCTGAAACATCCTAGGTATACACTACATTTACACCAAAAATAACTGAAGTAAATAATTTGCATTTTGGTTTTAAACCAGAAAGGGGCAAGAATTCCTGCATTCCTAGGCAATGGGTTGTGATGGTCCTTCCAAATCTGGAATGATAATAAGTTGATTTCAAAGTAGCTGGATCATTGGCAATCAGCATGACCATTTCTTATTTTGTCCACAGAATCTGGCATATGGGCTCAATGGGGCCTTTATCATCCTTTCATTCCTTGAAATATCCATAGCGGTCACTGCCGTGGTGACTGCATTCAGAGCCACAAGACAGGAGGTCTATCAGTGGATGGTGAGAAGGGAACTCTACTTTTTTCTCTTGCTGTTGTTGAAACATATTTAATTCTAAAGCAGTCCACCTTTTTTCTAAACCAATCTAAAATACAACAATAAATTTAGGTGCAATCTGTTAGCTCCAAACATGCTCCTTCTTCCCTTGCCCCTCAAAAGTAACTTTTCCTAACTCTAACCCTGCCCAGTGCTTCCTTCTGACTTTGACAGCCAGGCTTCAAACTATGAACCAAGCCATTCAAAGCTATGAATCACTATGCACATTGCCTGATCAGCACTTAGTCTCTCAGCCATTTTACTGTTTTTAAAATGTGCACTTGTGTTTGTAACTGTTTTTCTGTTGTTGTTGTTGATTTTAATTCGTTTAATTCGTTCTCTTTTTATTTTATTGTACATGTTTTACCTTGTATTTTTGGGCTTGTCCCCTTGTCCCCTAGCGATTCCCCTTGTAAGTCGCCCGAGTCCCTCTGGGGAGATGGTGGCAGGGTATAAAAATAAAGTTGTTATTATTATTAGATCCTATTTTTTCAGTCCTATTCATATTTTTGTGGTCTGTAAATACATGAGCAAAAATGTTTGTAGGGACAGAAGGAATAAAGTACAGGCAGTCTCAGGTTAAGAACAAGATAGTTCTGTGGGTTTGCTTTTAAGCTGAATTTGTATGAAAGTCAGAAGAGAAACATTTTTAAGTGTAACTCCAACCAATTTTGTAAAATTTTGGATATCAAAGGGAAGGGCTGACAAGCCTGTAACATTTCTTTTGCTAACTGCACCCCTATTCAGAAGATTTCACCTCTGCCTCAGTGACATTTGGATTTTGAAATTTTGGTGTTGTTGTGGAAATAAGGATTGGTGAGGAAGCTTCAGTGGGAACACATTTTGTCATGACAACTCTTAAAGAGTGAATATCCCTTTCTAGGGGCAGATATCCTCTCATTTCCTGTTGTCACAGCCCAGTTTGTAACTATGACTTGTATGTGAGTCGGATGTCAGTAACTTGAGAACTGCCTTTACAAAATAATTAATACTGGGTGTCTTTTTTGTCTCTTTCCAGAAACTGTAATTCCTTTCACACCACCTGTTGTAGTATTGAGCATCAACATTATTTCTTTGCTGGATGCTAAGTGGCTGGGAACGCCTCTCCATCTTTCCAAGGCAGAACACAGTCATGAAAAGAAGTCTCCTCTAAATTCTGATGGCTTTTTGCATTGTATGCCCCTCTCTTTAGAAAACAAACTCAGGATTTGCCTGTGAAGGAGGGAAGGAATCAACAAGCTCTTCCTAAAATTGACATGTTAGATTGGAACTCAAAATCTGTGTGAAAGTTTTTTTTTAATGTCTAGCAAATGACCATACATTTGAGAGTGGGGGTTGTGAGTTTGTTGAAGTAGTTGTTTAATTATCATGCAGCAAATCACTTGGTAAATATTTCCTGTGAAGCCCTGTCACAAAAAACCCTCTTTATCAAAACCTCAACCATTTTGTTTCAGAGGGTCCTTCCACACAGCCATATTACCCAGAATCTCAAGGCAGAAAATTCCACAATATCTGCTTTGAACTGTGTTATCTGAGTCCACGCTGCCATATATTCCTGTTCAAAGCAGATGTGGAATTTTATTCACTTGTGTGTAAAGGGTCAGAGAAGAAAAAGAAATATATCTTTATCTACCTTCCATTCTGTAGCTTGCACTAACATTTTAAGGCTGCAGTGGTGTATATACTTGTTTCTGAAGAAGCTACTGAATTTAATAAAATTTATTTCTAAGTAGATATCTGTACTATTTCCCATTAAGGCTAAAATCTTATGCAAGAACAGTGCTTTGATTTTCCTGCCTGGCAGAATGAGGTTGGACTGGATGGCCGTCTTCCAATTTTTTGATCCTATGATTCTATGAAATGCCACTGACTGCAATGGAGCTTATTTCTGAACAGCCATGCATAGGATCAGGCAATGAAGGAAAGAGTACTGAACCATTCCCTTCTCTGAGTAGAGTGGCAAAAGACTCATTAAGTCATTCAGTTCAGTGACTGAGCCATTTAACATTTGTACCGTCCTGACTGGTTAGTGCTGCTCTATGGTTTGCTTTCTGGAGGCAGGAGAAATAAAACATTAGTGCACAGTTTATACACTTCACAAATGAAGAGATAAGACTTTTCCTCTGAGACTTTCCTAAATATATCTCCTTGATATGCCAGTTTTGTATGTGCAAGATCTCTTTCAGCTCAGGGAAAATGCAGGCATGCCATCTGCTCCATCTCACTGCCTACATCCTGAATAACACACACTAGGAAAAACGTTGTGGCAGTCTTTGTATTCACACACACTTAATTCCCATAGACCCCTGACTGGCTGTGCTGGCTGAGGGATAGGAGTTATATAGACTGGCACATAAAGAGAGAAGGCAATTTCTACTAGATGTGGAAATTAGTCAGGCATTACACTTACAGTAGCATTTATACTGTAGAATTAATGCAGTTTGACAACACTTTAACTGCTGTGGCTGGATGCTATGGAATCATGGAAGCTGTGATTTCTGAAGGTCTTTGACCTTTTCTGCCAAAGAGTGACTGGTGCCTCGCCAAACTACAAAACCCAGGAATCCATAGCATTAAATCCTGGCAGTGAAAGTGGTGTCAAACTGTGTTCATTCTCTGTGTGATGAATCCTATATCTGATTCTTTTTTTCTATAATTTCAGTGAAAATTCAGTATTTTGTTTCTCCTTATGATACATTTTAAGTCCAACACACCTGGAGGGCCCAAGTTTGCCCGTGCCTGCTCGAAAGGAAACCATCAAGATATCAAGAACCTTTGCACTTACAATGTACAAATAATAAAACCATACTACTGCATACATTTGAATTATGTATAGAAATGAGCACTTAGCCTAAGCCTCTGCACTAATATTGCCCTGAAGAATGCATTGCTGGCATTATGTGTTTATATTTGGATCTAGACCAAGCCAATTTCCAAATATGTTTAAATTGTATTTTGGGGTTCGGTTTTTAAGAGTATCTAATATGAATAGCACTTCCCTCCTATTTGTCTTCTGCATTTGTATTAGTGTTTAAAGTCCTCTTCCCCAAAAATAAATGGAACTTGTTTTTTTCTATGTGTTTCTCTTTGTACATTCATATGTAGAAAGAGACACTTCAAGCATGGGAGTTGTGATTTTACAAGGCCTTTAGCCTTCTCGGCTGGGAGTGCAGGTGCCTTAACAAACGACAACCCCCATCTTTCCATAGCATTGAGCCAGGCCAGTTAAAGTGGTGTCAAATTGCATTCCTTCCTCAGTATGGATGCAGCCGATGTTCTACCCCGGCAGAACCCTTGAGAGGGCAGATAGTAAATATAAAGCTTTACATTGTTTTAAAATGTATTTTCATATTTTATATTCCATGACACAAAGGTTTTATTTTTATATTCACATTGTAAGCATTTGTTTTATGTTTATTGTATCATGTTTGCTATTAGCGGCCTTGAGTCCCTGTATTGGGAGAAAGAAAGCCAAGATAAAAATAAAGCAAGACAATAAATACAAGTATGTTGTTATTGAAACACTACAAATGAACTGGACCTTTTAACAAGGCTTCTAACATATTCCCAGCTCTGCCCTTACTTACTGACGTACTTACTTACTTTCTTACTTAGGCGATCCCTCATTGTCCAAGTAAGATAGTCTTCCAGGATCAGTGTACTGGCGGTAGGTTCATAGGTGACTGTGGAGCCTTATTCTTGATCAGCATCGTCTCCCACAGTGAGGACATTGGTGGAAGGCAGACCTGGTCAGGGTTGGCTTGATGCGCCTTCCTCTTGGCACGTTTCTCTCTTTCACCCTCCATTCGTGCCTCTTCAAATTCTACAGCACTGTTGGTCACAGCTGACCTCCAGCTGGAGCGCTCAAGGGCCAGGGCTTCTCAGTTCTCAATGTCTATGCCAGAGTTTTTAAGGTTGGCTTTAAGTCCATCTTTAAATCTCTTCCTACCCACCAACATGCCATTTTCCGTTCTTGAGTTCAGAGTAGAGCAACTGCTTTGGGAGACGGTGGTCGGGCATCCGGACAATGTGGCAGGTCCAACAGAGTTGATGGTGGAGGACCATCACTTCAATGCTGGTGGTCTTTGCTTCTTCCAGCACACTGATTGTCTACCCAAGAGATTTACAGGATTTTCCGGAGGCAGCACTGATGGAATCGTTCCAGGAGTTGCATGTGATGTCTGTAGACAGTCCACGTTTCTCAGGCATATAGCAGGGTTGGGAGGACAATAGCTTTATAAACAACCACCTTGGTATCGCTACGGATGTCCCAGTCCTCAAACACTCTGCTTCATTTGGAAAAAAAGCTGCACTCGCAAAGCTCAGGTGGTGTTATAGTTCAGTGTCAATGTAGACTTTTGTGAAGAGGTGGCTGCCAAGGTAGCGGAAATAGACATTTTCTAATGTTACACCAGTAAGCTGTATTTCTGGCATTGGAGAGCTCTGCCCCTTATGGGGTTGGTTCTACACAGGTCATATAATGCAGTCTGAATTGAATAGAGCTGCATTATATGATTCTTCCATAGGATGCAGTTCAAACCAGCCTCCCACATTACAGAGATCCCAGCATGGCAGTGAAGGGTAACTCTGTGGAAGGCCTGGGCCAACTTGGGCCCTCCACGTGTTTTGGACTTCAACTCCCACCATTCCTCACAGCCTCAGGCCCTTTCCTTTTCCCCCTCAGCCGCTTAAGCGGCCTGGTCTATGGTCACAGTTCGGCGCGTCATTCAATTGCGCGGCCCTGACGTCACCCGAGAGGGCCTGCCTGGAGTCTCCCACGTGGAGAGAGGAAGTTTGGAGGGAAGTCAATCGGGGAAATGGCGGCGCCGGTCGCTGAGGGAGAGGCGGAACGGAATGAAGCGTCCCAGCAGGTTGGGAAGGCAGAAGAAGCCGCTGCCTTGGAGGAAAGAGGCTCAAGGATGCGTCGGGCAGCCCCTTCGGGAGAGAAGCGGAAGGAGGCGCCAGCCGTCCCCAGAGGGAGGCCGAAGTCAGGCCGAGTGTGGAAGGACGCCAGCAAGAAGCGGTGAGAGAGCAAGAAGAGGGAGCTGCGGGAGGTTGTGTTTATTGGCCTTGGAGGCTTCGCGTCTCTTAAGGGGGAGGGATAGAATCATAGAGTTGGAAGAGACCTCATGGGCCACCCAGTCCAACCCCCTGCCAAGAAGCAGGAAAATTGCATTCACATCACCCTCGACAGATGGCCATCCAGCCTCTGTTTAAAAGCTTCCAAAGAAGGAGCCTCCACCACACTCCGGGGCAGAGAGTTCCACTGCTGAACGGCTCTCACAGTCAGGAAGTTCTTCCTCATGTTCAGGTGGAACCTCCTCTCTTGTAGTTTGAAGCCATTCTTGTTGTCTCCAGGGCAGCAGAAAACAAGCTTGCTCCCTCCTCCCTATGACTTACCCTCACATATTTATACATGGGTATCATGTCTCCTCTCAGGAGGAAGAACACTTCGTGGCTGTTGGGTCTCCTGAATCACTTTAATAATTAGATACTACCTATTTCTTAAGGTTCATCTCCACTGTAGAATTAATGCAATTTGACACCACTTTAAGAACACCCTCCCCTCCCTCCTGCACGAGGGAAATGTCAGGGGAAAACCTTTACCTTTAAACCTTTAAAGGTAAAGGTTTTCCCCTGACATTAAGTCCAGTCACATCTGACTCTGGGGGGTGGTGCTCATCTCCATTTCTAAGCCGAAGAGCCGGCGTTGTCCGTAGATGCCTCCATGACTGCATGGAGCGCTGTTACCTTCTCCACAGAGTGGTACTTTTTATTTACTCACATTTGCATGTTTTAGAACTGCTAGATTGGCAGAAGCTGGGACTAACAGGGAACTCACCCCACTCCCCGGAATCGAACATGAGAGCTTTTGATCAGCAAGTTCATCAGCTCAGTGCTTAAACCCACTGCACCACCAGGGGCTCTGCCATGCCGCCATAGCTCAATGCTATGTGCTCTCTACTAAAAAGTGTTTGGTAGAGAAAGATGTGGCTCTTAATGATACATGCCTCATTATTACAGGACGTCTACACCCCACACCACTGGAGAAAGTATACTGTTTAGCCGGGAAGGCCCTCCTCTTGGTCCCACCTCCATCTCAGGTGCGGTAGGTGGGAACGAGAGAGGGAGTGAGAGAGACTGCCTTCTCGGTGGTGGGCCCCCCCATCTTTGGAATACCCTCCCGAAGGAGATCAGGCTAGCCCCCTACCCTCCAAGCCTTCCTTACACAACTGAAGACATGATTTTTTTCCTAAGCCTTTGACCATATTTTGGTTTCTTTAATGAATGTACATGAAGACCCAAAGATTTCATCAAGCACTTTACATGTCTGAGATTGATTACTGTTTATACCTGCAACTATGGCTATATTTTATTGATTTTTCCAGGAAGGGAGGTTGTGAAGTGAATCATCTATGTTGGCTGCTTTTTTATGTTATTGTTTCTGTCAGTTTTTGTATTTTGTGTGTTTGCATCTTTGAGTGCTTTGTTAGCCGCCCTGAGTCTCCCTGGGAGATGGTGGCGGGGTATAAATAAAGTTTTGTTATTTATGATTATATTATGAAATCTGCAGTGCAGATGCAGCCTGCAGTTGATTCCTTTTCTCAACAGTTTCAGTGAGAATTCGTTTTCCAAGACCTCTCCACCTCAGAGTGCTGGTGCCTCGCCCAACTACAATTCCCAGGATTCCTTAGCTTTTAAGCCATGGCAGTTAAAGTGGTGTCGCACTGCATTCATTCTTCAGTTTCTTTTTATGTCTTTCTTTTTATGGCTTTGCTCCAGATACCTCAAGATGGTTCACTTGGTTCTTCTCCCTATTTTATCCTTGCAACAAGCCTATCTCATCCAATAAGATTAATAAGCACTTGAACATTGCTTCTGAATCTCCTGTCCAATACTCTTAATCATTACTTCACTCAAGCTTTTATATATTTTCTTACTTACATCTCATTTACCTAGCTTGCAGACTTGAGGTTTAGTGGAAGAACACTAAAGCCGCCTTGAGTCCCCTTCGGAGTGGAGAAAAGTGGGGTAGAAATAGCATAAATAAATAAAGAGCACTGTGCACATTGTTCTGTTGTTGCTTCTTTTATGACTAAACTAAATCATGGCAGGCTGAAACAGTTATATATCATCCACACAATCATTTCCTGTGATTAAATTTAAGCTTTTCTCCAATGTATCTGATTGGACTTGTTGAGACTCATTCAAGCACACAGATTGATGTCTTAACTGATGCCTTAATTAGTGTATCCAGTTGATGGCTGCTTGGCTAGCTATGACTTTTGTGTTTCCTTTTGCTAGGTTCTCCCACATGACTAAGGACAAGCCTTTGCGTACCTCCTGGGAACGCAAGATGAAAGAACGTCAGGAGAAGAAATTAGTGAAAGACTTTGCTCGACAGTTGGAAGAGGAAAAGCAGAGAGAGCGTGAGGTGAGAAATGTAGTGTAGAGTACCTTATTTAGAAACGATTACTTTGTCACTATATATGAGTATAGTTATCCCTCAGTTGATGAAGGAACTGCTTCTGAGCATTACTACTTTAACAGAAAATTTGGTACCAGAGGCAGAAATGGCATGGAAAGAATAGGTGTAGACTACAACAAAAATGTACAATTCGATGTGTTTCATTGAATTTTTTATTCACATCTACTAGCAACATCCATATATAAAATGAAACAATCAAGTCTGGTGAAGAAAAACATTTTAAACCTTCTAGAGACTACTTAAAGGTTTCTTCCAAAATGTATCCAGATTATTATTATTATTATTATTGTTATTATTATTTGCTTTCACCAGCCTCTACTGTATTTGTGTAACCCACTGTCACCACCTGCCAAAATGCTATGAAAATCTATCTAGACCAATTCAAAGTGATGGGATGGTAGTTCTGGGAAAATATATAAAGAAGCTTCTTTACAAGATTTTAAAATAAAAAGAGGTATTCTTGTAGTATTAAATTAGATAATAATTGCTAGTTGCTAATAATAACTGGAGTGATTGAATTAATATGGTTTGGTAAGCTTTGAATCAATTACAAGTGTGTTTGATCATTTTACCTGTGTTTCCTGCCCTTCAGGAGAAAAAGCAGCGAAGGAAAGAGAACTTAAAAAGACGGCTAGAAAATGAGCGAAAAGCAGAAGTAGTGCAAGTGGTGAGTCTTGGTTCAAGTTCTTTTCATTTGCTAGGAAGGTACTGCAGCAATACTTCCAATAAGGTAGAGTAAAAGTACTGTTGAAGTACTCAGTTCAGGCCTTCTGATAGCTGAACCACCTTAGTAAATATGTGTCATAACATTACAGGCTTGAGTATCCCTTACTCAGAATTCCAAAATTATCCACATGGGTAGTTGAAATGATGACACTTTTTTCCTGATGTAAACAAACTTAGTTTCATGCCTAAAATTATTTTTATCATGTTGTATAAAATTACTTATGTACATAAAATGTATATAAAGATTTTTTTTGTTTAGACTAGACTTCTATCACCAATATCATCATCTTTAATTACTTATTAATCGCCCTCCATCCAAGATGTTCCAGGCGATTTACATTGCAGAAATTATACAGGATAAAACACATACATACAAATATCAAAATTAACATGGGTCAAATGCTCTAGTAAAAAGCCAGGTCTTAAGATATATCATTACGCACACATATGCAAATACAGATATTCCAAAATCCAAAACACTTAGGACCCTGAGCATTTCAAATAAGGAATATGAGTATCCTAATACAAGCAGCATTCAGTATACTTTTCTTGTTGCCATTTCTCAAGCAAGGAAGTCCTGTAGAGATCCAGAGGACTTTGAATGGCACAGATTTTATTTGAACACTGTCTTGCCCCAGGTTGACCTACTTATGACTACAATCAGGTGTGTTGATCTCACATAGATGTCTGTCTTGGCTTGGTTCCCTGGCTTCTTCAGTATTCAATCACAATGAAGTAGTTACTGTATGCTGAGAAATGAGCTCGCTCCATTATTACATGAGCTGCTGATTGATTATCTTGGCCATAAACTCTATGCCTCTTTTTTTCATTGGCTGTGTGCCACTTCAATTGGCTTGTGAAGAGCTAAACCTTAATGGAGCAACCCTTGCTTTTCTGTGACCCATTTAGTCTCTTGGACATCTTTGTCAGAGAGACTACTGTAGTGTCAGCATTATTATTTCATTTCGTTTTGCAATTACCATGGCTCTGTCCCAAGTGTAATAAAACCAGTCTGTGTGGGCTATGAAGAAAGAATGGCTTGCCCCCAAGAGTAGCAGGAACAGAAGAAAATTCAGGCTTCAGAGGTTCATAGCCTCAACTATACAATAGGAAGCTAATACACTTGAGTGTAGATGAAACTATGCAACACATTATCTGCCAGATAAGGTCTTTTGAAGTTGCTCTTGCTATGAAAATTTGGTTGCATGGCTACGTTTGAAGTCATTTTTAGTTATGATAATATGGCAACATAATGTAATAAAATGGATGGCACTGTAGACAGACTGATACAACATCAATGCAGCTAAAATCCACTTTTGTCATTTTTATTAGCAATTTATGGACATTGAGCAAATTCAAACACTAGTTCTTAGTTGACTGTTTCTCAAAAGTGTGGCTAAGTCTATTATACAAGAGATGTAAGATCAGCAATGTTATTGTTTTGGTTTTTTTAAAAAAATTTCATTTCTTCCAGATTCGGAACCCAATAAAGCTGAAGCGTGCAAAGAAAAAGCAATTGCGCCGCATCGAGAAGCGAGACACACTGAAACTTCTGCAGAAACAGCAGGCACAACATAAAGCAGCCAAGGAATAAGAACTTGATGGGAAGTGATCCCTCCTTTGGACATATGGAATTGATTTCCTGGTAGAGACATAAATCAGGGTCCTGCATCCATTGCAGTGGGGACGTTGGATGCACTGGTGGCATTTACCTGGTTTCTCTTGCCACTGAAAAATCAATTCTTCAAAAAAGCATCTGCCTCGCATCTAGCTGAAATTCCTCTTTGCTTTTTCTTGGTGTCGGTGATGCAGTCTGCAGCAGGCTGAACTTTAAAAATCTTATTAAAGACACTTAAATCCCAGAAGGTAGCTGAAATGGAGGAGAGCTTTGAAGGACTTTTTTAGGATATCTAGCTTCCAGACTTTTGTAAGTGTGACAATGAAAGTGTGGATTAAACTTAATATTTGTGTATACCTGTGACACAAGAAAACAAGTAACATGGTTGTCATTTATTAAGGGGTTCTTCACTGATGTCTGGGGTGGAGTGGGGAAATTATTGCAGTCATTACAGCTGTTCTAGAACTTCATTTTATCAATACAGTGTTAGTACTGTAAGTTAGTACCTTCTGGACTGCATTTCACAGCAGTATGAGCTCACAAAGCACACGTCCAAGGATTATGTGGGATTTTGATTCCAGAGTGTCTCTGAGCACCCAGCTGAGTACAGCTCTCCAAATATATTGTAGAGTTCATTAAAAATGGACTTAAAAGGCCCACCATCACAAGTCACAGAGTGTGGATAACAATTTTGTATTGTTTTTGACTTGCTGATGAGTTTCTGTTTCAAACCTCTCCTGGAACATAGCACCTGGCAGCTGAACCTCAGGCTCTTGAGTAGGTGAACATCTTCATGTTGAAAGAAGCACACAAACAGTACACTCAATCACTGCAGGGGGGATTCTGTTTAGGAAAGTGAGGATTGAAAGACCAGATGTCAGCATTTTTCCAATTCCCCTCATTTTGGCCTGTGAGCTTGAGGATAGGAATTGTGAAAGCTGTCATTAAAAATATCAGCAGTAAATTATGTTGTCTATAATTGTATGGTAACACAACTCTAATAATAAAACAACTTTATTCTTATACCCTGCCACCATCTCCCCAAAGGGACTCGGGGCGGCTTACATATAGACACAAAATAGTCAATGCAATAGGAGAACTGTAATGACCATATAGCACATAGTGACACTAATATCCCCAATACAGACCTGAATACAATGAAATGAGAAATACAATGAAAAAGGAGCAAGTGCTCTCAAACAGAAAATATCTCAGTCTGGCACCAGTCCCAATGTATGAGGGCTTCAGGGGTCCAAATCCGATGAAAAGATCTTCCAATATGCTATATGGTCATTACAGTTCACCTATTGTACAGACTATATTGTGTTTGTTTGCATATCTTACAAGCATTCTGGGGTATTGCTTAGCGGCGTACATATGAGTCAAATGCCCATAAGACAGAAAAGCAAAACAATCCATTAAAGCAAAAAAAAAAAAAACCATTAAAATTAGAGCATAGTAGAATATAACAATTCAGATAAAACAATTAAATAACATATAAGAATATAAAACAGTAGTGTTAAAACTCAAAATAATACTCAACAGAACCAATTACCAGTAATACAATAGACATGACCAGGCTATAAAAGGGACTGGGTGTGGGATAGTGCAAAACAGCGTATCATAGGGCCAGGGCACTGGATGACGTGCAGAGAACGAAATATCAGGTGATCTAGGGACTGGGCAKTGATAACTAGGGACTAACTGTTCTCAAATGCTAACTGAAACATCCAGGTTTTCATATCTCTACAAAAGGAGGACAATGTAGGGGCTTGCCTAATCTCCCTGGGGAGGGCGTTCCCAAGTCGGGGGGGGGGGCCACCATCAAGAAGGCTCTCTCTCTCATCCCCACCAGCCATGCTTGTGACAATGGTGGAGTGAGAGGAGGGCCTCCCTGGCAGATCTTAGAGCCTGTACTGGTTCATAGGGGAGATGCAGTCATGAAGATAGGCAGGACCGGAACTATTTAAGGCTTTATAGGCAATAACTTGAACTTTGAATTTGGACCGGAAACTTATCGGCAACCAGTGGAGCTGCTTTAGTAGGGTGTCCCTATAGGCGCTCCCTATAATTAGGTCCAGTTGGAAGCCTGGCTGCCAACCTTTGGACCAGTTGCAATTTTTGGGCCGTCTTCAAAGGCAGCCCCGTGTAGAGTGCATTGCAGTAATCCAATCTGGATGTAACCAAGGCATGGACCACCATGGCCAAGTCAGGCTTCTTGAGGTACAGTCACAGCTGGCTCACAAGCTTTAACTGAGCAAAGGCCCTCCTGGCCACCACCGACACCTGAGCATCAAGAATCAGCTTTGAATCCAGGAGGACCCCCAGACTGCGAACCTGTGTCCTCGGGGGGAGTGTAACCCTGTCAAGCACAGGTAAGCCACCCTATACCTTGCAACTGACCAAGAGGACCTCTTTCTTGTCTGGATTAAGCTTCAGCTTGTTAGCCCTCATCCATTCCATCATGGCTACTAGGCACTGGTCCAGGATCTGGGGAGCTTCTTTGGAATTTGATGGAAAGGACTAATAAAGCTGAGTGTCATCGGCATACAGATGGCACCGAACTCCAAAAGTCCAGATGATTTCACCCAACAGTTTCATGTAGATGTTAAAAAGCATGGGAGATAGAATGGAACCTTGCAGGACCCCACAGGTCAATGGCTAGGGGTTCAAGCAAGTGTCTCTCAGCTTCACCAACTCAATGTAATCCTCCAGGAAGGAGGGGAGCCATTGCAGAGCAATGCCTCCAAGACCCATTCCGGAGAGCTGCCCCAGAAGGATATGATGGTCGATGGTATTGAAAGCCACTGAGATGTCCAAGAGAACCAACAAGGACATACTCCCTCTGTCTAGCTCTCTGTGGAGGTCATCTACCAAGGTGACCAAAGCCTTCTCCATACTGTGAACAGGCCTAAAACCAGTCTGATGGCTCAAGATAATCAGTTTCATCCAAAAAATCCCTGGAGCTGGGAAGCCACCACTCACTCTAGAACCTTGCCCAAAAAAGGGAGATTCGAAATTGGCCGGTAGTTATTCACTATAGAGGAATCTAGGGATGCCTTCTTCAAAATTGGTCTTACTATTTTTTATTTTTTTAAAAAGATTCAATGGTATTTGTCCCTTTTCCAATGAGGCATTTAGCCGGTTCTGGCCCTGCTTACCTGTCTAAATGTATCTCCCCTTATAAAACATCTTGGAAGTTAAAATCGTCCGGGGAGGCCCTGCTCTCGATTCCACACACCCCCTCCCCACATGTACAACTGGTGAAGATGAGAGGGCCTTCTTGGCGATGGCTCCTCAGCTTTGGACCTCCCTCCAGAGAGAAATTAGATCAGCGCCCTCCCTCCTGAACTTCAAGAAGAAAATTAAATCCTGGTTGTGGGACCATGTGTCTACACAATGATTCCCAGTGCAACAACAATTTATCCTGGAATATGCTTTTGGACTGTGTGATTTTAAGTAATTATTTTAAGTGGTATGTTTTAATTATGTGATTTTAATGTTTACATTATTTTGTTTTTATCTGTATTCAAGGCATTGAATTGTGCCTGCTGTGAGCCGCCCTGAGTTCCCTTCGGGGTGAGAAGGGCGGGATATAAATGTGGTAAATAAATAATAAATAATCCTTGTAAACCGCTTGGCTAATCCCCCACTGGCAAGTTTGATAAGCCAGGGAGGGCAAGATCTAGTGTATTTGTGATCGCTCTCACCACAAGGATCTTCTCCCCGTCATCGGTCTGAACAAGCTGAAACGAGTCCAACAAAACAGGACAGGCAGATGCCTTCGTTACATTCCTTGATACTGCTATAAGACTGGTGTTCAAGTCAGAGCATATCCAAGCGACTTTGCCTGCAAAATGTTGTGTGAACTCGCCGTATCGAGTTGTCAAATGGTCAGAGGTCTCCTCCTGATCACTAAAACAAAACAACTCAACTGGTCTATTTGTTGCAGACGCAATGCAGGCAGTCATGAAAACCTTCCTGGTTACCCCCATTGCTATGGAGTAGGCCTTAAGAAGGGCTCTAACCCGTGCTGGCAGAAAACCATTTAAAAGGAACAAAGTCGAAATCTTTTAATACATAGCTGGTACTTTGAGCTCTGTGGTTCTTGGCTGTTATTCAGGCAGCGCAAGGGAGCTTGGGGGAACCATTCAATACAATCCCAGGAAAGGCATGCCTGCCAGAGCAGGCTTTTCTTCTCTACTATCCCCCACCCGCCCCTCTTCCTACCCCCACCCCCTTTGCTGCCTTTAGGGTGTCCTGCCAGCACAGTCCTAGACCAGAGAAGACAAAGGCTACTATTATCCAAAAACACTCCTGCCTGAAGTGAAGTATCCACTGCCCTCTGTTCTGAGTACAACACTGGGTCAAAATGATTTTGGCCTCCTTTCACTATAAGACAGATAACGTTAGGACATAGGAACGATGCACCAGGGGCAGCAACTCATTCATTCTTAACTGCACACATGCACATAGATGTGTGAATTTCCAGACCAAACCCCTTTTTTCAATAGAAGCTGTTGCATTTCTTTTCCTCTGTCATTTTGAAGGTGTGACTCCACAAAATAACTCCATGGGCCTGTTTTCAGTAGGATATGTTGATGGAGGGGGAAGATGTGAAATCAGTGCACATATCCACAAAGTCAGATCACCTGTTAGTGCAAGATAAAAACGAATACATATAAATAATAAAATCGCTGGGAAAAGCTGTCTCGTGTTTGTTTGTTTTTCCACAGGGTTGTGCAACAATTGTGCAACTGGGTTGGGCAACAGATAGTATGAAATTTTGAGTTTGGACTTTGGACTTGGTTTTGTGAAGAGTTGCCTCTAAGCAGATGCACAGGAGCAGCAAATGGAAGGGTGAAACCAGAGCGGTGAGCATGTGGCTTTTTTTTACTTCAGGTTGCACCAGACTTCTACACACACTTGGGGGTTTATGTGTGTTGTTTTTCCAAACTACTTCCATATGCTGTGACATTTAGTTATAGCCACTGCTGTTTGAAATAAGCCACTGAGCTGATGCCAGCAGTTGCACAGCTCTGTAAGCAGCCTCCTTGGTGGAAGAGAATGATCTGCTCTGAGTGAATAAGTAGCCGGAAACCAAAGCAGGGATTTCACTAAGAAATTTGAGGCAGAGTCCAAGAAATAGGCCAGTCTTATAAGGGCTTGAGAAAGTATGTTCTCACTTGGAGGAAGAAGAAAATTGTCTTTTGAAAGGAACCATTTCTGGCCCCAGAGGGGAGATCCATTATCCACTCACATTATGGATATACCTCTGGGATCCCAGGTGAGTGGGAGGAAACTATGGATAGTGGCTGGTTTGAATTGATTCTTGGGAACATGAACAGGAGATGGCTGTTGCTCTCATGTGCAGCATGTAGGTTTCTAAGGGGTGCTTACAATATTTTATCACTATGAGGGAAACATCCCTGGACTGGCCTTTATTCCAATCTGACAAGGCTGATCTTCTGTTCTTCCTTCACGGGGAGCAGAGGAGGTGATAGTTAGTGGGGAACTGTTGACTGTCACAGCTACAGATAACATCTAGTCTCAGAGGTAATATGTGTCTGAATATTACTTGATTAGGAAGATGAGCAGTAGAGTGGTATTGCACTCAAGGACTGTTTGTGGACTTCTTGCAAGAGAATTAGGCAGCCCCTGGACTAGAGTGGTCTTTGATCTGATCCAGAACAGCTCTTTATATATTCAGAAATTTAAAAATGGATTTAAAGCTAACCTTTAATAATGTGACATAAACACCAAGAATTGGGAATCCCTGGTCCTTGAGTGTTCTCACTGGAGCAGTGGCTCCCAACCTGTGGTCCATGAACCACCAGTGGTCTGTTCCAAAAGAATGAAAATATGGTCTGTGGCTGGCTTCACCATTACTACACTATTACCTCAAAACCACACAGCAATGAGAGCGACTGGTCTTGCGAAACTCTCTTATAGTGCCGACGCAATGGGGATGTTGGGAAAGGAGATGTTGACTACCCACATAAGATTACTACTACTACATCAGCTCTAGATGATTGAATATGGTTTTTGTGGGTGAGCAGATGGCGACTACTTGATGGCATATGTTCTGTATCAGAACTAGAGCTGATGTGGTCTATCCCATGCAGTTTTCTGAATCGGCACCCCAAATAACCAAACCAAATCTAAAGTTGACCAAAAACTGATTCATAACCCTTTTGGTACTAATATTGGAGAGTGGTCCCTGGTTAAAAATGGTCCCTGGACAAGTGGTCTCTGGTCCTGCTGGGAACCACTGCACTGGAGGTTATCAGCTACCAACAGTGCAATTGATTTTGAGGAGGCATGAATAGAGGGAAATTGCAGTGACTACCTTCCATCTGGAAATCTATGTCCTCATTGGGAAAGACGGGCGCCCCCAATGGTGCAATGGATTAAACCCTTGTGCCGGCAGGACTGTAGACTGACAGGTTGGAGGTTTGAATCTGGGGAGAGCGTGGAAGAGCTCCCTCTGTCAGCTCTAGCTTTCCATGTGGGGACATGAGAAGAGCCTCTCACAAGGATGGTAAAACATCAAAAACATCCGGGCGTCCCCTGGGCAACGTCCTTGCAGACGGCCAATTCTCTCACACCAGAAGCAACTTGCAGTTTCTCAAGTTGCTCCTGAAACAAACAAAAAAACAAAAATTGGAAAAGACCATGTGAATCCAGAATAACTCTACAGTCACTTATGGACCCACCAACAAGACTTTGAAGACAATTATACTTAGTCATGAATGAGAACCTATTATAATAGTGTTGGATATTGAGGAACAGAAAAACTTTGTGGATAGGATTACAGTGTAGGGACATCCTTAACCTTTCTAGATAACCATAATCCCTGCAAGGATGAGGGGCGGAGAGAAAAATTAACTAGCCAATGCCCAGGCTAGCATACAACACCGTCCGAGCTCTGCGAGTGCAGCTTTTTTCTGAATGAAGCAGAGAGTGTTTGAGGAGCAGGACATCCGTAGGGATACCAAGGTGCTTGTTTATAAAGCTATTGTCCTCCCAACCCTGCTATACGCCTGCAAAACATGGACAGTCTACAGACGTCACATGCAACTCCTGGAACGATTCCATCAGCGTTGCCTCTGAAAAATCCTGCAAATCTCTTGGGAAGACAGGCAGACAAATGTCAGCGTGCTGGAAGAAGCAAAGACCACCAACATTGAAGCGATGGTCCTCCACCATCAACTCTGCTGGATGTCTGATCACGAAAGATACTACTATCACATCAACTCTAGACTATTCAATATGGTTTTCTGTGGGCAAGCAAATGGTGACTACTGGATGGCATATGTTCTGTATCAGAAACTAGAGCTGATGTGGTCTATCCAATGCAGTTTTTTGAATCAGCACCCCAAATAACCAAACCGAATCTAAAGTTGACCACCGATCTCCCAAAGCAGTTGCTCTACTCCGAACTCAAGAATGGAAAACGGAATGTTGGTGGACAGGAAAAGAGATTTAAAGATGGGCTCAAAGCCAACCTTAAAAACTCTGTCATAGACACCGAGAACTGGGAAGCCCTGGCCCTTGAGCGCTCCAGCTGGAGGTCAGCTGTGACCAGCAGTGCTGCAGAATTTGAAGAGGCACAAATGGAGGGCGAAAGAGAGAAACGTGCCAAGAGGAAGGCGTGTCAAGCCAACCTCGACCGGGACCGCCTTCCACCTGGAAACCGATACCCTCACTGTGGGAGAAGATGCAGGTCAAGAATAGGGCTCCACAGTCACCGAGGGACCCACGGCCAGGACACTACACTTGGAGGACCATCATCCTCGGACTACGAGGGATCGCCTAAGGAAGTAAGCTCGAGCTAGCTGTAGTTTGAGTGTGAACATGAGACCGCAACTATGCTCTCTGGCTGGATTCCAAGCTGAGGCTTTCCTGTGATTCTGAGCGGTAATTCAAGCAGCGCGAGGGAGCTTGGGAGAATGATTCAAGACGACCCCAGTGAAGCCAAGCCTGCCAGAGCAGCCTTTTCCTCCCTATACCCCTCCTCTTCCTCCCCAGCCCTTCTGCCTTTGGGAGGGGGCGGTCCTGGTCGGGACAGAGTCAGCCCTAGACCCGAGAAGAGCCCTCGCCCTCTGCTGCTCCCTCCGAGGCTGGGGCGGAGGGACAGGCTTCCTCCTTAGCTGGCTGCCTACTGGTCGACACACCGAGCACCCCCTCTTGATTTGCCAAGCAGCAAGAGATCTCACATCACGCACACTTCTGGCAAGCTGTACACCACCGAGGGATCAGGTGAGGGGAGGCAGCAGAGAGTTTCCACATAGTAAAAAATCAATGCTACTCAATGGGCACATAAAATAATGCTGGTTCCTGGCACACGAGGGGTAGATCCCACTCCCCCTTGTGAGATTTAAAGAATATATGCAAATTTGTGAGAGCCGCTGTGGGATATTAATAGGGCTGGTAAATTAAGACATTCCATTTTCTGGAATGTTGACGGGCAGGAAAAGAGATTTAAAGATGGGCTCAAAGCCAACCTTAAAAACTCTGGCATAGACACCGAGAACTGGGAAGCCCTGGCCCTTGAGCGCTCCAGCTGGAGGTCAGCTGTGACCAGCAGTGCTGCAGAATTTGAAGAGGCACCAATGGAGGGCGAAAGAGAGAAACATACCAAGAGGAAGGTGCGTCAAGTCAACCTCGACCGAGACCACCTTCCACCTGGAAACCAATGCCCTCACTGCGGGAGAAAATGCAGGTCAAGAATAGGGCTCCACAGTCACCTACGGACCCACCAGAACACTGATCCTGGAAGACTATCCTACTCAGTCAACGAGGGATCGCCTAAGTAAGGTGGATTAAGACCTTGGAGACCAGGATCTGAATCCCCACTCAGCCATGGACACCCATCCCAGTGACAGGGGCAAAGGTAAACCTCTTTCCAATAAAAGCACGATCATCAAGTTTGCAGATGACACCAAATTGTCAATACTCCAGAAGACAGGAGCAGAATTCAAAACGATCTTAACAAATTGGAGAGATGGGCCAAAACTAACAAAATGAAGTTCAGCAGTGACAAATGCAAGATACTCCACGTAGGCAGAAAAATGAAATGCAAAAAAATGATACAGAATGAGGGACAATGCCTGGCTCGAGAGCAGGACATGTGAAAAAGATCTTGGAGTCCTCGAGGACAAGAAGTTAAACATGAGCCAACAATGTGATGTGGCGGCAAAAATGGCCTATGGGATTTGGCCTGTATCGATAGGAGTCTGGTGTCTAGATCCAGGGAAGTCATGACACCCCTCTACTCTAGGTCAGACCACACCTGGAATCACATTGTGTCCAATTCTGGACACTGCAATTGACAAACTGGACAGTGTCCAGAGGAGGGTGACTAAAATGATCAAAGCTCTGGAGAACAAGCTCTGTGAGAAGCAGCTTAGAGAGCTGGGCATGTTTAGCCTTCAGAAGAGAAGGCTGAGAGGAGTCATTATGAGGGCCATGGATAAATAGGTGAGAGGAAGTCATAGGGAGGAGGGAGCAAGCTTGTTTTCTGCTGCCCTGCAGACTAGGACACGGAACAATGGCTTCAAACTACAGGAAAGGAGATTCCACCTGAACACGAGGAAGAACTTCCTGACTGGGAGAGCTGTTCAGCAGTGGAACTCTCTGCCCCGGAGTGTGGTGGAGGCTGGAATGCCATCTATCAGGGGTGCTTTGAATGTGATTTTCCTGCTTTTTGGCAGAATGGGGTTGGACTGGATGGCCCATGAAGTCTCTGTGATTCTATGATTCTTTGAAATCTTAGGGCCACCATAAGTCAGGCGTGAATTGTAGGCAAACAACAACAACAACAAGCCTTATGCAGTCTATGTTATGTAAAACCCTGAAGTATTGTCTTTCTCGTGTCAATGTAACTGCAGTCTGGGTTGCTGTGAGTTTTCTGAGCTGTATGGCCATGTTCCAGAAGCATTCTCTCCTGACATTTCACCCACATCTATGACAGGCATCCTCAAAGGTTGTGAGGTTTTTTGGAAACTAGGAAAATGGGGTTTATATATCTATGGAATGTCCAGGGTGGGAGAAAGAACTCTTGTCTATTGGAGGCAAGTGTGAATGCTGCAATTGATTGCCTTGATTCGCACTGAATAGCCTTGCAGCTTCAAGACTTGGCTGCTTCCTGTCTGGGGGAGTCCTTTGTTGGGAGGTGATTTGTTCATTTTCATGGTTTCCTTCTTTCTGTTGAAATTGTCCACATACTTGTGGATTTAAATGGCTTCTCTGTGTAGTCTGACATGGTAGTTGTTAGAGTGGTCCAGCATTTGCTTGTTCTCAAATAATATGTCATGTCAGGTTGGTTCATTAAGTGCTCTGCTATGGCTGACTTCTCTGGTTGAATTAATCTGCAGTGCCTTTCATGTTCCTTGATTCATGTCTGGGCAATTCTGCGTTTAGTGGTCCATGAAATCATGAAAACCATGAAAATGAACAAAATCTGGCTACCAGTACCAAAAGCCAAAAGACACAGTAGCACAGGCCCTTTCTTTGTTGTTGTGTGCCTTCAACTCACTAATGAGGATCCTAAGGTGAGCCTATCATGAGGTTGTCTTGGCTTGATCTGCTTAGCGGGGCTTTGTCATTGCCTTTTTCTGATGCTCAGAAAGAGTGACATGCCTAAGGCCATCTTACTGTGGTTTCAAGTTTTAAATCCCTTACTTTGATCAATTTGAACATAGATGCAAGTGCAATCAAAGAGGAGTCAATAGCGATCGCCTAAGAAACCAAGCAGGGTCATCCCTGGTTAGTAATTGCATCGGAATCCAAAAATATGAGGTGCTGTAGGCTACATTACTGAAGGTGGAATTTACAAAATCACCTCTGAGTATTCATTGCTTGAATATTCTATGAAATTCAAGAAATTGATAGATGACTTGAAGGCGCCTACATGCAAACAAAACTCAGGGCTCACACCCCAGCTACCTCTGATGAGCTGCCGCTGTGGAAAAGCCCAGGCATTGTGTACAACAGGAATACCCATTTAGCACAGTTGCTTTCCAAAATGTGAGGGGTGGTTGTGAGGGAAAAGTACCTAAGGGTGCTGACTTGGCCTTTCCAGTTGGATGTGGGAACTAGGGCTGGCCTCCTAGAAGAAATGGGTATCTGTCACACAGCTTCTTGCCAGCCTTGAAAAATCCTGCATGCTGCAGAACTCTATTCCTGAGTTTCTGGGCTGACCCTAACATTAGAACAGTAGTTCTCTACCTGTGGGTCCCCAGATGTTTTGGCCTTCCACTTCCAGAAATCCTAACAGCTGGTAACTGGTTGAAGGCCAAAACATCTGGGGACCCACAGGTTGAGAACCACTGCTCTAAGCAACAGATGCTGAAAGGTGGCAGCAAGGTATTGCAAGACAAAACTGTGTGCCATGAAGCTCCCCAGAGCCCCTTCTGATATGGATCCTGCATGTTTTTTCTTTCTATAGAAAAGAAAGGGGTGGTGTCTTTTGTTAAGTCATTTTGAGCAGCCGGGTATCTTGTGCTAGTCATGCTTGAAATACAACATACGGGGAGCTTTCACCACACTTTAAGAGCTGGAGGTGCTGTGTGGAACATACTATTAAGGATGTGGAGTTCGTTCACACTAGCTTTAACTAACTTGATTCCTAAAATATAATTTTATTTTTTTCATTAATGACATTTGCTCATTTCCCCAGGTATTGTCAAGATCTGGCTACCATGGTCCACCTCAGCGTCACCCCTGGAAGCACACTTGCAGATGCCCCGGTGTGGATTTGTGCCTCTGGCCTTGTTCCCTCTCAGACTGTGACCCTGCATGCGTCACTGACAGATGAAAGGGGAGTGCAGTTTGAATCCAGAGCCTTCTACCAGGCCAATGATGCTGGGGAGGTAGATTTGAAGAAGACACCTGCTCTGGGGGGTGACTATATCGGAGTGTGGCCCATGGGCCTCTTTGCCTCTCTGAAGGCTAATAAGAAGTTCCACCGACTGATGAAACGGGATGTGATGGGAAGCCCTTTCCATATCCAGATCAGTCTCTTTGGCCCTTTTAAGATTTTGACTTCACTGACCGATGTACCACTTGCAACCAGTACGGTGGAGAGATGGTATGTGGCTCCTGGAGTGGAACGCTTCCAGATCAAGACTGGCCGAGTTCGGGGGGCCCTTTTTGTGCCTCCAGGTAAAAGAACTGAATTCACCTTCTCCTTTATTTAATAAAATAATATTTGTTTTTTAATGTTTATGTTTAGAATGTCTGAATATTACTGCAAAGTTGTGTGTTATACATAACCCTGAAATCTCTATATAAACACTAGTACAGAAAAAAACCCTATTCATTTGGTCTTCTAAGAACCCTTCACCCAATGTGGGAAATTTGTGTGTGTGTGTGCATGTGCCTTCAAGTTGCCTGTCAACTTATGGCAACCCTATGAATTTCATGAAGTTTTCTTAAGAGATACTCAGAGGTGGTTTTATGATTTCATGATCTGAAATATATCCTATAGCACCTGGTATTCATTGGCAGTCTCCCAATCCTAATACTAACCAGAGCTGAACTTGCTTAGCTTACAATATCACACAGGATTTGGTGCCTTTAAGGTATTATCTAGTTTTTACCCAGAACTATATATTATTCCTGTTGTTCATGAGGAGGAGGACAATTTTTTTTGGAGAGGGAATGGGAATGACTTTTCTTGGTTTTAATGTCAGTCTTCCTTTAATCTCTCTGCAGGGCCTGGACCATTTCCAGGGGTGATTGACCTGTTTGGTGGGAGCGGAGGTCTCTTTGAATTCCGAGCTAGCCTGCTGGCTAGTAAAGGCTTTGTTGTTCTGGCCCTGGCTTACTTTGCCTATGATGACCTGCCACAGAGCCTGACAGAAGTGAACCTGGAATATTTTCAGGAAGCAGCAATATTGCTCTTAAACCATACTAAGGTACATCTGAAAGGGCATGTTTCCTTCTGTATTATTTTGAGGCACAAGAAATCATAGAGCTGAAAGAGATCACAATGGTCATCCAGTCCAGCCTCATTCTGCCTTGTAGGACAAGACAATCAAAGCACTCCCAACAGATGGCCATTCAGTCTATGCTTAAAAACCTCCACCACACTCCCAGGGCCCTTCCACACAGCCATATAACCCAGAATATCAAGACAGAAAATCCCACAATATCTACTTTGAACTGGGTTATCTATTTATTTATCGTGTCCGAAGTGAACCGAGGGTACAGTTGTAATGTATTTAAAAACACAAACAAAGTTTAAAAACTTGTCATTATACTAAATATCCTTTGACCAGTTCCTGGCACTTGAAGTGCCTCTGGTGTTGATATAAGAAGGCCCTCCATTGTCCATGTGGCAGGGTTCAAACTGCATTGTAATAGGTGGTCTGTGGTTTGCTCTTCTCAACACTCGCATGTCATGAACTCCACTTTGTGGCCCCATTTCTTAAGGTTGGCTCTGCATTTCATGGTGCCAGAGCGAAGTCTGTTCAGTGCTTTCCAAGTCACCCACTCTTTTGTGTGCCCAGTAGGAAGTCTCTCATTTGTTATCAGCCATGAGTTGAGGTTCTGGGTTTTAACCTGCCAGTTTTGGACTCTTGCTGGGGTGTTCCTGCTAGTATCTCTGTAGATCTTTGGGGAAGGGGCCTGTCAAGCATCATTGTATGATGCTCGGCAAGCCCTGCACCATTGCTCCTTGGTGAGGAAGTGGTGAGGAAGCATCACAAGCCCCTCATTTTTCACCTATTTTCCCCATCTGATGGGGAAAAGGGCAACACATTATGTTGCCCCCTTTCCCTTGTCTGGTGGGGACAGGGTAGGAATGGAACACACAAATCCGGGGTGTGGGGGGTGGAATAGGGTGACGAGGTCCTTATTGTCAGGAATTTCTTCCTAATGTTTAGGTGGAATCTTTCTTACTGAAGATGTTAATGGATTGCTCCATTGTGTCCTAGTGTCTAAAGCAACAGACAAGTTTTCCCCTCCAAAATCTGGCATCTTTTTTTAAATACAGGGCATTTCAAAAAGATAGATCCAATCTGAGTCTTTCATTAAATGACTTTTTTAAACTTTGTGTCTATCTTTGTTTTCCTCAGGTAAGAGGCCCAGGAGTTGGAGTCATTGGTTTGTCCAAAGGAGCAGAAATTGCACTAGCCATGGCTACCTTCTTACCACAAATAGTGGCTGCAGTGTGCATCAATGGGGCCACATATATGAATGGTGCACCACTCTGTTTTGGTGATGTCCATATCCCTGCCATTCCTTATTCTGCAGAGAAGATTATCATCACTGAGATGGAAGGAATGGCCACTCTACATGTTTGGGGAGATCCTCATGATGAAAGACACCAAGCCTCTGCTATCCCTGTGGAGAAAAGTCTGGGGCCAGTGCTCTTTGTGGTTGGTGAAGATGATGAAAGCCTAAAGAGCAAGTTGTATGCTGAGATAGCCATAGCTAGAGCAAAGAAATATGGGAAAAATAATTGTACCCTGTTGTCTTATCCAGGGGCTGGGCACCTCATAGAATTCCCTGGATCCCCACATTGCTACACCTCCCGAATGCAGAAATCACCTCTCCCCATACAGTGGGGAGGCAAAACAGAGCCCCACGCCAAAGCCCAGGAGCACTCCTGGAAGGAAATCCAAAAATTCTTTGAACTTCATCTTGGCCCACCTGGAAGTAGCAATTTGTGATACCAGAAGAATGAAAGGGAACATTGGGTATCTTATTCTACACCAATGATACACAAATAAATCAGTGGCATGAAAGTCCCTACAATGTCTCTTACTGCATTAACACTGTGAGTGTGCATTCAAGTTACTTGTCAGCTAATGATGACTGCATGAATTTCATATAGTCTTCTTATGCAAGGAAAAATAATAAATTCTTCTGATGGCTCAAGGCGAGGGACAACAAAGTCCAAAACATATGAACACAAAACATAATAATAATAACATATGAACACAAAACATAATAATAATAATAATATGATATTATAATTATATATTTTATATTACATGTAATATTACTAATAATATTACAGTTTACTGGTATAGTACAATATAGTAATATATAATACTAATATTGTGCTATGGTAATAATATAATATATTGTATTTACATATTACTTGTAAGCCACTCTGAGTCTGCTTTGGGGTAAGATGGGTGGCATATAAATGCCATAAATAAATAAAATATATACAATTAATTACATAAATAATAAAAACATTACAACTTGCACCAAACACAGATACACAATTGACATATAGTAGCAATAGATTTTGATTTTGGACTGCGTGGTTTTTAAGAGTTTCTGCTAAGATGTTTTCCATATTTTTGAAGTAATTGTTTATTTTAATTGATTGTTTTATATGGCATTGAATTGTTTTCAGTCTGTAAGACCATCCTGAGTCCCATTTGAGAAGGACAGGGTATAAGTATGGTAAATAAATAGAATGTAAATAAAAACTCAAGGTCGAAAGTTGACTGGGTAGGTCTGCTGGAAGAGATAGGTCATCAGTTGTGTGGCAAATGTGTTTTAAATATGTTCCCATTATGCTACTCTTGAGGTACATTGTTTTAATTGTCTTATATGTTGTATGTGTTTTTGTTGCCTTTTTATAATCAAAAATTGAAAATCTGCACACATGTCCACCTGCTGACTACCCATCCATTGCATTTGAATGGCTTACTTGGCTCACAACCAGGGGTTATCTACTCCATTTTCTAAATAGATTAAGGTCTATTTAGTCTGTGGCTAATAACAATGAGAATTCCAAAATGACCTGGAAATCATAGCCTCATTCCATCCCCTTTTCACTGCCTTGCCTCTACAGCAACACGTCAATTATTCTAGATATTTTCTTTTGGGTGAAAGTAGCTTCACATGTTCACACCATGATAACAGCTCAACACCATTGGATATGTGGTTTTCTTCTTCCAGGTCTCTAGTCTGGTCATCTGTCCAGAAGATGGAGATATTTTAGCAACTGAAATGAGTCATAATGATTACACAGAGGAGTCATAATGGTTACCCAGAGGAATATATAGGTTTAGTTCATCTCTTCCATGGATTCATTTAATGGTGTGTTTGCAGATGATGCAATATATAGGTATATCTTAGTTAAACTTTTTGCAGCATTGGCAGTTGGGAGAATGATGAAGGAAGACTATCAGTGTTGTGCTGTTGCAGCATGTCTGCAGTCAGGTACACAATAAAACGACCTGTGAAAGAATAGGATTCTGCTCTAGGTACTTATGTGCAACAGGCAAGGTAGGCAGCTGCCTTCAGATTCACTTACAGAACATGTGTGAAAATTTAAAAAAGGGAAAGCAGATTAGCCTGCCTCACCAGCTCCCCTTGCATGTTGAAAAAACATTGCTCTCTTGAGTTCACACTCACTTTGTTAACTGAAGTCCACTTGTTTTGCCTCTCGCTTTCCAATTCTGCGTCCCAGAAACAAGGACACGAGACAGAGAAACCCACCCACTTATAAAGCAAATGTCTAATCACCTGACTTTAGGCAACATCTTTCCTCCTCTCCTGCTTCTGCCCCCTACATGCCATCATTAAAACTGAACTTGTCACCTCTTCACCATACTCACAAGTGTTGCATTGTGATGGCTAGTCACATATACACTCTGCTTATACATATCTGCTCCTAGGCACTTCATTCCATGCACCTACTTACTTAATTACAAAAGTACTTTATGCTATCAATTTCTTTCCGTTAGTCTTTGGCTGAGATTCCAGACAAACAGTGACACGGCTGCTGAGAACATACCGCATCATTGGGGAGCATGGGGAACCTGGCACAATGCACCCCACATTGCCCAGCTCCAGCTGAGGGCAATCACATGGGGGGGGGGAACCATGGAGCATGTGGCTTCCCCCCATTTATTCCAATGGCAACACGGGAAGCTTCCTGTGTTGCTATGGTGGCAGCATGCGCTGGCTCTGCCCTCCATCAGCCACGGAGCTGCACCGGCATCATTTGATGGGGGCCGGTGGACTCTGTGGGTGACCTGGGCTAAACTGGTGCATGCCACTGATTATAGCCCCATGTGAAAAGGTCGTATGTCTTTGAATTGTATATTAGACTGACCATCATTCATTACAAAGAGAGAAAATAAAGAGAAGAGAACCTTAAAAGTTTGTTTTCACATTTGAACCATCTCAGAGATTAAGATCTTCTAGGAAGGCCCTACTCTCGGTCCTGCCTCCTTTGCAGGTGGGGTTGGTGGGGACAAGAAACAGGGCCTTCTCAGTGGTGGTCTCTTGGCTCTGGAACTCCCTCCCCAATGAAATTAGATCAGCACCCTCCCTCCTGGCCTTCAGAAAAAAGTAAAGACATGGCTATGGGACCAAGCCTTCGGGCAGTAAAGTAATGCAGTCCAAGAAATGAATAGGAAATAAGTTGAATTGACAATAGGAATTGCTTTGGATTACAACTCTGGATTATGTGATTCTAATGCTATGTTAAGATGTTTTTAATTCTATGTTTTAAATGTTTAAATGTCTGTTTATGTTCTATGCTTAATATGATTTTAATGGTTTAATTTATAGTTATATGTTATCATTTTAGTTGTTATGCTTTGATTTGTATTTATGTTTGCATTGAATCTTGCCATTACTTTATGTACACTACTTTGGGTCCCCTCAGGGGTAGGAAAAGCAGTAAATAAATAAATAAATAAATTTTATCTGACTTTATTGCAGCTCAAATGGCTGTCACTTGTTTTCTGAAGAAGCTACCACTCCTTGACTTTTTAGTGTAAGTGATCTCAACTGATCTTGAAAGCTAATCTTGGTCAGCTCTGGTTAGTGCTTGGATGGGAGACCACCAACAAATACCAGGTGCTGTAAGTTATTTTTGAAAGGAAGGAACTGGCAAAAAATACCTGTGATCCTGCCCAGGAGAAAATCATGAGGTTACCATGAGTCAACAGGTGACTTAACAACATGCACACAACACTAGGGGCTTGTATTGACTTTGGTGGTGTGTTCTCACAGGTATTTATTTTATTTATCGTATCATCCGCAATCAGAACATTGTATTACATTTCTAACAGAACAACACAAACAAACAGATTAAAAAAACACAAATTTTGCAAACTTGGTAGCTGATTAAATGTCCTTTGACCAGTATCTGGCCACTTGGAGTGCTTCTGGTGTTGCCGCAAGAAGGTCCTCCATCGTGCATGTGGCAGGGCTCAGGTTGCATTGCAGCACAGGTGAAAGAAAGGAAATTTCTATTTTCAGTGGGAACAGGTATGGAAAAAATAGGGCAAAAATAAGTTCCCAAACCAACAAAGCATAAAGTCCAAAAGGTGAAGCATATTAAGAGAAGCATCCCAACGTTTCCAGTTTTCAATCTGTGAGTGATACTGTGTAGCCAAAACAGCACTACTCCCACAGACACACGAGATGGAGCAGCAGGGCAGGGAACACCAAAATCTAAATTAAAAGAAAAGCCCATGATAACACACCATTGAGCTCTAGTAGTTCATATAAATTAGAAAGAATAGAATTAACAAACCTGTTTTCCTAACAGTTCTATTATGTTTTAGCATTTATGTAATGGAAAAAACATTTAACAAAACTATTTTCCCAGCAGAGTTCTATTGAGTATTAGGTAGTAGAAAAACATTCAGTGGGAGAGGCTTGATGCTTAAAGAAAACAGAACAAAATTCATTTATAATTAACATATAAAATTAACAACCAACCATTTGCTCTCCTTTCATTTCACCCCAATGTGCTGTCTTATGTGGTTTTGTCCCAAATGGTAGAGCTTGTCATATATCCACAGGTATGGTAGGACTTTAACACTAATGAGAAAATATGTCTAGTGTTGTAGCAGCTCTATTTCTTATCAAAAAGGATGAGGAGGAAACTGGTGGAAGAGAGAAAGCAAGAAAATGTCTGCAGGGGTGGATAGCACATTTCTCTTTGGGCTGAGATTTGCACTTTCCCCCTGATCCCTCGTGAGTTCCTTGCACAGCACCAGGTGCAAACTCTGCTCAGTGAATCCTCACTCCAGCCAACCCCACACCTCCATTGACCCTATAAAGCTAGGCTCTGTCAGCAGCTGAGGTCTTTCAAAGGGTGGATGTTTGGTCCTGTTTATTGCTTCAGCCATGGGGCTGAGTTGTGGGGTGTTGGTGGCATCGCTACTCTTGCTGATGTGGGTGGGTTGCCTTGGGCAAGGTGACTTTTGGAGAGCTGGCTCCTCAGCTTTGCAGTATCAGTATAACTGTGGAGAACATGGCATGCAGCTGCTTGTGTTTCCTCGCCAGAACTGGGATGTCCGCTTTAAAGTTGTGGGTAAGGAGTTCTTTCTTTGCTCTTGCTGAGTTGATAAGGATAGGTTGCTTTCTGGATATTGAACTATGTCTACTCTGATATCTTGTCTTTGTTAAAATAAGATAAAAAAGGAGGCTTTGGAAACTATTCAATAGTGGCAGACCTTTTTAGGGTGGATACAAAACAGATAGCTTTCTGCTGCTTTAATATACAATAGAGTTTTGCTTATCCAACCTTCGCTCATCCAACATTCTGTATTATACAACGCAGTCGGCCTTCTGTCCAGATCCACATCTGTTTCAGTACATTGTGATGTTTTGGTGCTAAATTCATAAATACAGTAATTACTACAGAACGTTACCATGTATTGGACTGCTTTTTCTGTTGATTTGTTGTAAAACAGTGGTTCTCAATCTGTGGGTCCTCAGGTGCTTTGGCCACAACTACCAGAAATCCCAGCCAGTTTACCAGCTGTTAGGATTTCTGGGAGTTGAAGGCCAAAACATTTGGGAACCCACAGGTTGAGAACCACTGTTGTAAAACACTATGTTTTGGTGCTTAATATGTAAAATCATAACGTAATTTGACGTTTAATATGCTTTTCCTTAATCCCTCCTTATTATCCAACATTTTCGCTTATCCTTATCTGCCGGCCCGTTTACAATGGATAAGCGAGACTCTACTGTATTCTGCTATTTCCTGCAAACTCTGGTCTCCAGTTCGAGTGAAGAATACAGTCAATTCTCCACATTCACTGGGCTTAGGGGTGCAGAATCCGTGTTAAACATCTTTATTAATGACTTAGATGATTATCAAGTTTGCAGATACACCAAATTGGGAAGGATAGCTAATACCCCAGAAGACAGGAGTGGAATTCAAAACAATCTTAACAGATTAGAGAGATGGGCCAAAAATAACGAAATGAAGTTCAACAGGGACAAATGCAAGATACTCCACTTAGGCAGAAAAAATGAAATGCAGAATGTGGGACGATGCCTGGCTCGACAGCAGTACATGTGAAAAAGTCCTCATGGATAACAAGTTAAACATGAGCCAACAATCTGATGCGGTGGCAAAAAAAAGCCAATGGGATTTTGGCCTGCATCAATAGGAATATAGTGTCTAGATCCAGGGAAGTCATGCTACTCCTCTATTCTGCCTTGGTCAGACCACACCTGGAATACTGAGTCCAGTTCTGGGCACCACAATTGAAGGGAGATGTTGACAAGCTGGAATGTGTCCAGAGGAGGGTGATTAAAATGATCAAAGGTCTGGAGAACAAGCCCTTTGAGGAGGGGCCTAAAGAGCTGGGCATGTTTAGCCTAAGGAAGAGAAGGCTGAGTGGAGACATGATGAGGGTCATGTATAAATCTGTGAGGGGAAGTCATAGGGAGGAGGGAGCAAGCTTGTTTTCTGCTGCCCTGGAGACAAGGTCACGGAACAATGGCTTCAAACTACAAGAAAGGAGATTCCACCTGAACATGAGGAAGAACTTCCTGACTGGGAGAGCTGTTCAGCAGTGGAACTCTCTGCCCTGGAGTGTGGTGGAGGCTCCTTCTTTGGAGGCTTTTAAGCAGAGGCTGGATGAGGGTGCTTTGAATGCGATTTTCCTGCTTCTTGGCAGAATGGGGTTGGACTGGGTGGCCCACAAGGTCTCTTCCAATTCAATGATTCTATGAAACCTGCCTGCCTTTTTTTGCATCCCTTACATTCAATGGTATGCAGTTATTTACAGCTTCCTTCCAATGTGGCTTGGAACATTATATCTGGGGTAAAACAGGTGAGGCTAGAGGAAACACAGAACCATTTGTTTTTATTTTATTTAAATTATGTTAATTTTAATCCATAGTTGTTTAAGTTTTTATCTGTATGCTGCCCTGGGAGCTCACAATAAACCTGCATCACGGGATTAGAATAGATGACCCTTGTGGTTTCTTTTGTCTCTTAGGAGTCTGCTCCAATAAATTTCCACTTTGTACATATATGGCTAATACTAAATTTATAGAGCAGAAATGACCAATAATACAGGTTTAGGAACTTAAAATGTATACACCTGTTGCCAAAGCTTGCCTGCCTTATTACGCTCAAAATCTTTTAAACCATTTCTAAATTGATAAGAGTCTGGTGGTAGATGTCATGTTGTTCATGCTGAATTTGACTCCAGTAAAATATTCTGTCTGGATATTTTGAGTTGGGCTGCACGTCTAGCTTCTACTTGACAGTAGTGTTATGAAAAGCAGATAGTTGGAATAATCATAAGAGCATGTAGGTGTCATCACAACTTTAGGAGTTAAGGCATTTGAATCTGGCCTGAGCTTTATCAGACTTGGAAGAACACAAATGACAACTGATGCAACCATGAGGACACTGGCTTTTGCAAGTGAGACTTTGTGAATGCTTCATATATCCCTTGCATAGTGCTACAGTAGCTTGCATTGCAAAATTATTAAGGTTAACATATGTCCTGATGTATTGATTTTTGTCAACAGATGAATTTGGGACAACCTTTGAAGTTTCAAATTGCTCCATTTGCCGTCACTGGATCACATCAACCAATGGATCAGTTACTTTCTCCGCTGGCTATAACGGCTGCCATGTGGTAAAGAAGGTGAGGGTGCGGTTATACACAGACTTCTACACTGCAGTGGTGTCACATTTGTACTAGTATTTAAATTGTGTTCTTCTTTCAAAGTACTAAAGAACAGCTATACAAGTGCTCATTGTCCATGGAAGGTGGCTGCATGCTCCTCACATTCCTGATAAGGGACTCCTGAGGATGTTTCCTGCTCCATTCATTGTGACAAAGAGCCAGGTCATGGAAGTTACTGAGAGACTGCCTGGTCCAAATACACAGGTTTGGGCTGAGCAAGAATTTGAAGTAGGTTCTCCCTGTTCCATCTAAACATACTGTATCGACCTAAGAAAGCTTTTGATATAAAACATGCAGCAAGCCAGTGTGCCCTCTTGGTGGTATTGCATTGTAGCTCCCATCCATCTTAGCATAGCCAATGATGAGGAATTCTGGGATTTGCACTCCAACAGTATTTGAATTGCCCCATGTTATCCAACCCTGGCCTAACTAGGGTTTGAAGTGTTGCAATATTTTTTGAGAGATTGTGCCAACAGGATTGTAGGGCCCAATGCAAGATGAGGTAGAAGACGGTGCTGAAATTACAAGCAGCATGTCTTTCCACAATAGAAAGGAAATGCTCTCGGAATATAGGAGCTTCACCCTCTGATATTGTGATATCCTCTGTCTGCAAAATTGGATCTGATGAAGCTCCAGAGCAGGGTTCCCCAAACTAATGCCTGGGGGCCAGATACGGCCCTCCAAGGTCATTTACCCGGCCCTTGCTCAGGGTCAATCTAAGTCTGAAACGACTTGAAAGCACACAACAACCACAACAACAAGCCTATCTCATCAGCCAAAAGCAGGCCCGCATTTCCCATTTCATATTAATAAGTTTATATTTATTAAAATTGTTCTTCATTTTAATTATTGTATTGTTTTAAGGTGTTTTTTGCACTACAAATAAGATATATGCAGTGTGCATAGGAATTCATCCATGTTTTTTTCAAATTATAATCTGGGCCTCCAAGAGTTTGGGGGACTGTGACCGGGTCCTGTTTAAAAAGTTTAAGGACCCGTGCTCCAGTCTTCCCCAACAGCTGTAGTCCACCTATATTAAGAGGGCACAAAGCTGGGAATAACATGTTAGGAGGCTCCCTCCAACATGGAACAAACTATCGGGCCCAGTAGGTTGAGCAATACTCTCCACCTATGTTTTTAAAAAAGATTACTAAAACTAGATTTCATAGGATTATACCGAGGTTATGACAATCCCATATTCTAAACATTGTGATCTCTGATTTCTTAAAAACTGTATTCCAATTCCTGCCTTTGATGTGAATTGTGTCTATAATAAATGTTCATGCCTATATTATTAATCTAACTCAATGTCTTTGTAGGATGGCAGGAACCACTTAAAGGTCCGTCTGGAGGAACTAACAAGAAACAGAGTAGCTGCTGCTCATGACATCAACATGGCGTGTCCCAAGCTACAAGAATATGTACCAGAGATCAACATGCGCCTTGGGCCTCCACCCCCGCCTGAGCCTGGCATAGTACATCCCAACCTCCAACCTGGTCTAACGCACCTAGAATCTCAGGCTCAGCTTGTGCCCAATACAATGAACCCACCACCTCAGCCCTGGCCCTTGCCTGACCTAGTACAACCCGAGATTCAGACCAATCTAGGGCGCCCAGAATCTCAGCAACGTCCCGTCCAGGGACAAGTGCGCCCAGGAGCTCCGTCTCCACCTTGGCATGTGCCCAGCTTAGTGCGCCCAGAGGCACAGCCTCGGCCTTTGCCTGGCCTAGTGCACCCAGAGGACCAGGTCCATCCTGCACCCGGCATAGTGTACCCAGAAATTCAGCCTCAGCCAAAGCCTGGCCTAGTGCAACCAGATGTTCAGCCTCAGCCCAGACCTGACCTTGTGCTCCCAGAATTTCACCCACCACCTGTACCTGGCTTAGTCCACCCACAAATTCAGCCTCAACCAAGACCTGGCCTTGTACGCCCAGAAGTTGCACCTCAGTCTGGCTTAGTGCGCCCGGATGTTCAGCCTCAGCCCAGGCCTGGCCTAATGCATCCAGAAGTTCAGCCTCAGCCCAGACCAGGCCTAGTGCGCCCAGAGGTTCAGCCTCAGCCTGGTCTAGTATACCCAGAGATTCAGCCTCAGCCCAGACCTGGCATAGTATACCCAGATGTTCGGCCCAGACCTGGGCTAGTGCGCCCAGAAGTTCAGCCACAACCTGTACCAGGCCTAGTGCACCCAGAGGTTCAGCCTCAGCCCAGGCCTGGCCTAATGCATCCAGAAGTTCAGCCCAGACCAAGCCTAGTGCGCCCAGAGGTTCAGCCTTGGCCTGGCCTAGTGCGCCCTCAAGTTCAGCCTCAGTCCAGACCTGGCCTAGTGCGCCCAGAAGTTCAGCCACAACCTGTGCCAGGCCTAGTGCACCCAGAAGTTCAGCCTCAGCCCAGGCCTGGCCTAGTGCAACCAGAAATTCAGCCTCAGCCCAGGCCTGGCTTAGTGCCTCCCCAAGGTCACCTGCAACCTGTGCCTGCTATAGTGCGCCCACAAGTACAGCCTCAATTGAGACCTGAGGTTCAGCCTGGCTTAGTGCACCCAGAAGTTCAGCCGCAGCCCTTGCCTGGCCTAGTGAGCCCAGACATTCAGACTAGACCTGGCCTAGTACACCCAGAAGTTCAGCCTCAGCCTGGCTTGGTGCGCCCAGATTTTCAGCCTCAGCCCAGACCAGGCCTAATGATCTCAGAAGTTCAGCCTCAGCCAGTACCGGGTCTAGTGCGCCCAGAGGTTCAGCCTCAGCCCAGACCGGGCCTAATGATCCCAGAACTTCAGCCTCAGCCCAGACCAGGCCTAGTGCACCCAGAGGTTCAGCCTCAGCCCAGACCAGGCCTAGTGCACCCAGAGGTTCAGCCTCAGCCCAGACCAGGCCTAATGATCCCAGAACTTCAGCCTCAGCCCAGACCGGGCCTAGTGCGCCCAGAGGTTCAGCCTCAGCCCAGACCGGTCCTAGTGCGCCCAGAGGTTCAGCCTCAGCCCAGACCGGTCCTAGTGCGCCCAGAGGTTCAGCCTCAGCCCAGACCGGTCCTAGTGCGCCCACAGGTTCAACCTCAGCCCAGACCAGGCCTAGTGCGCCCAGAGGTTCAGCCTCAGCCCAGGCCTGGTCTAGTGTACCCAGAGGTTCAGCCTCAGTCCAGACCAGGCCTAGTATATCCAGAGGTTCAGCCTCAGCCCAGGCCTGGCCTAGTATATCCAGAGGTTCAGCCTCAGCCCAGGCCTGGCCTAGTATATCCAGAGGTTCAGCCTCAGCCCAGACCAGGCCTAGTGCGCCCAGAAGTTCAGCCACAACCTGTGCCTGGCCTAGTGCGTCCAGACACTCAGCCTCAGCCGAGACCTGGCTTAGTACATCCAGAAGTTCAGCCTCAGCAGAGACCTGGCCTAGTGCACCCAGAAGTTCAGCCACAACCTGTGCCTGGCCTAGTGCGCCCTCAAGTTCAGCCTCAGCCGAGACCTGGCCTAGTACACCCAGAAGTTCAGCCTCAGCCTGGCTTAGTGTGGCCAGAAATTCAGCCAGAACCTGTGCCTGGCCTAGTGCACTCTCAAGTTCAGCCTCAGCCAAGACCTGGCCTAGTACGCCCAGAAGTTCAGCCTCAGCCTGGCTTAGTGTGGCCAGAAATTCAGCCACAACCTGTGCCTGGCCTAGTGCATCCAGACACTCAGCCTCAGCCAAGGCCTCAGCCGAGACCTGGCTTAGTACATCCAGAAGTTCAGCCACAACCTGTGCCTGGCCTAGTGCGCCCTCAAGTTCAGCCTCAGCCGAGACCTGGCCTAGTACACCCAGAAGTTCAGCCTCAGCCTGGCTTAGTGTGGCCAGAAATTCAGCCACAACCTGTGCCTGGCCTAGTGCGCCCTCAAGTTCAGCCTCAGCCGAGACCTGGACTAGTACGCCCAGAAGTTCAGCCTCAGCCTGGCTTAGTGTGGCCAGAAATTCAGCCACAACCTGTGCCTGGCCTAGTGCGCCCTCAAGTTCAGCCCCAGCCAAGACCTGGTCTAGTTCGCCCAGATGTTCAGCCTGGCTTAGTGAGGCCAGAAGTTCAGCCTCAGCCAAGACCTAGCCAAGTTCGCCCAGCAGTTCAGCATCAGCCTGGTTTAGTGCGCCCAGAGTCCCAGCCCCAGCCTGTGCCCAACCTAGTGCGGCCACATCTTCAGCCTCGTCCTGTACCTGGTCTACAGCCTCAGCCCTGGCCTGTGCCTGACCTAGTGCGCCCAGATCTTCAGACTGGTATGCTGGCTGCACATAGTATAGGTATGTAATCCTTAATTGCTTTTAGTGTATATGAATGATGTTTATGCATGGGATAGATTCCTCACTCACTAAGTAGAAACTGGTATTGTCTACCATTTATGTGGTCATATGAGAAATATGCACAATAAGAATTGTCAAAATATGAAGAATGGCCATGTGATTGGAATTTGAGAAGCCATAATTGTTTAAGAATGCCTAATGTATAGTAATTTGGGAATCACTGCAATAGACCTTTAGGAAGATCAATGGGAAAGAGAAAGACTCTCTCATTTTTGTTATGTTAAGAATGTTGCCTACTTTTACCATTGATTAGAAGAGCTTGTTTAGCTCCAGTAGCATCTTGCCATGTTTTGTGATGTAAAAGTAAAACTTGGCCATCTCCAGATACTGTATTTCATTGCATAATAGTCACACTTTTCCTCCCTTTGGGGAGGGTGCAACTATTACACAAAGGGGGGGGGGGATCTGCCTTTTATTTCCTGGTTTCTATGGTTGTAAAAATAAAATGCCTAACCTCCAAAAGGGGAGAAGAAGAAGGGATGATCCAGCCTCAAACAACTTTGGCTCTGGTTTTTTAACTGCAGAGCTCCTTCCTTATTTCTCTGAAGGCAAGGCAGTTTAGAAACGATAAAATGGAGATATCTGAAGCTCCACTCTTCCCTCTTTTCTCCTTCCCCTGAGGTAAAGCAGTTTTAAAAACCTGAAATGGAGGTCTCTGGAACTCAAATTTTCCCTCCTTCCTCCAAAAAACTCAATTCCAGGTTTTGTAAGCTCCCTTGTCTTAGAAGAAGGAGGGAGGAGTGGAGCTCCAAAGTCTTCTATATTGCAATTCTTAAACTGCCTTGACTTCAGATAAAGAAGAAAGAAAATAAAAATCAGCCCCAAAAGGGGGTGCACCCATATCACTTTTGGCATCTAAAAAATGGCTGCAACTATTATGCAGTGAGGTGACTATTATGTGATGAAATAGGTAATTCTGGAGCACTTTTATTGCCTTAGGTTCCTCACTAACCCTGGAGCAATGCCAAGTTTCTTCTGGAAGGATTCCCTGTGCAGATGCTCAGGGGCCAGCAGCTTGCTACCAGACCGGATGCTGTTATGATGACCAGGATCGAACAACCCCATGTTATTATGGGAACACAGGTAAATGGGTTAAAGAACTTCAGCTCATTTCTACTGATTTCTCCTGGGTTGTGCTGTGAAATGATGGTGACATCTAGTTGCTGTGTCTATAATAGACAGATCAAGAAATACAGTCTTTCAGTCATAATAAGCCAATAAATTAGAATGGCAGCCTGAAGTGATGTTCTGATGACAGGCCACAAGGGAGGGAAATGGCACCAGTATGCCAGCAGCTGCCTATGCTTATTTTAGGGAGTCTAGGCACTATAGGACTGTAAACCATATAGCCGCCTATATATAGATTCAATAGGTCTGTCACATGCGATGCTGGTTGATCTTAGTAGCTTCTGGACCAGAGGTTTGCAAATATTTCATGTTGGTGACACACTTTTTAAGACATGCATCATTTTGCTTAATCTCAACTAGCAAACCAGAGGTTAAACCAACCCCTCATAAGAGGTATGGATACATACATAAGTTTACTTTTTTTACTTACTACTTTACTTAGGCGATCCCTCATTGTCCGGGTAGGATAGTCTTTCAGGGTCAATGTCCTGGTGGTGGGTCCGTAGGTGACAGTGGAGCCCTATTCTTGATCTGCATCTTCTCCTGCAGTGAGGACATTGGTTTCCAGGTGGAAGGTGGTCCCGGTTCGGGTTGGCTTGACTCACCTTCCTCTTGACACATTTCTCTTTTTCGCCCTCCATTCGTGCCTCTTCGTATTCTACACACTGCTGGTCACAGCTGACCTCCAGCTGGAGCATTCAAGGGCCAGGACTTTCCAGTTCTCAGTGTCTATGACAGAGTTTTTAAGGTTGGCTTTGAGCCCATCTTTAAATCTCTTTCCCTGTCCTCCAACATTCCGTTTTCCATTCTTGAGTTCAGAGCAGAACAACTGCTTTGGGAGACGGTGGTCAGGCATCTGGACATGGCGGAGGACCATCACTTATAAATTATACTAATAAATTATACTAATAAAAAGTATGGAGACACAGCATATCTCATGAAAACCTTTCATGTATATATTTTCAAAAGATATGATTTGTAAAATAATAACATACCATACATTTCCAAGATTTTTGTCATTTATAAGTAACAATATGTAAACATGTGGAAGAATTATATAAAATAAACAACACTAATAAAACAACTACTTATCCTTTTAAAGAGGCGTATGAGGTTGATGAGGTAAACACCGCCTTTGAATATCTGGTGGAATATTAGATAAAGACATTTGCAATTCATCATCAAACATTTTAAAGCTTCCATGTTACAGTGGTATTGCTTATACCACATAGATGCAGAGGTTACTTGCTATCTTCACATGATACACCTTCACACTGCAGCTGACAAACTAAACAGATTATAACACAGAGAAATAAAAGAAGATGTTTCATATATTCATACCCGTTGCAATATTTTTATCCCTTTTGTTGATATCACTTCTATCAACAAACTAGCTACAGCATTAACCTTTATTATACTATAGTTTAAAAAACTCTCTGCTTGTTGCTTCAAGGGGCTTACTCAAGAGACAGAACTTTATCTGTCATGCTAGGTAGTGCCACTTGACTTTCTTTTTCACCTCACTTTCAAAACAATGGAGAGTTTATCTTTCTTCTACATCTCTAGAGATTGTGTACACTTTTCACTGAAAGCTGAGCTTCCTTCTCTCCTCACCTGCACAAAACTGGGAGCTTGAGGTTCTCAGCTTCTGCCTTGAATGGCAGCACCCTCCAGTTGTAACCCTTGTTTTCTCTTCTGCTTGCAGTCACTGTTCAATGTCTTCGAGATGGCCACTTCATCTTGGTTGTCTCCAGGGACATGTTGGACTACCCCATCATCCTGGACAGTGTCAAGCTCTCCTATGCCCAAGCTGGATGTGACCCTGTTAGGAAAACAGAGTCTTTCCTGGTCTTCCGCTTCCCCCTCACACAGTGTGGCACAACCGTTCAGGTGAGGATGGGGGCCTTGCTGCTGGGAGGAGAGGGTGTCAAGATGACCATTACTAATTAATTTGTGTGTGTGTGTGTGTGTTAATTTCCTAGGTGGCTGGTGGTAGACTGATATATGAAAACCAGCTGGTTTCTGGCACTGACATTTTAAGCGGACCAGATGGTTCTATCACACGAGACAGCACTTTCATGTAAGCTCAGTTTCAGTTTTGGTGAGACTGTTGTTATCTTTTAGTTCTATAAGGTAATCTGCTGGCCCTTAATTAGGAGAGCTGCATGTGGTCAGTATTCCCAAACAAATTACATACTACTATAGCAGGGAAAGGAAACATGTGGCTCTCCAGAGGTGGTGGAAATTTTTCTCCTATCAATCCTGGCCATTGAGTGGGGCCAATGGTAGGCCAATATTCCTTGGAGTGCCACCTGTCCTAGGAAGTAAATTTTGCTTTTGAAGTGTTCAAAAAATTCTTCAGCAGGTGCTCAAGTTCTGCAACTCACTCTAAAAAAGAAGGTATGCAAAGCAGGAGTTATTTCAGAAATGTTAAAACCCTTGGAACAGTTCGGTCACCATAGCTTTGGGGCCTAAATACTGATTCGTAACCCTTTTGGTCCTAATGTGTGAGAGTGGTCCCTGGTCAAAGTGGTCCCTGGTCAAAAAAAGTTTGGGAACTAGATTCTGTCTTATATTGGAAGCTATTAGTACTGTTAGTACATCCCTGAATAGTACTGTTAGTACATCCCTGATGGGTGATCACCACCAAATGCCAAATGCTGTAGACTATGTTTCAGAGTGCAGAACTGGCAAAACCACCTCTGAGTAAAAGTCACCCCATGTTGACAGGTAACTTGAAGGAATATATACACAGAGTGCCCAGGAGTGGGCAAACTGCAGCTCTGAGACCATGTGTTCTCTCCCAGGATGGTTTTGTATCTCTCAACTCCTTCAGATTTTTCAGACCAACTTTTTTCAAGCCAGATAAGAGAGTGAATAGCTATTTTTTTATACCTATGGGTGCAGCAACTGAAATAGGTTGCAAGTCTTTGCATACTGGCTAACATCTTAAAAAATGTTCTGGTCACTGTTTTGTTTTTGGTAGTTCAGGTAGCCCCTGGTGGCTCCCAAGACCTGCCATAATTGCTGACCTCCTTCCTTTGTTTTGAAACAGGCCATAAAATGATAGTGCTGTTTATGGAATCTATTTTTTGTTTGTTTGTATAAAAAGGAAATGCCTACGTAGGTGTTCAGCAAAAAAAATAAGGATTATTTCAGAAACCACAATAATGATTATTTCAGGAGACTCTGACTTGTAAATAAGGGTAATGACTAGAGCTATATTCTGCATCATTGCCATCATCCCTCCCTCCTTTTGTCCCTTTGCAGCCTCAATGCTCGCTGCATCTACAATGCCACTGACTTCTTGCCTGTTCAGGTTGAAGTCTTCCCACTTCCCACCCCAGCTCCAGTTTTGCAGGTGGGACCTCTCCGACTGGAGTTGCGCATTGCTACAGGTGGGTGTGCTTTTCTTCTGCCAGGTCTGCTATGTGGACTCTTACATTGAAAGGCTATTCATCTCTTGCTTTTGTCTCTTTCCCTAGACTCGAGTTACACATACTACTATTCGGATACAGACTATCCCGTCCTGAAAGTGCTGAGGGAGCCTGTGCATGTGGAGGTTCGCCTCCTGCAAAGGATGGACCCATCCCTTGTTCTGGTTCTGCATGAGTGCTGGGCTACTCCCAGCACTAATCCCCTAGAGCAGCTGCAGTGGCCAGTCTTGGTGAATGGGTGAGTTGAGTGGAAGAGAAGGGTTAGTCCTATTGAGAGAGGACAGAGTACTTCTGTTTGCCATCCAAGCCACAGAACATGAGCAGTGTGTCTCTTTCCCAGGTGCCCATTTGAAGGAGACAATTACCGAACCCAGCTGCTGCCCATGGGTCCTGCCACATCTGCCCTGCCCTTTCCAACCCACTACCAGCGCTTCATCATTTCCACATTCACATTTGTGGATTCTTCCTCCCAGTTGGTGCTGGATGGATTGGTAAGACTTTAGAGAAGATGTTTTAATGTTAGTGGTGCCAGAGTAACTATGCCGATCAGATGATTTCTTGACTGCAGCTCTTCTAATACTTCACCATTAACCATACTAGGGCTCATGGGAAATGCAAGGAGCAAATATCTAGAGGGCCGTAGTCATCACCATCTGAACTAGATCAATCAAATTTGCTTCCATGATGTGGTAAATAAATGTAGGAGAAGGAATCGGGAGAGGTTGGGGCACCAGAAAAATAACTTTAGGACCATGACTGGTCTCAATTTTCCTACTTCATTACAGTACTAAGAAAACACACTAATGATTATTCTTGGACAACCTAAATATTATGTCACTTTAAAATCACTGTGTTGTAAGGATTCTAGGGAAATAAGGTCTTGCAGTATTGTGAGTGGTCTATGCCTTTGCTCGCATGCTCTTCTAAGAAAAACAACATGATCTCTTCCCAGGTGTATCTCTTCTGTAGTGTGTCTGTCTGCCACCCCTCACAGCTAGAACCTTGCAGGGCCCCATGCCAAATGCCAGTGGCTGCAAGTAAGTTGGAATGGCTTTGCTATTATGTTTTTAAGGGCTTTTGAGTCTGTTCGGGCTTGCAATATGACATGCTGCACAACCAAGCGGCTCTAATGCTTCACAACTAGAAAACACAAAACTTGGTAGTAACTACTTGGAATTAAGGGATGGGATTAAAATGTATAGTATTAACATCTAAGGAACTACATGTGAGGACTGTGTATGAATGCAAAGTGGCTCCCAAACACTTCTTTTCAAGCAGTGTACTGCATTTTAAAAAATGGGCCAAATACATAAGTAGATTGTTGAAGCATACCTTTGATGACAACATTAAGAAAAGGGGTTCTCCAAAGCAGTATTTTATGTTAGTACTGTTAGTTATGTTAGTTAGTTATGTTAGTTATGTTTTATATTAGTGCTATTATTACATTTCTAGTCACTAGGCATATACGTTTATTTCTTGGCCAGACTGTTGATTGCTGTTTTTCAGCTACAACACTTAGATGGCTAATGGTTTGCATCTCTCCTTTTCGTACTTGCCCCAGTCATATATGGCACCCAGTATGGTCTACTAATAGATCATAGTCATTTCCTCTTACCCATTTGTCTCATAGGATACCGTCGATTTTTGGAGATGAGCAATGGGACTGAATCTTTGGACTTAGTAAGCACTTACGGAGCTGTGATCTTTCAAGAGAGCAGCCAGCCTTATGAAAAAGAAGTCAAAGAGGACAAAAGTAAGTGGCTATTGCAATACTGAAGTCCATTTGTAGTTAGGAATATGAACATTGTGTCTGTTACCCTTCATTTTATATAGTTTACTATCTCTGCCAAATACTTAAACACAAATCTGTCTCTACAAACCTTGATTTGGAAACATGCAAATGCAATATGAAGGACTTGAACTGAAAATTGCTGCTAACAAGGTCACAAACCTGCCCTCTTAAGATGAGTTGCCTTTTAATTAATTAATTTAATTTAGATCACTGACAATTATGGGGATAATGTGGATACTGTTTTGTAGGTGTGTTGTATGCAGAGGTGACAACTGCCTTTGTCCTTATAGGATACCAGTAATACACCAACAAAATTTTGGTCAGGGAAATCATGGATCCCAGACTGCTTCTTAGCCTTTCTTCTCTCTTTCACAGGCATGACCTCAAGTGAAGACTTGACATGGACACTTTTGGTGGCATTACCCTTGGCGGGTATTATCTTATTTGTTACTGCATTGGTGCTCTGGAAAAAGAAAAGCAGGGCAACAAAGTTATAATACTCTTGGAAGAAAATGTAAAAATAAAGTAACAAAATTAAATGGTTTTCAGTAGAACTTTTGACATAACTAGTAGCATACCAATAACTTTGTTGACCACGTGGCAAATCCATTTAAGTTCTATCACACAGAAGGTATTTAATATCAGGCTGCCCACAGTTAAATGTAAAGATATTATTTCTGGCAACACAATATATACCACAAGGGTTTTTTTTTAAAGAGTGTATGTTGTTGTAGGTAAGGAAGGGTAATAACAAAAGGTTCTATTGCAAAAGGAGAAAGGGGAAATAAATCAAACACCTTATATAGACCTAATGCATTAGATCAGTGGTTCTCAACCTGTGGATCCCCAGATGTTTTGGCCTTCAACTCCAAGAAATCCTAACATCTGGTAAACTGCCTGGGATTTCTGGGAGTTATAGGCCAAAACACCTGGGGACCCACAGGTTGAGAACCACTGTCCTGGAGCATGCAGTCTGCTAAATATTCAAGCCATTTCTAAAATTTACTGCATTAGATGTTCTAGACACCAATCCTGTTGCCCAGGTGATCTGGTTAATTGCCTCAGAAGACACTGCCTCCAGCAGATCCTGTCAAGCAACTCATGTATTTTTCTCCTAGAGTCTCCACTACATCAGTGCACCTTTGGTCTAAAGTGATTAAGAGGACAAGGCAAGAGGAAAAGGGTCCGTCTGTTGCATGAAACTGAATTGTGTTTTGCTGCCCAGGAAGCTGGTCCCTGGGATTTACTTGTAAAAAAAGATTTACAGAAATGATCTGTGCTTAATATTTTTGATAGAAAAAAGTTCAAATTGTTAATAATGAAATCCAGTTCTAAACACTGTCCCTTCTGACACTGTGTTGGGGACAAGGAAGCAGTAACTATGAATTGGGAATAAGCTAAAAATACCCATCTTAACAGCAGGTATTTTTAGGATAGAAAAAAAAAGATGGCAAATACAATGAATAAAACAAAATATAAAAAGTTATAGTGAATTGCAAACCTGTTACAGGAAGGTGGTATTTCATGAATCACTGGGTTGTTGTAGGCTTTTCGGGCAGTATGGCCATGTTCCAGAAGCATTTTCTCCTGATCTTTCACCCACATCTATGGCAGGCATCCTCAGAGGTTGTGAGGTCTGTTGGAAACTGGACAAGTGTGGTTTATATATTTGTAGAAAGTCCAGGGTGGGAGAAATAACTCTTGTCTGCTGGAGGCAAGTGTGAATGTTGCAATTGGCCACCTTGATTAGCATTTGATGGCCTGACAGTTTTTTGGTGTGACTTGTTACTGCCTGGGGGAATCCTTTGTTGAGAGGTGATTAGCTGTCCCTGGTTATTTCTTGTCTGGGGCTCCCCTGTGTTTGAGTATTGTTTTTTATTTACTATTATAATAATTTTAGAGGGTTTTTTTTAATACAGGCAGCCAGATTTTGTTCATTTTCATGAACCATGAATCCACAAGCCATTGAAACCCACAAGCATGTGGACCATTTCAACAAAAAGGAAGAAACCATGAAAATGAACAAAATCTGGCTACCAGTATTAAAAAACTCTAAAATGATAACAATAAATAAAAAACAACACTCAAACACAGGGGAATTCATAACATACCACAGATGTAATTCTGTGACTCCTGGATGAGACACATCCTTGAAAGAAAGAAGGAACCTAGGACACTTAACCAAGGAAAGACAAAATTCTCAGTTCTTCCCTTTAGATATTTTGTTTCACTTGGGTTTCACAGTAATCTTCCATCTTGACATGACAAAACAGAGTGCATAAAGTTGTGGATTCTTTGGATCACGTTTTAGCTCTCAGCACATCCTAGAGAGGATAGAAAGATGAGAGAGGGATTGAAAACAAAATAGTTACTGAGAAACAAAGGATAAAAGTAAGTAGGGAGTGGAAGAAAATAATGAATATGCAGAGAACCACCATAATCATCAAGTTTGCAGACAACACCAAATTGGGAGGGAGAGCCAATACTCCAGAAGACAGGAGCAGAATTCAAAACGATCTTAACCGATAAGAGAAATGGTCCAAAACTGACAAAATGAAATTCAGCAGGGACAAATGCAAGACACTCCACTTAGGCAGAAAAAATGAAATGCAAAGATACAGAATGGGGGACGTCTGGCTCGAGAGTAGTACGCGTGAAAAAGATCTTGAAATCCTTGTGGACAACAAGTTAAACATGAGCAAACTATGTCATGCAGCAGGAAAAAAAAGTCAATGGGATTTTGGCCTGCATAAATTGGAATATAGTGTCTAGATCCAGGAAAGTCTCTATTCTGCCTCGGTCAGACCCCACAACTGGAATACTGTGTCCAATTCTGGGCACCACAATTGAAGGGAGATGTTGACAAGCCGGAATGTGTCCAGGGGAGGGCGACTAAAATGATCAGGGGTCTGTTGAACAAGCCCTATGAGGAGTGGCTTCAAGAGCTGGGCATGTTTAGCTTTCAGAAGAAAAGACTGAAAGGAGACATGATGGCCATGTATAAATATGTGAGGGCAAGTCATAAGGAGGAGGGAGCAAGCTTGTTTTCTGCTGCCCTGGCGACTAGGACATGGAACAATGGCTTCAAACTACAAGAAAGGAGATTCCACCTGAACATGAGGAAGAACTTTCTGACTGAGAGATCTGTTCAGCAGTGGAACTCTCTGCTCTGGAGTGTGGTGGAGGCTCCTTCTTTGGAGGCTTTTAAACAGAGGCTGGATAGCCATCTGTCGAGGATGCTTTGAATGCAATGTTCCTGCTTATTGGCAGGGGGTTGGACTGGATGGCCCATGAGGTCTCTTCCAACTCTATGATTATATGACCAGAAAGATTTCAAGAACTAGGCATTTTTCTCCTCAGCCCGAATCTGGCACTTCTGACATGATCCCTGAAGGGCCTCTGTTCCAGGTGCAAGGCTACTCATTAGTTTCACAAACACTTTTCTTTCTCTACTACTGCATCTTCTACCACTAATTACTACAGTTCCTGAGTGCTGTTTGCTTATAAAAGATTTCAAAATGCCTGTGATTTTTTTTTGTATATTAAGCAACAATGGAATATATCTTGGCACCAGTTGATAATGTGTAGCCACTGAGTGCTATTTACTTTATTTACCTTTATTATCTATTTGTCAGGTTTTAAACACAAAATCTTACCTTGGCTTTACATAAGAGACAAGGCTTACATGTGCTCTTATAAAACAGATTAGCTGCTATTATGATAGATGATATGCAGTAAAATTAAGAGTAGCATCTCAATTTCTGTAGCACATCAGATGGTATGTTGCTTCTCAATGCATTGACAAAATATGTTTGATCAACTGTTATCATTCAATCTCCCATGTTCTCTGCTCTTGAAATGGAGGAACTTTCAACAGTTCCATTGTCATTGACAGATCATCACTTGGTGGGGTTTATACTTGCTGGGACTCAAAATCTTTGCAGTGGTGGGAGACCCCTGAAAAACACAATCTCTGGAAGCTTATGGATCTGGATAGATTCCTGATGGTTCTAAGAGTTCTCTGATGCCTTGATAAATGATTGCGTCAAAGTCCTTGCTAGGGCAGTGGACACAATTGCTCCTCAGCATTCCCTTTGGTGGAGTGGAGCCCAACCAGCACCTTCGTTTTCAAGGGAGCTGGTAGTAATGAAATAAGTGAGCAGACAACTAGAGTGACATTGACATAAAACATGTGCACTCAGTCAAACACAAAGCTTATCTGTGGGCCTGCTCGGTGGCAACCAAGGCAGCAAAAGCAAACGTCTTTACCTCAACTGTGTTTGCAAGGAGTAAGCAACCCAACGGATTCCACAAGTTTTCTTAAGCAAGGATTATTCAGAAGTGGTTTTACCAGCTCCATCCTCTGAAATAGCCTACAGACCTGGTATTGTCAGTTCCCCATCCTTGGACTTGTGTGTAAAAGACCTCTAAGTACTCGAAGCCCCTAAGTTGACATGTTGATACACAAGCAGATGAAAATTCATACCACATGACAGCCTGTATGGTGAGCAACTTGCCCAGCACTTTGCAGATAAAGACACTGTATCTGCAATTAATGCTTGTGCACCAGATGCACCCCTTCCTTGGAACTTGAAATATGGTCATGGTGATGCGTGCTTTTGTTATATCTTGCTTGGATCACTGTAACATGCCCTATGCGAGGCTGCTTTTGAAGAGTGCATGGAAACCAGCTGGTCCAAAGAGGTGCTGGATTCTAACTGAGGCTTGTCACAAGGAATACACAATTTCCTTGTTGCAACAGCTTTATTGGCTGCTGACCTGTTTCTGGGCACAATTCAAAGTTCTGGTTTTGACCTATAAGACCCTATACAGCTCAGGTCCAGAAATATGGTATTCTCCTTTATGAACCAACCCCTGCTTTGAGATGTACTGGGGAGGTACTTTTCTGTCTCAAATTCCCCACAGGTGCATGTGATGGAAATAATAATAATAATGCTTTATAACATGCCCTATCTCTCTGAGGGCAAGTTATAAATAAACATAGGAGAAGGCTTTGTAAGTCACTGTACCCAGGTTTTGGAGTTCCATTCCCAGATTAAGTTAAATTGCAACCTTCCCAGCTTTCTTTTCACACATAAGTAAAACTTTTTCTATTTAGATCAATGATTTCATAGGGCCTGTCCTACCTAAACATTACACTGAATCTTGCTAACTTATGTGCTGGTATTTGTGTATGTTTAATGTCATACATTTTAATCTTTTTTTAAATTTCTGATTGTTTGGTCATTTTTACATTCTGAACT